GAATTTTAATCAATCTAATTTGTTTGTTTTTTTAAAACCGGCATGTTGGATGTGTTGCTGTAGGTAATTAATCGAGGGCGCACGAAAATATTTACTTGTCTGTTGTTGGTTTTTTTTATTTCGCGGCGAATTAGGGATTGTTATTGGGTGGAATTAATTTTTCTTGTCGCTGGATGCGGCGATGTTTACACTCGATGCGCTGGAGTTGGGTGAGGCACGCAGCTAGTGAGGAGAGCACTTTACTTCATTACTTCCTCTCATATCTTCGTTCAACCGGTTCGCATCTTGCGTCGCCTCGCGTCGCCATCGAGCTTCCTTTTCCTTTTTGGCGTTGCGATGCGTGCGACGGTGCAATATTTCGTCTCGCACCGAGATAAAACGTTCGAAAAGAGAGCGCCGAGCGGAAGCAACACATTCGTGCAGATATAAAATATAAAATTAGAACGGTTTTTAAATATAACATCCGATTAGTCCGGCTATCTCTCGGAATAACAGCGAGGAAGTTACTTTAGGGTTCGAAGCGATTGAATGAGTTCTTTGGGCGTCGTGTGTCGAGCGAGCAGCGGCATTCTGAATAGACAGGAAGCGGATAATCCAGACGCCTTCGGATCGCGCGCTGTTCGACAGGCACGTACGTCCCGTCCCGACCGGAAGTACAAAAGCGTCGCTTCTTTTATGACGAATTTAATACACTCGCTCCTTCCCTCGCATCTTACGCTCCTCTCTCACTTCTTCCGGCTCTCAATGGAATTCATTCATGCTTCCACCAAAGTATGAACGCTCATTGATGTCCCGCTCGATGTGCCATGATGTTCCAAATGCGTTTTGTGCTTAGAAAAGCAGAATCATTTTGGTATTAGAGAGGAAGCGACGATTATGAATAAACAAAAGACAGCTCGCGACGTGACCGCCGGTCGCGGCGAACAAAAAATATCTACACAACGCGCGCAAAGCGAAACGAAAAACAAATGAAAACGTGTAATGACTGCGTGATTAACCGTAATACGTTTTTCGCTTGGCCAAGGACACTTTTATAAAACGCATTCGTGACGACGCTCTCGGACACGGCTCAAGCACGGCGCTCGTGACTCCTCTAGCGGCGCATTATTCACGCTTCATTCCGTTTTGGTTTTGTCATTTTTATTAGCGGCGAACGGCTCAGCTGCGCTCCATTAACGAATTAAATTTTTGCACCAATTCCGCGCAGCACTACGATGCTTTTTATAGGTGTATTAATTGCCGACATGCGCGCCGTAATTAAAATGACTCACAAGTGTGTCAACACTGCGGCCCGCCGAATATCTATTGTCTTCGTGCTTGTTGTGGCGAGTGTGTCAGTCATTGATAAAATTGCGTAGTTTCATCGGCGACAAAAATTGGCAGCGAACTTTCGACGAGCTGGCAGCGTTTTGGCACCGAATCGAATGAAACGCGCCCATTAATTAAGCGGCATCGGGCCGGGCCATTCAAACGTGGCTCGCGCGCTACTGCTTCTAGGCTATCGCTGAATTGTGTATTACGCATTCCGAATAAACAGTGTCACATTGTTACTGCGAGAGCTGGTTACGAGTTACGCGCGCTAATTATAAACGCGCTAATCGCGACCGCTTGAAGAATTCTTTCTTTTTTATAATGCGCAAACACACGCGACGAAACGCACACGCAGGAAATCGCCGCCGGAAATTGATAATTATTATGTAGACTATCAAATGTTTAGTTGGTATATTTTTGGTGAACAGCAGTGCGCTTTAAAACATGCGCATAACTCGTTTGAAATTCTGGTGATTTTTATTCCCTTGTGCAAAGTTTTATTAATGAATCTGGTCGTAAAAATTAATGAAATGTAAAAAGAGACGAACGTAACGCAAAACGTTTGTTTCACGCTTGTTTTCGTCCCGGCTGCTGTGGCGCGCGTTCATTAATATTCCGCTCGTTTGTGCCTCACGCGCTCGCGCTCCCGCTCGATTTCGCATTTCATTGTGTATCCCGCCGGTGGCGAGTAGCCCGGTAGCTACCTGAATATATCCCTCCGAATCGCTCGGCGCACGTACTTTTTTATGCGTCTATTCAGGCTTCGCCAACTCGTAATCGCGCTCCAAGCGCTTCGAAACGACGAGCGAAGAATGAAAAGCTCGACGGGGTGCGCGCGCGCGCGCGCCACGCCGTGGAATAAGAAACAAATCGTCGAAAGCGAAGCGGATTTTGAAATTGAAACAAAACGAAAACAACGACGAAGCCGAGGTGGAAAACGAGCTGCTGCGGCTGTGGCGAGAGTTGGTAAAGATGGTAAAACAAACCATTGAGACCTCTGAGAGACCCGAGACCGTCGAAAGCCGATGCCGGCCAAGTACGAACGAAAGGACGAATGAACGACCGCACCGCTGAGGATGGTGGAGAGCGAAGAATAACGCTCGCTAGTCGCGATATAATTGATTTCCTGGTATACGCACGGCTCTTGCACGGCCACGACCACATCCACAAACGCCGAAGAAAAGGAATAATAGTCGGACACAACTTCTTCTGCTTCGACCGTGCCAGTCTCTTGCCGTTGTTGGTTGTTGGCTGGATTTCTTTGATTCTCAATGTTTTGTTTTTCACGTGCACGCGTTGCGCGTTCTATTTCATCTTCACGTTTGCATTCGAGATGGCTGTTTTTTTTGACGCGTGGTTGCTGATAGTCATCTTCACAGCGAGGCAGGGTCATTTGTGACATCGCGTTATGCAATCGCATAACGCACCAGAGTGCAAAAACATTACGAATGTTGTTTGGGAGAAATAAGAAATGTTGTTGTAAATGGCAGCAGAGTAAAACAACCGAGATGAGCTTATAGTACAAGAAACTTGCAACGTCGTTCGAAGCTTCACTTGAACGTTTTACAAGAGCAGCCTCCTCGCTCACATCGTGGCTCACATTTCTGCTTCGCGCCGTGAGCGGCCCGCTGGATCTCTTCGTACACATCTTCTCAAGGCCGCCGCATTTCTGTTTATGTTAGCGCGCTCTGGCACGCCAGCATCCGCACACACGATAATCAATGACTTCTTGTACGTTACGTCGCGTTACGTTGCCGCATTGCTCCGGCGCGGATCGATGTGAAACGTCGCATTTATCGATTCCGTGAAGTATGAATATGTTTTTCATTCGAGCAGTCGGCGTGTCTCGCCCGAAGAATCGATGATCAATCAAGCATTATACTACGAGCTGCGAGCCAGGGAACTTGACAGAGATTCAGAGGACATTCGTTCGGATGAATGAGCGCAATCTCTCATCGATAATCACACAATGTCTGTCACTCCAAGACCATCTTCAAATAGTCAGTGCAGTGATGAATTCAACCGCAACTGCCACTAGGAGAGAGAAAAATAATCTAATCTGAATATTTAATTTATTTTTGTACGTTTTGAAAACTTTCTGCGGCCGATGGATTTTTTACACCTATGCGTTGTTGGTCTCTGTTGGCCGTTCGTGAATATGTTGGCGTTGGTTCGTTCGCGAGTGGGCAGCGCGGGTTAAAAATACAACTAAATTGCTGCAAAGTGTGGGTGTCGAACCTAAATTCCCCGAACGCTGGTAGGTGTCCGATTCATTCATATTCGAATGGATACGCGTTGTCGTTCCTCGTTCCACTCACTTTTTGTGGTACGAGTTCTTCGTGCGCGCAACAACGCCGACGTGACTCGGACGTCTTTTTCGGGCGCGAGCGCGCTTTCGTCTGCATATACCTATGTGTAACGCGTACTCGCATTCATACTCTCCTCCACCTAGGAAGCTTCCTCTCAGTCTGAGGAATAAATAATACACGCGACCGCATTGCTTAAATATTTAATTCTCCTCCGCTTGACCAAGACGCTCGAAAACAATGAGAAAATATATCATTCCTGCGGACGGCTAGGCTGATATTTGGTTTTACATGTTTTCCTCCTCTGGCTGTGCAATATTTTAAAATTTGAATGTTTGTATTGTTGTGTAGTGTGTTTCTGATTTTTTCGGTTTGATAATCACGCACACGCGAATGAACGGCGAATGTTGTGTCGATTGATCGGCGCGCGAGACTACGGCTCGTCGATTTCCGAGAAATCCGTGACACAACGACGGTGTCCCATTATTTTTCATAATGCGACGCACACGCACATTCATTTCCAATATTACTAATGCTTCCAGCGACAAACGACACGGCGGACAGCTCTCGAGCGACGATCGAATCAAAGGCGATACCAAGAAACGCGCGCGCAGCGTGGACGGTCCCTGAGCACCGCGGACTCTGAATAGAGTGACGGCCTCCGTCAACCGCGACATCGACATCAACTATTGATGTCTGCAAGCTGACATTGCATGGCATTCCGAATGCTGAAAACTAATTAAATGCAACGTTCAATTTCCAACTGCCATTAACTTATTTGATTCAACTTCTCCAATGCGTTGGCTGCGATACGAATGAACGGGAAAACTCGCACGAATTTATGGCGTTTAATTAACAAGCCGAAGTTGTTGCGAAAATCACAGCAGGAGAGTTGTCAAGTTTGTCGTAGGATTCGTTGGATTGGTGTTGCATGTTTGCTCTTTGTGCGTCCAGCAATTGCCTTGACTTAGATCGCACTGCGCTTTACCGCACGCGCCGTAAGAAAATAATTTTCGTTTCACGTGATTTTCGCAAATATGCGATACAGTTCGTTTGGCAATGACGCCTTGTGTGTTTTCATTGTTTCCGAGCGCACAGTGTCCGCGTGCGCTTCGTGCGCGAGTTAGAAAACTGCGCTGAACAATGTATGTATTTTTGGTGGTTTCCCAGTGCGTTTCCCACTGTCGAATATTTTTAGCCCTCGTTTTGGCAACTGCTTGTTGCGTAACTTTCATTCAGTGTTCTAGCAGGAGTTTTGCGCATATTCATTTTTACGAACACAATTATTTTATTTCCTACAATCCAGGTTTCATGATAGGCAACCCAAATCACAATTTTGTTCATTTTATTCTTATAATTTCAAAATTGGAATAAAAAGGACTATTTCACATACATACACATGACATTTATTGTAAAACACATGATATTGACAAGATGTGATTAGTTTTAATGTCCGTCTAATTTTGACCACTTTATTTCGTTGTCGTGGCTTGGACAACACAGGACTTCAAATTTGTACCTCGGATGAATAACATTGCAGGCATTGCATAAATAATGTATAATATGATACTACTCATTTGGCATCAATGCTAGTTTGGTACTTTTAGCTGGTTTCTTTTTCTTCTTCTTAGTTTTGCCGTTTGCTTGGCTGATTTCCTGGGGCAGTTTGGAATCAAAATTAACTTTGATCACTCGGAACGTTGGACTTCTTCTCGGTTTTTGAACCTTGTGGTTGTTGATTTGGTCAATGGTCTGCTGACGCTTTATACTAAAAACATACAACTTAAGCATAAAAGAAACTTGATAAATTAGTGATAAATTTACGTTATATTATTAGTTTTCTTGTTGGTTTTTGGTTCCTCCTTTTTATCGTCTTTTGGTTTATGACTTTTTTTGTGCGTTGATTTTTTCTTTTCGTTTTTCTGTGTCTTCATTATAAGGGCTTCTTTATCTTTGCAATCACTAAGAAATTTAAATAAATTAAAATCAGTTTGTTTATTTTAAAAGAAATTACCTCTTCAGACCCCATGACAGAGGATTTTGTGGATCCATATCACCCACACCAAACCACAATTTATTCTTGAGTGAAATCAATTTATTTTGAATTTCAATAAGTTTAATCATTTGAGGATTGTAAGCACTATCGCCAAGCATTCTATAATGAAAGTATTTAGTATGTTTGTCTGGCGTATTTGTAATTTGTTTACCTGTGTTGAATCGGTTGCAAAATGTTAGCTGGTTTATTCTTTGAATGTTTCACAGGAGTTTTTTCAGGCAGTATTTCATTTACTTTGAACTCGTTGGTGGTAACTGTCTGCATGCTCCGATCTGGAGCAGTTCGCTTCTTCTTCTTCTTTTTGTTTTTGAGTGTTTTCCTTCCTAGTTTTTGGTGCTTCTGAGCAGGATGAGCTAGATTCGTCGCTGCACTCGTATTTCCAATTCATAAGATCTAAATTTGCTTTTCGCACCTAACAGCATCCAAAGAAAAACACACGTAAAAAGCCAAAAAATAGTTTATTGTTTAAAACTACGCCTCGATGAAAAAGGCATAGTTTTCGTTCGATATCGGAAAGGTAGAAATAAAATAAGTCATGGTTAGCCCTACCCTCAGAGGTTTTCGTGCTTGTGGTTTTTGCATTTGCGTCTGACTGTGCGCTTTTACCGGCCGCAGATTCTTCTTCTTTTCGGGGGTAGGTGGTGGTGCAGCCGTCGGTACGGCCTCCACGTGTTCCTTTCCGTCGGCACTCGAGGAGGAATCATCTCCATCATCGCTGGTCAGTTGAAAAAACACATAAAACCACCACAAAACAACAATATAGTTAATTTTACCTGGAATAATCGGAGATGTCAATATTAGCCGGCTCGTCCGCATTGGACCCTTCGTGCATCAGGCGACTCATAATCTTGACGCGCAGTTTTTCCTACAAAAGCATAAAACGCGTCCCATTTTAAAGCAAAAAAATATAGGCGTGAGGGTTATTACTTTTCTGGGATCCTCGTCGTAAAAGTCGAGCAGCGTTTGACAGAAGGTCTTGCCCATCAGTTCAAAATCCAGTGTGTTGAAGTGCGTCTCGTTGCGTCCGCCCAACGTTGATCCGGCGAAGGACGCCTCTAGCGTGAAGCTGTTTGCAATGCCCATCATCCACATCACGACTCGCCCTGTGCCTTCTTTGCACTTCTGCACGCGGAACTTACAACTTTGAAACGAGAACTACTCGGCAGACAATGAAGAAAACATTAAATAAATCATCGTCGTTTGAAGACATAGACCAATTTTAACAATGTTTTACCTTTTCAGGTGCGTTCTTGTGCAGCATCAATGGGAACACTTGCTCGTAGAGTTTCCTGTCCGGATTTTTACGATTCTCGCAACCAAAGATGAATATATTGTTGCGTTTCGAATGAGCATGCAGATCACAGTACATTGCTACACCACATTCTTCCACAAGTCTACACAAATTACATTTTTAAGAATACTTTTGAAAAGTATTGCCAGGTAACTTACTTTCTTATCATCAATTTCGTATACCAAATCGTCGGATAGTACTCGCGTATCACAGTCCTGTACTGACGATTGAGATCTCTGCCGGTGAGTGAACATCGGTAATTGCCTACAATCACACCGTCAGGATTCAACATTGGCACAAGCTTGAAAATAAAATTGTCGCGCAGTTCTTTCGCTGGACCACAATCACTTGTGAGATACTCTATAATTCCGTGCATTATCCATGAAGCTGGCGTTTCTCCAGGATGAACTCGGGCTGTTATTACAACAGCTTTCTTTTTCTAATCAAATATAAAAGGAGTATTTTTAAATTTTTGTTAATTAAAGAATAAGATATTAATTTCACCTTGTTTGGATTACTTTCATTTGGTGGTGTGGTCACAGTAACATAATACACGTTATTCCCAGCGAGTGACTTACAGAGCAGCCTCAAAGTGGTATAAGTACCTTTGATAGGATGTGCTACGATGCTGAACAAATACTCCTGCAAATCCGTGTAGGTGTACGGGTAACTATGAGCAAAGTACACCTCGTCGTCGTTGTGCGGGAAATCGAACGTAAACGTGAGTGTGTAAAACGTTGGCATTTCTGAATTATCATCAACACTATTGCGAAAACAAAACCGATTAATTTTCTTATTTTTTAAATAATGTAAAAATTCATTACCTATCATTACAAAAATACGCAATATTGTTACCAACTCTTCTCCAGCCTATTGAATGCATCTGAGCATCTTTGGTGCTATACATTAAGGGCTTCATTCCGTCCTCGTATAAATTTTCATTTTTTGTAAAGTTAACTATCGAAAAGCGGTAAACTAGGCCTTTTTTCATTCCGGTGACACGGAAATAGAACCACTGCATGTGTCGATTGGTGTACATATCGTGTCTTAAGTATAATTCGTAGTACGTATCATGAATTTTGATCGCTTTGGCTAGATTCCCGGATTCAAAGCGAGACTCAAACCGGAGACCTTCTTCTTCGGGCGTTGGGCAGGTTTGTAGTAAATATTTACTTCCATTTACGCTTGATCTTGAAAACTACAACAATAGTTTAGCAATATGTCATTTATATATGTTAATAAATTAAAACGCACATAATCTACTGAACTTATCGGATAATATTGATAAATTAAAATTCCAGCTTCTTCTCCTACTGGTTTCGGCTGAATTTCACGTCCAGTGATATTATAATAAGGCTCAGGAGGACATATTTTATAAGGGATGTGTTTTACTCTTTCGTCTAATACCTTAAATGGAATATAGTCAAAGTTTTGTTTTATTACTGCGAGAAATTTAATTTCACTTGGCATTCGGAGGGCCATCGTGCTTTTTGCTGTCCTTCAACCTCTATATCTTTATCTCGGTTTTGCTTGTACTTTAAAAACCAACTAGTGACTCGATCTGCGGCAGTCTCATCTTCCTGAAATCGCCGCCCTCCGAAGACATGTTCCATATAGTAGCAGCTGTTTGCCGAATGAGCTTTGCGTGGCGATGTGGGCGGAAACAAATCATCTTGCAAATCCTTAACCGTCCTTGGGTTTCCGTCGGCTGTGGTGAGATACGTATCGGAGCAGGCACGTGACACTAAATTGGAAAATTGGAAAACCATAAGCGCACGCACACATCTCCCCATTTTAATAACTGCATTATTTTCATGAGGTATTAAATCGATGCACGATTGCGTGTTTTGAACTTGTCAAAGACTCGTATTTTAATCGTATTAAACTTTGCTCGATTTGAAAGCTAAGATGTGACGACTGAGTAGTGAATTTGTTTACCAGGAAATGAAGATTTTTCAGGCTCCATCTTTGCCGACTCTGCTTGTTAGACACACTTATATAAACTTTTAATTTGGCTTCATCAATGGTTATCATCTGTTGTTCATTTTTGGCATTTAATTTGACTTTTTTGAAAAATAATTTAAATTAATTGTTATATTTGATTGTTTACGTTCGCATTTCGTTCGTATGCAACGTGATAATATTTTCGATTCCGATGTTCATTCACCCGATGTCGCGGCGTCACTGCGGCAGCTTGTGAAAAATGTTTTCCACCCGTCTTCGAGTGGATTACCGTGCATATTATAATGGTAATCGCGGTAAACATCAGTCGACTAGACGACCGCCGTCGGGAACATTGGTCACCATGACGAAAATGTTGATAGATCGATAGGGACATGCATGTGGCAGTCCATCCAGGAGGGTGAAGCCATTTTTCAGCTGCAATTAATGCGATGTTCTTTTTCAACGTTCCATCAAAGAGCGCCTACATTTACTTTTCACCCTCATTATAATGCCCTCGTGCTCATTCATCTTATCAGCGAAACGTGTTTGCTTTCATTCGGAAATGCATAAAAGTTTCTAACTGAAAACTTGTTTGGAACTTTCCTTGTTCTGCTGCGGTTGTTAATTTTCCGAAATGCAATTAAAATGAAAATTTGTTTGTCCTAGTTTGCCGTAGTTTGACGCGGTCGTATATTGCCATACCGGAAATCCTAAATGCCTCCGCATTCTTATCTAATTTGTTGGCTTACAATCCACTCAATTTTTTTTTGTCAGACGGGCTTAATGGGAAAATGCACCATCGAATTTTCATCGGAAATGCTGAAAGACGCCGTAATTCGTGACTATAATGGAAGAGTTTGGTGCCAGGCTGCCTGCTGCTACTTAAATTATAGTTCCGGTTGTTCAGGGCATTGGCATTAACGTGCAAATGCGCGAAAAACTAATGGAAAGTGTTAATATAAAAACGTGTATATGGTGTGGCAGAGAAGTTTTTAAATAGCCTATTATTCAATTTTAATATCTTATGTACATATTATGACTCAAAATAAATATTATCGCCAGAAATTATAAAATTTATGAAATATAAGTATAATATAAATTAACTTAAGTAACTTAGATTTGCCGAACAAATCAACATTCATAATTCTTCATATTTCTGATTTTTAATAAAGTTTGAAATAATTAACCATTTGGGCGGGCAAACGCGTTGAAAACCGGATATTGTTTACACCATATGTACCTACAATTTATATGTGTAAGATGCTAGTGGTTTAAGTGCATGTAAGTGTACTTCGTTTACAGATCCGGCTAACCTAATATTTGAGTTTGATTCGTTGTCAGTTGTTCACAATGTTTGTTCGATAATTTCCTATTCAACTTGGTTTGCAGTTACATAACGTGTCTCAAAAATTTTGCAAGAAAAACTTCTGGTAAAAATACATAAGTAATTATACGGTAAAGTTTGATTTTAATTAATAAAATTAAGTGCAACAAGTGTACAAGTCTTAAGGGTTAGAAATATAGTTTTCTTTTGGATGTTTTAGATAGTAAAATGGGAAGGAAAGCAACTTTCGCCGTTTCTACCCTGAACCAATGGGCTCTGGACTTTGATGGTAACAAGGAGAGGATTTTTGAGAGTATTCTTGAAGCAATTGATGCAGGTGCAGCCTTTCGAACTGGTCCTGAATTGGAGATTTGGTATGCATTCAATAAATTACTAAAACAAAATAATTATGTATTATTTTTATTGTAGTGGTTACAGCTGTGAAGACCACTTTTATGAAAGTGACACATTTTTACATAGTTGGGAAGTACTAGCAGATTTGCTGAAGGCTCCAAGATGTAAGAACATTATAGTTGATGTTGGAATGCCAGTTATGCACAAAAATACAGCTTACAACTGTAGAGTACTCTTTCTTAATCAAAAAATACTTTTAATTAGACCCAAATTAATGATGTGTGATGGAGGAAACTATCGGGAGACAAGATGGTTTTCTGGTTGGAAAAAGGTAAAAATTATTAAGTTTTAACTAAGAAATTCATACATATACCTATAAATGAAGGTACGACAAGTTGAGGATTTCTTTTTGCCGCGGATGATTGCTAAAATAACTGGTCAGACAATAGTGCCTTTTGGTGATGCAGTTCTGTCAACAATTGATACTTGTATTGGGTTTGAAATTTGTGAGGAGTTATGGAATCCACATAGTCCACATATTGAAATGGGTTTGGATGGAGTGGAGATTTTTGTGAACAGCTCAGGCAGTTATACAGAGTTGAGGAAGGCTTATGTTGTCTGTGATTTGGTAAAGAGTGCCACATTTAAATCAGGAGGATGTTACTTGTTCAGTAACTTGAGAGGTTGTGATGGACAAAGAGTATATTTCAATGGAGGTTCATGTATTGCTTTGAACGGTGATTTGTTGAACTATGCCAAGCAATTTTCATTGCAGGATGTTGTAAGTGCGAATTTTTTAAAGGTTTGTAAATTATTTTTGATGAACTTGTATGTGAGAAGGAAGTGACAACTTCTACGATTGATTTGGAAGATATTCGTACGTATCGTAACAGTTTGCGTTCGAGAAGCGCTATGAGTTCGGCGAGCCCCGCTTATCCTAGAATTCAAGTTGACTTTTCATTGTCTGGTGATGATGATGCTATGCTACCTATAGCGATGCCAATTGAATGGAATTATTTGCGCCCAGAAGAGGAAATTGCACAAGTATGTCAATTTGTTAGATTTGGTTCAACCGAGTAACTTTTTTTTTATTTAGGGTCCTGCTTGTTGGCTGTGGGATTACCTTCGTCGTTCAGGTCAAGGTGGCTTTTTCCTTCCTTTGAGTGGTGGTGTTGATTCAAGCAGCACAGCTTTAATTGTGTATTCAATGTGTAACATGATAGTGAAAGCAGTTCAAACGGGTGACTGCAAAGTCCGTGCGGACATTCGAAGAATCCTGGCTAATCCTGAATACATTCCGGCATCCGCCTCCGAATTATGTCAACGTCTTTTGGTAACATGTTACATGGGTACTACAAACTCGACGAAAGAGACAAAACATCGCGCAGCCACCTTAGCCGCGCAAATTGGGAGTCATCACATGGTTATAACTATTGATTCAGTTGTTAGTTCGGTTCTAGCAATATTTAGTTCAGTGACGGGATATTTTCCTAAATTTGATAATCAAGGTGGTTGTCCAAGACAAAACATTGCTCTGCAAAATATCCAAGCTAGACTGCGAATGGTTCTATCGTATTTATTTGCGCAATTGATGTTGTGGGTGAGAGGTAGGCCCGGTGGGTTGTTGGTTTTAGGATCAGCCAACGTTGATGAAGCTCTGAGGGGATACATGACAAAATACGATTGCTCCAGCGCTGATATTAATCCTATTGGTGGCATTTCAAAAACTGATCTGCGTTCGTTCTTAAATTATTTTAAAGATCAGTTCAAAATTTCAATCATTGCGGATATAGTGAAAGCACCCCCAACGGCTGAATTGAAGCCTTTGATTGAAGGTCAACTAGCACAAACTGACGAGCAGGAAATGGGCATGACCTATGCCGAGTTAAGTGCCTTTGGTAAATTACGGAAGCAGCAATATTGTGGACCTTATTCAATGTTCTGCAAACTCACACAGACCTGGTCGACTACATACACTCCAAGGGAAGTTGCTGAGAAAGTTAAACACTTCTTCAGGTTAATTATGTCTGATGAACATTTCTGGTTACTGGTGGTTAATTCTTTATTTTTCTTCAGATGTTATGCTATCAACAGACACAAAATGACTGTGCTAACACCTTCCTATCACGCAGAAGCGTACAGTCCTGATGATAATAGGTTTGATCATCGTCCAATTTTGTATCGTGCAAGTTGGTATTGGCAGTTCAAAGCAATAGATTCATTGGTATGGAATTTTCTACAATTTCATGTAACTTTGTACCATGTAAGCATCTTTTTCAGGTGGATAATGGTCAAGTGAAACGGACAACTTCTAGTGGAGGGCCTAACAAACGGCAAGAGCTCTCAAAACAACGGCCGGGTGTGCCTGTGTAGATGATATTAATTAGTTTGTTACATACTTTTTTATTTATATTTTAAAATCACTGCTCTAGCTGCCCTTAGATATTTTAAATATATAATAGATGATAGAAGTGACTCGTGTTCAGGGCACAGTATGAGGGTAGCGGTAGAAGTGACTCGTGTTACCAGCACCGTATGAGGGTAGCGGTAGAAGTGACTTGTGTTCAGAGCACCGTATGAGGGTAGCGGTAGAAGTGACTCGTGTTCAGGGCACTTTACGTGGATAAATGTATAACTGACTCTCATTCGCTCATTTTTTCTTATGAATTAAAATTTTATCTCTTAGATTTCCAACTTAACTGTCTTATTTGATAGAGAATTGTCCGTATATTAAGAATTTGCGATTCGTTTCTTTCTGTCTCTTTTAGTTTACGAGATATTCGCAATTGAAATAAATAGCCAAAAATTAAAAATTGAAATTTTGAGCACTTTCAGTCTCGATTTTAGACCTTTTACCCCATGAAATTAAATTATATTAAATTTCTTTCTTATACAGAATTTCCCAATCTTTCATAATCTACAATTTTGTGGTTGCTATCTCTTTTAGTTTAGAAGATATCAGCTATGAATAATTATAATAGTCTAAATAGTGGGACTAGTACCTATCGCTTTCATAGATGGTACTAGGATGCACTGAAAATCATAAAATCGAGTTATACGGCTTATTTTTATATTTATCGACAAACGTGGGCACGAGAATAGTTTTGTGTACTCGTACAATGCGTTTATCTGCGATTCGGTGTAAACAACTTTTTTATCGCATGTGTCTCGCGCGCTATCTCCTAGCGCCACATCAACTTGCTGCATGCAGCGAAGTCTACTTCAGTTTAGATCACAGGTAATGTTCCTATTGCAAATTCACGCACAAGATCGCGTACCGTCGACGCGCCGTCTTTGCGCACCGCTTACTTTCTTATCATATACTGTCTCGTCATTGTTTACGCAGTTTCGGTATGCCCCATCGGTGGATTGCAGCCAGTTTCGTGCCGGTCGCTGGTTAGTCCAGTCGTGTTTTGAGAGACTTATATCGTTTATTCAGACTTCAATATTCTAAATTTGTGTTACACTCAAAGGTCAATCGACTATTTATTTGTACTTTGCGACTATTGTAATTAGTTTAATGTTTGGAAATGCCGGTTTGATTGCGTTTGTTATGTATATTACAAGTCACGTGATAGTGGATTTGATAACATTCTTCACTCAGCGTTGTGTTTGGTGTCGGTTACGAAATAAATCGGATATATATCGCCGCCATGTTGATTCTCATCATTAAGAAAGATCTATCAAGCTTGTGTATGTATTTTTTAACTAAACAGATTTCCGTTTTAACTATTCTATCTGATAGAGATTGGTCCGTAGATTAAGACGCTGCGATCAGATCTTAAATATCTCTTTTAGTTTACGAGATATTCGCGTTTGAATAAAATGGGCAAAAATTGAGAAATGTCACTTTTTAGCACTTTTAGTCGCGATTTTCGACCTTTTACTGTAGGAAATATAATTATTTTATATTTTTATCTGATTGAGAATTTTCCAATCTTTCATAATCAGCAATTCGTTGGTTGCTATCGCTTTTAGTTTAAGAGATATTAATTATCAAAAATCGTCGAAAAAAGTATCAAGCACCCCCCCTTGGCAATTTTTTTCTTAAGAATTAAAATTTCATCTCACAGATTTCCGTTTTAACTATCTTATCTTATAGAGATTAGTCCGTAGATTAAGACGCTGCGATCAGATCTTAAATATCTCTTTTAGTTTACGAGATATTCGCGTTTGAATAAAATGGGCAAAAATTGAGAAATGTCACTTTTTAGCACTTTCAGTCGCGATTTTCGACTTTTTACTGTAGGAAATATAATTATTTTATATTTTTATCTGATTGAGAATTTTCCAATCTTTCATAATCAGCAATTCGTTGGTAGCTATCTCTTTTAGTTTAAGAGATATTAATTATCAAAAATCGTCGAAAAAAAGTATCAAGCACCCCCCCTTGGCAATTTTTTCTTAAGAATTAAAATTTCATCTCACAGATTTCCGTTTTAACTATCTTATCTTATAAAGATTAGTCCGTAGATTAAGACGCTGCGATCAGATCTTAAATATCTCTTTTAGTTTACGAGATATTCGCGATTGAATAAAATGGGCAAAAATTGCAAAATGTCACTTTTTAGCACTTTTAGTCGCGTTTTTCGACCTTTTACTGTAGGAAATATAATTATTTTATATTTTTATCTGATTGAGAATCTTCCAATCTTTCATAATCAACAATTCGTTGGTAGCTATCTCTTTTAGTTTAAGAGATATGAATTTTTGAAAATCGTCGAAAAAAAGTATCAAGCACCCCCCCTTGGCAATTTTTTTCTTAAGATTGAAAATTTCATCTCACAGATTTCCGTTTTAACTATTCTATCTGATAGAGATTATCTCTTTTAGTCCGTAGATTAAGACGCTGCGATCAGATCTTAACTTTTATCTCTTTTAGTTTACGAGATATTCGCGTTTGAATAAAATGGCCAAAAATAGAGAAATGTCACTTTTTAGCACTTTCAGTCGCGATTTTCGACCTTTTACTGTAGGAAATATAATTATTTTATATTTTTATCTGATTGAGAATTTTCCAATCTTTCATAATCAGCAATTCGTTGGTAGCTATCTCTTTTATTTTAAGAGATATGAATTATCAAAAATCGTCGAAAAAAAGTATCAAGCAGCCCCCCTTGGCAATTTTTTTCTTAAGAATTAAAATTTCATTTCACAGATTTCCGTTTTAACTATCTTATCTTATAGAGATTAGTCCGTAGATAAAGACGCTGCGATCAGATCCTATTTATTTCTTTTAGTTTACCAGATATTCGCGGTTGAATAAAATGAAATGATTGAACACTCGAACGCGGTGTCACAATAAGTTCGAAATCATTTTCTCTGATGCGGAATTTAATTCTGTGTCTCCCTGTATTGAAATTTATTTACCTCATTTCCAGATATGTATTGACTTGTTTTGCATATTTTTGTTGCATATTTGATAATTTGATGATTTGTTTTGTAGTTGATTAATATTTTCAAAGGTTAGATGGCGCTAAGATTTATGGTTTTGCATTAAATATTGCTTGTTGGTGGTAGTGAGTGCACACCGTGTCCGTGTGGATCACGCGATTTCGCGCAAGAGATAAGTTTGTTTACCTGCAGGTATCGAATCTTTATTTCGTGAAATCAAAACACACCGTTGCTGTTTATTATATTAGGATCGTAAATTTAAGCAAATATTCTTCAATTCCTTCATGAATATGACTAACAATTTTATATTAATTCTAATACATTTTTATTATCAACTGATGATTACGGACTAATGTGTTACCCGGTAAACGAAAAACGATGCATGTTCAAATTAAATATCACTAAATCTGGCAATCTGTCAGCATAAGAAATCAGAAATACGCAAATCGAATTTTAATTTTTTATTATCCTTACTAATCTAAATTTCGAAACCACTGTATCATTTATATATCGCAATAGCATGGACTAAAAATTGTAAAATAAAGCATTGTGTTTATTGGAACACAATATACACTTTCTTATCGCATTGCCGTGTGTCGTCGTTGCCAACACCTCACGCCGCATATTGCTGCATCTTAGTTTAGTTTTGATCCCAGGTAAACTGCCAAATGCAATTCGCGCATATGGTCGCGTTTCATCGACGCACCGCCGGCTTTGCGCATCTCTTGCTTTCTTATCATAAACTGCCTCATCGTTGCTTATACAGCTTGCGACCAGTTTCGTGTCGGTCTCTGGTTGATTCAGACGTGTTTTGTGCGACTCGTATCGTTTATCCGGACTTCTACTTTCCAGTTCGTATTATATTCGATCATCAATTGACTATTTAATTTTTTTAACTTGACTTTAGTAACTTTAGTACTGTTATTTATTATTTGCGCGTACCTAAGTGTATCGCGGCCATGTTGTTTACCTGTTGTGAAGTGCCGTCGGCCATCTTCCAATTGGTAAGAATTGCTATTTATTTTATTCTGCACTTGCGTAAATAACATTGGACTTAATTTAAAGTTAGAATAATAAATGTAATTGATTTAGTTTTCCGTTCTATGCGCCTGTCGGTATCCGATATAACGTCGCGTTCGCCGTGCATGTGTTCCCCTTTCAGGCGCATCATGGCCGCTGCCGGTATTGCGCCTCTGTTGCAAACAATACGGTCTTAAAACCTAATTAATACAGTAAATTCATATGAACGTTTGCATCTTTTATTAAATTCAAATTAAAATCTAAGCGTTTCTAACTTGTGCCGACATTGCCAGCTAGCATTGTGTTCAATCTTCTGACTATTGACGCTTATCGGTGTTTGTTTACAACTAGTGTGTTCTTATCTCGTTCGCCGTGTGGAATGCACCGTGCACCCACATTTCGACAACAAACATCGTGTTTTGATGCACGAATTGATAACATTCTTTTATTTTGCATTTATATAACATGTTTTAACTTTTATTCATTTATTATAGTAATTGAAGAAATACCAGTGAGGGCCATGAGTTACCATACACGTGGAGAGAGTACATGGGTGAGATTATAATTAAATTCTTCATTTCATGGGCATAGTTCAGTTTCGCGTCATTGTAATTGTCATTCCGGTTTGAATTACTATAAATTTAATACATTGCCCGCCTGGGATATGCTTATTTTTACTGATGTTTAATGTTTACACTGGAATGCCCCTGATATGCGAATTTATTGACATTTCTTTTCGGTTTGCTCCCCCGACTGATGCGAGATGCTAGGCCGGTTGATGCATGAAAATAAAACAGATAAAAATATATTTATTCCGTACCCTACAACTTGCACACGAGAATTGTTTGACTTCTATTTATTTATCGGTGTTAGTATTTCTATTCTTTTGATTAAATATTTCATTGAATTATTTTGATTTGTTCTTACCGCAGTTTTATTTGATCGGGAATTTCTCTTCAGTACAGTTCAAAATTTCGGGTTTTGTAGTGTCGATTCAAGCGAACAATTCTGGTTTTAATGCAAATCCATTCTCTGATATGTTTCCTACTTGGCTTCAATACTTGTTCTACGATTCTCAATCTCAGGATTTGCACTCCTGGTAAGTCTCAATTTATTTTTATTTTCTTAGATATATGTACATTTTGCATGTATGTTTATACTTCTGATTGCCAGAAAATTAGGTACGCGAGTTATAGTTAAATTTTTGTATATTTGCGCGTTATTGTTATAACACGCGAACTCGGGCATACCTAGTTCGGATTAATTTTCAGCGAGGATTTCAAAAAGCAGAATTGCCAGAAATCTCCGCCGGGTGGTATTTGTTAGCGGTAGAAGTGACTCGATTCAGGGCACCTTACGAGGCTAGCGGTAAAAGTGACTCGTGTTCAGGGCACCGTAGGAACCCGCGAAAATTTGAATGAAAGGGTGATTTTTGTCACTCCTTGCGCTAGGAATTGTAGTTTTTTTGTTATAACACGCGAACGCGGTGTCATAATTAGTTCGGATTAATTTTCCCAGATGCAGAATTTAATTTTGCATCTCCCAGTATAAAAATGTTTTGCCAGAAAATTCCGTAACGCGAGTTATAATGAAAGTTGTGTTTGCGCCGTAGTACTCGTTGCGCTAGGAATTGTAGTTTTTTTGTTATAACACGCGAACGCGGTGTCATAATTAGTTCGGATTAATTTTCCCAGATGCAGAATTTAATTCTGCATCTCCCAGTATAAAAATGTTTTGCCAGAAAATTCCGTAACGCGAGTTATAATGAAAGTTGTGTTTGCGCCGTAGTACTCGTTGCGCTAGGAATTGTAGTTTTTTTGTTATAACACGCGAACGCGGTGTCATAATTAGTTCGGATTAATTTTCCCAGATGCAGAATTTAATTTTGCATCTCCCAGTATAAAAATGTTTTGCCAGAAAATTCCGTAACGCGAGTTATAGTGAAAGTTGTGTTTGCGCCGTAGTACTCGTTGCGCTAGGAATTGTAGTTTTTTTGTTATAACACGCGAACGCGGTGTCATAATTAGTTCGGATTAATTTTCCCAGATGCAGAATTTAATTTTGCATCTCCCAGTATAAAAATGTTTTGCCAGAAAATTCCGTAACGCGAGTTATAATGAAAGTTGTGTTTGCGCCGTAGTACTCGTTGCGCTAGGAATTGTAGTTTTTTTTAGTATAACACGCGAACGCGCTGCTAGAATATGTTTGAATTAATTTTCCCAGATGAACATTTAATTCTGTGTCTCTCGGTATTGAAATTTATTGCGAGATTTATATATACTAATACTTATTATAGAGTCCGAGAAATTAAAGATTGGATTGCCGGTGTTGATGATGATTCCAAATACGATTGAATGAATTTACAACATTTTGAAGCTGTTATTGATATCATTTTTGTTTATTTTGTTAATAGTTATAAAAAGAGCATTATATAATTGTATAATATTATCCTGTTTTTATGCTTGTATTTTTAAAAATGCTGTATATATTCAAAAATTGAGTTTGTGATGTATATGTATTCTACATGTTCAAATAAAAATTGTAGTTTTATATTTTTAACTATAAATTTTTATTGTTTTATTTGTCCCAAACCGAGAACATAGCTCGCAACATCATTACTCTTTTAATTAATCTATAAATTCCTTAAACTTAAATGGTAATGTCACTGTTAGATATGGGAAATAATTCAAAGTCAATTTGTATCAATATTAATTTGAAAACGGTATCACTAGTGCCATCTATCCATGAGTCACTAAACTACGTCGCTATTAGAAATTACCTGCTATTCACCAGCCTACTGCACTTTCTGCGATCCTAATATTCAAAAGATTTTTGTGTATAATTTCACTGGAATTTGTCGACAAAATTTTTTGTGCCATGTTTGTGGTTTTTCAATAATGATGCCATCTTGTCCAGAATTCTTCAAGGATCAAGAATATGTAGTTCTTTTTTTTCTAGCCCTTCTAGTTGTCGAGATAATTACCATTTAATCTTCATAAATTAGACGATTCCGACGGGATACACGTATTTTATTATAATTGCAAATAGGGCCTAAACGGTTAATGCTAGGAAAAAACTTTACTAAAATAATCGATGTATAGAATTAAATTATATATCAGCAGCCTCAAACAGAATTTCAAAATTCCAACTTTTAATTTTCAACATAAAAGAAATCTTTTGCCTTTTTTATATAAAACTTTTCTTTAAAATTTTTGTGCCCATTTCTTCATTTGAAAATTATGCCATCTTGTCTAGAATTCTTTGGGATCAAGAATATGTAGTTATTTTTATTCTAGCCCTTTTGGTTGTCGAGATAGCTAATTTATGAAGATTAAATAGTGAGATATCTCGACAACTAAAAGGGGCTAGAATAAAAATAATTGCATATTCTTGATCCCAGGAAAATTCCTGGACAAGATAAGCATCATTATTGAAAAACCAAAAATGGCACAAAATTTTTTAAAGAAAAGATTTTGTTATAAAAAGGCAAAAGATTTCTCTTTTTTATGTTGAAAATTAAAAGTTGAATTTTAAATTCTGTTTTCGGATTATGTGATTGATAATTTAATTTTACATCGATTATTTTAGTAACTTTTTGGCTTTATGCTAACCGTTTAGGGCCCTATTTGCAATTTTGAAAACAACATTCGACATAAAAAAGAAAAATGTTTTGCCTTTTATGACGAAATCTTTTTTCAGCAAAATGCAGGTTCTGTAATAATTGAATTTGTAAATTTGCTTTCGGATTCTGAAAGTAGATTAAATTTGAATCGGAAACCAGTAACACACTTAGCAATACGTAGTATTTGTACTTCCGTTGCGGTTGCTACCAAAATCCCACAAAACCATCAAAAATTAGTCCTTCGAACATAAAAATGCACTTTTTTGGGATCAATTTGTACGATAATCACAAAAGTTATTGAGGAAAATGATAAAGGGAATTGAGTACTTACAATCTGATACTAGAATGGTCTTCTACGATGTCATATTCAGGTGCAAAATCCCTAAAACAAGCAAAAATTAGTCTTTGAACATAAAATGCACTTTTTGGGATCAATTTGTACGATAATCACAAAGTTATTGAGGAAAATGATAAAGGGAATTAGTACTTTCAATCTGATACAGAATGAATTCCTTCTACGATGTCAGACTCAGGTGCAAAATCCTAAAAACTTAAGCAAGAATTAGTCCTTCAAACATAAAATGCAATTTTGGGGGTCAATTTGTGATAATCATAAAGTTATTTAGAAAATGATAAAGGAATTAGTACTTACAATCTGATACTAGAATGAGGTCCTTCTACGATGTCAGACTCAGATGCAAAATCTAAAACAAGCTAAAAATTAGTCCTTCAAACATAAAAATACAATTTTGGGGGTCAATTTGTACGATAATCATAAAAGTTATTTAAGAAATGATAGAGGTTCATTTACTTTATTTGATACCAAAATGGTCCTTCTACGATGTTAGACTCAAGGTACAAAAATCCCTAAAACCATCAAAAGGTAGTCCTTCGAACATAAAATGCACTTTTTGGGATCAATTTGTACGATAATCCCAAAAGTTATTGAGAAAATGATAAAGGGTAATTACTTTACAATCTGATACTAGAATGGTCCTTCTACGATATGCATATTCAGGTGCAAAATCCTAAAACAAGCAAAAGTAGTCTTTTGAACATAAAATGCACTTTTGGGATCAATTTTATTTTGATAATCACAAAGTTATTGAGGAAAATGATAAAGGAATTAGTACTTTCAATCTGATACAGAATGGTCCTTCTACGATGTCAGACTTTCAGGTGCAAAATCCCTAAAACAAGCAAAATTAGTCTTTTGAACATAAAAATGCAATTTTAAGGGTTAATTTAGAGACTATTCACAAAGTTATTTAGAAAAAGATGATAAAGAGAATTGAAGTACACAATCTGATACTAGAATGGTCCTTCTACGATGTCAGACTCAGGTGCAAATCCCTAAAACAAGCAAAATTAGTCTTTTTTAGACATAAAAATGCACTTTTTTGGGATCAATTTGTACGATGTCACAAAAGGAGTTATAGAAAAATGATAAAGGAATTAGTACTTACAATCTGATACCAAAATAGTCCTTCTACGATGTTGGGCTCAGGTGCGGAAATCCACTAAAACCATCAAAATTGGTCACCTTCGAACATAAAAATGCACTTTTTTGGGATCAATTTGTAGAATGTCACAAAAGTTGTGAGAATGATAGAATTGAAGTACTTTACAATCTGATACTAGAATGGTCCTTCTACGATGTCAGACTCAGGTGCAAAATCCCTAAAACAAGCAAAAATTAGTCTTTTGAACATAAAAATGCACTTTTTGGGATCAATTTGTACGATAATCACAAAAGTTATTGAGGAAAATGATAAAGGAATTAATTACTTACAATCTGATACCAGAATGGTCCTTCTACGATGTCAGACTCAGGTGCAAAATCCCTAAAACAAGCAAAAATTAGTCCTTCGAACATAAAAATGCAATTTTGAGGGTCAATTTGTACGATAATCACAAAAGTTATTTAGAAAAATGATAAAGGAATTAATTACTTACAATCTGATACTAGAATGGTCCTTCTACGATGTCAGACTCAGGTGCAAAATCCCTAAAACAAGCAAAAATTAGTCCTTCAAACATAAAAATGCAATTTTGGGGGTCAATTTGTACGATAATCATAAAAGTTATTTAAAAAAATGATAAAGGAATTAATTACTTACAATCTGATACCAAAATGGTCCTTCTACGATGTTAGACTCAGGTGCAAAATCCCTAAAACCATCAAAAATTAGTCCTTCGAACATAAAAATGCACTTTTTGGGATCAATTTGTACGATAATCACAAAAGTTATTGAGGAAAATGATAAAGGAATTAATTACTTACAATCTGATACTAGAATGGTCCTTCTACGATGTCATATTCAGGTGCAAAATCCCTAAAACAAGCAAAAATTAGTCTTTTGAACATAAAAATGCACTTTTTGGGATCAATTTGTACGATAATCACAAAAGTTATTGAGGAAAATGATAAAGGAATTAATTACTTTCAATCTGATACCAGAATGGTCCTTCTACGATGTCAGACTCAGGTGCAAAATCCCTAAAACAAGCAAAAATTAGTCCTTCAAACATAAAAATGCAATTTTGGGGGTCAATTTGTACGATAATCATAAAAGTTATTTAGAAAAATGATAAAGGAATTAATTACTTACAATCTGATACTAGAATGGTCCTTCTACGATGTCAGACTCAGATGCAAAATCCCTAAAACAAGCAAAAATTAGTCCTCGCCTGACAAGAATTACCCAGGTGGAAAGTTTTCAATAACCATCCCCTGAGCCGGGTTAATGTTATTTCGATTATTTTTTTAATAAATCAAAGCAAATAATCGAGATAACAATGGCAAAAATGTGTTCATCGGCTGCACCGCCCTTCCGATATGTGTAAGGTAAGTGTAATGTGTGTGTATGTGTTAGTGTAGTGTTGGTTGTGTAGTGTCTGTCGCTCGCGATGGACATGCAACCCGATTGTCCATTATATCAAATTTATAATTATGAATATGATGATGAACGCGGCGACCACCCTCAGAGGTTCCAGATGGGTGCAGTCTCTGTCCTCACCTCCAAAGGCAGTATGTTGATTGATGCGGAAACATGCAGTGTTTGTTTAATAATAATTATGTTGCGCCCCTGATTACCACGCGGTAGACGCGGCGCGGTTGTTAAAATTCGAATATAGATAATTTTTAATATTGTTCGTATTGTTTAATGTTGTTCGCAGAAGAATTGACTTGATTTTATTTGTCTAAAATTCGCGATATAGAAACGAAATGATACTACCCATACCCCGTAGACACCTCGACGTTGGCAGAAACTCATCGTGTTCCTTCCTAAAACAATAAATATATTGTAGAAGGTGTTAAAGTAGACAAAATAAGGTTAATTATTACTTTCAACTATCTACAGTTGAAAATACAAGTCACATTGAAATTTGTAAGTGACAAAACTGAGTAATAACCAAAAATAAAGTCAACTTACTTCGGCTTTGTTACATCTATGAATTAAGGAAATCAGCAACAGAAGGTAATGATAACTGATTGCATTTCAATGTTCATTTTGCAGTCCACTATAACTACAACTAATACTACTACTACTTTCTATTACTACGACTACGTGCATTCTACTACTACACTACGAACTGCTCGTGAACATATGAAACACAATTCAAAGTTATCTCATTCTGAGATTTGATTATTTTTCTTCTGTATTCTTTTTTGTAGAATAAGATATCTTCTATTTTCTTTCTTCTTAGTCTTCTTCACTCTTCTATTTTCTTTCTTCTTAGTTTTCTTCACTTTTCTATTTTCATTCTTCTTAGTCTTCTTTACTCTTCTATTTTCTTTCTTCTTAGTCTTCTTCACTCTTTTATTTTCTTTCTTCTTAGTCTTCTATTTTCTTTCTTCTTAGTTTTCTTCACTTTTCTATTTTCATTCTTCTTAGTCTTCTTTACTCTTCTATTTTCTTTCTTCTTAGTCTTCTTCACTCTTTTATTTTCTTTCTTCTTAGTCTTCTATTTTCTTTCTTCTTAGTTTTCTTCACTTTTCTATTTTCTTTCTTCTTAGTCTTCTTTACTCTTCTATTTTCTTTCTTCTTAGTCTTCTTCACTCTTCATTTTTCTTCACAAATCTATGAAAAACAAAAAATACTAAGGCAATTAAAAAATTTATAATTAGTGTGTATGTTGCTGCGCTATGCCCCCATATACTTAAAACCTCATCTTCATCCCCAGAGAAATGATGCCATCATCCAACTTCTGTAAATAATTTTATAAATACTCATGAAGACGTAATTTATATAACATCAAATAAGAAATTCAAAACATGTTAATATTAAAATATTATTGAAATTTGATAATTACGAAAATTAATAATATTGTGAGTAGAATTTAATTGATATTAATTGTAAATCCACTCACCTCAGCATTTTGCCGACTGTTCATACCCTTGGAGGCAGCAGCCCATTCCTTGACGGGTATACACATCGAACCCTGCCCCAAAAGCTTTTTTTTCGTTGGGAAGCTGGATACATCAGAATCGATCTCGGCATGAATAGAACTGCATCACATCGGATTCTTCTTCAGCTACGGTTAACAATAATATAATAAGTAAATAAAATTATATAATAAAAAATGAATACAACACTCACCTCAGTTACTTTCCGGCTTTGCAAGGGTAGGAACCCATTCCTTGATGGGTATACACATCAGGCCCTGACCCTTGGTGATCAGCTGGACAACTGGCTAATTTGTGACCGTTAGGATCAACCTCGACGTGGACGGATCACATCTTCTTCTTTGACTTCTGTTAACAGTCAAAAAAAAATTAATCAAATATTATTACGAACAAATATTAATTTATTCCCCGGGAGACAGCAGCCTATTCCTTGATGGGTATACACATCGGAAGTTCATGAAAGTTCTAAAAACAGAAATAATTATTTTAAAATGTATTAATATTGAATTATTTGTATTAGTTGTTACTCGTAGTTAATATTGTAATAAAACTCACGTCAGTTTCTTTCCAGTTTGGCATACCCCTGAGGGCAGTAGCCCATTCCTTGATGGGTATACACATCGGGCCCTGATCCCCAAAGGCGGAAAGATAGCTGAACCAGTCTTTCAGGATCGACATCGGCGTTAGTGGAACCGCATCACATCGGCCTCTTCTTCTTCGTCTTCAGCTGAAATTAACATCAATAAAATAAGTAAATAAAAAATCTTGTGATAAAAAAATGATTGTAATAAAACTCACCTCAGTTTCTTTCCAGTTTGGCAAACCACTGAGGGCAGTAGCCCATTCCTTGATGGGTATACACATCAGGCCCTGACCCCCAAAGGCGGAAAGATACCTGAGCCAAGACCTTCAGGATCGACATCGGCGTTAGTGGAACTGCATCATATCGGCGTCTTCTTCTTCGTCTTCAGCTGAGATTAACATCCATAAAATAAGTAAATAAAAAAGTGATAAGAAAAATGTTGTAATAAAACTCACCTCAGTTTCTTTCCAGTTTGGCATACCCCTGAGGGCAGTAGCCCATTCCTTGATGGGTATACACATCAGGCCCTGACCCCCAAAGGCGGAAAGATAGCTGAGCTGAGACCTTCAGGATCGACATCGGCGTTAGTGGAACTGCATCACATCGGCCTCTTCTTCTTCGTCTTCAGCTGAAATTAACATCAATAAAATAAGTAAATAAAAATCTTGTGATAAAAAATTGATTGTAATAAAACTCACCTCAGTTTCTTTCCAGTTTTGCAAACCCCTGAGGGTAGTAGCCCATTCCTTGATGGGTATACACATCAGCTGAAATTAACATCAATAAAATAAGTAAATAAAAAATCTAGTGATAAGAAAATGATTGTAATAAAACTCACCTCAGTTTCTTTCCAATTTGGCATACCCCTGAGGGCAGTAGCCCATTCCTTGATGGGTATACACACCAGGCCCTGACCCCCAAAGGCGGAAAGATACCTGAGCCAAGACCTTCAGGATCGACATCGGCGTTAGTGGAACTGCATCATATCGGCGTCTTCTTCTTCGTCTTCAGCTGAGATTAACATCCATAAAATAAGTAAATAAAAAAGTGATAAGAAAAATGTTGTAATAAAACTCACCTCAGTTTTCTTTCAGTTTGGCATACCCTGAGGTCAGTAGCCCATTCCTTGATGGGGTATACACATTCAGGCCCTGACTAAAGGCAGAAAAGATAGCTGAGCCAGAGACCTTCAGGATCGACATCGGCGTTAGTGGAACGCTGCATCACATCAGCCTCTTCTTCTTCGTCTTCAGCTGAAATTAACATCAATAAAATAAATGAAATAAAAAAATCTAGTGATAAAAATTGTGTAATAGAAACTCACCTCAGTTTCTTTCAGTTTTGACCCTGAGGGTAGTAGCCCATTCCTTGATGGGTATACACATCAGGCCCTGACCCCCAAGGCGGAAGATGGCTGGGCTGAGACATTCACAATCCAACCTCGGCGTGGACGGATCATCTGCTTCTTCGGCATCTTCTGCTAACATTAAAATATATATATGAAAATAAATATTATTGCGACCAAATTTATTGTAAATGTAGCTCACCTCAACTTCTTTTGATAATACTTATATATCAATAAAACGCCTCATCTCTTCTTGGCCTCGGATGGAAGGATCTTCTTGTTTCGCATTCAACAACGAGCAGCAGCGTGCAACATGACTAGCTTCAAACCAGTGACTTTTCTGCAATCGTACCAAACTGTTTAGAGCCTGTAAAGGAGTATTAAATATTTCACGACTTACTCCCACTTACTCACTTTTTAACACTTGTGTAACGGCCCTTTATACATACTTCAACACTCGTGCTATTAATAATTCACAGCTTACTTCACTATAAGTTGATATCAGCATTTAAAACGTTTCCATTTTATTTCATTTCTCTTTCTGAGATGTATCCAATTCCATTTATTTTCAGTTGAGGATGATATTTTTCTTGATAAGTTCCTTCTTCTGGGGTTTTGTCTTCTGTCTTCTATACTTCTAAATAGTTGTTGATTCTTTTAAAACACTGTATAAACACACTCGCGCACTATATAAACACACTCGTGCACTATATAAAAACGCACAAACTTTTGTAATAATTTACATGCAGTTGCTATCCATATCCAATTCCAATTTTCAATTTGATTCAATTGTTCAATTTTTCTCTTTGTATCTTACTTGAAGTTCATTCCATAGTTGTTACTGTTAATTCAGGATCCATTATATCTTCGACTTCTGGTAATTTCTCGTTCTTCGTTCGGAATAATTCGATTGGCTGATATTTTTCATTTTCTTAATCTTCATACATCTTTGGGAAAATTCTCCATCTGCTTGATTTCTTCGTGTCTTATTATAAATGATGCTATTTGAAGTTGGCTGCTTGCAAATGTTTTCTCCAGAAAATAAAATCTAATACAATCTTTGAGTATCATTCTTGAAATTCGATTTTCACTCCCGCACTATAATTCAACACTCGGGCACAATATTGCAACACTCCCGCACTATTAATAATGCACATCACTGCACAAAAGTTGATACGTTGAAAATGTGATATGTAGGTGTTTTTGTGTTAAAAATGTAAGGTAAGATGTGCCGAAGCACACCACTACCCAAGAACCCTGACAATGATCATGAACAGGGTAGAAAGTGTAAGTGTATGTGTGTGTGTGTGTATGTAAATGTAAAAACTGATGAAATTCGATTTTCACTCCCGCACTATAATTCAACACACGCGCACTATATAAAAATGCACAAACACAATTATTTATGACAGTTGAGACTCATATCCAATTTCTATTTTCATTTTGATCAAATTTTTCTATTCCATTTTACTCGTTGTATTTAACTTGTAGTTCATTATTTAGTTGTTCCTGTTAATTCAGGACCCATTCTATCTTCGACTTCGCTCCTCGTTTGGAATAATTCAGTCCGCCAATATTTTCCATTTTCTTAATGGAATCCACGTACATCTTGAAGAAAATTCTCCATCTGCTTGGTTTCTTCGTGTCTTATTATAAATTATGCAATTTAAAGTTGGCTGCCTGCAAATGTTTTCGCCAGAATATGAAATCTAATTCAATATTTGAGTATCATTCTTCATTTTATTCGGTTTCTATTGTTGCTGACCCAATGTTGTATGGTTTTAATTTATGTTATTTATGATGATGTAAAAAATGTGTAGGTGTAGTTGTGTTAAAAATGTTAGGTAAGCCGTGCCGAAGCACAGCAATACCCTAAGAGCCCAGTCAATGATCATGAACAGGGCAGAAAGTGTAAGTGTATGTGTGTGTGTGTGTGTGTGTGTAGTTGTTAACCGATTGACTCTAAGTATTTTAACGCAAAATTGAAATGAAGTTCAGTTGAAATTAAAGCAGATTTTGTTTCTAATTGATACTGACTGGTTCTTGGTTGCCGTCCCATTTTAAACGCAATTTCGTCAATTTTCTCATTTCTATAATCTATTCTATCCATTTAAGATCTTCTTCCTTTGGTATATTGCAGAAATCCTTTCCCATCATATCAGAATCCCGTATCTTGAATTATCTTCTTTATCGATTGATGAATAATGATGGATTGACATTTGCAGCAGCAAAGCATTCAGCTTTTCGAGTTCGCTGTGAGCGGTTTTCCATAAATTTTAACAGTTTTTAATAAGACACAAGGACTAGTAATAAATGATTATTAATACACTCATATCAATGATTCTACCAGTGCACCAAGCACTTCGAATACCTGTATCAAACAGACAAGCAAACAAAGTTGTGATTAGTAAATTTCAAGATTAAAACACAAAACAGCATAGAACATCCACAACGGCCTAGCATCCAGGATCCTGCAACATAAATTAAAATATTAGTTATCAATTCAAACAAAACGCCCTGAAAACATAGAAGAAATCTGCAAAATCGTTTGGCGATCTGTGCTCGGATGCAAAAACGATTTTGCAACGAAAACAAAAGTGACCGATCGCTTACATCCCAGCGGCAGCAGCCGGTTTTTGGTTGCCCAAAATTTAACACGACATACACAAATGAAATGAAATATTAGTCATTAAGTGCAACACACAATCATACAAAGCAATAATCCATTCAACAATCAATCCATTCATTCTTAAAATTGTTTACAGTTGCAGATTTGACTCTGCTAAAAATGCCCCGACCGATGCATTGATTTGATTAGTGTTATTTGTGGTGTTCTGCGTGAACAGAACGTGTAAGTGTTGTGTTGAGAATGTAAGGTGAAGATGTGCCTAGACACACCAAGACCCAAGAACCCAGACGCTCGCCGAAACGAACAGGGCAAAAGTGTAAGTGATTGTGTTGTGTTTAGTGTGCGTGTGTGTGTGTGTGAGATTTTACGTGCTTTCGTGCGAAAACGGATAATAAACAATATTCGGTTGGAATATGAGCAAATTAGTAAAGTGCAAGAAAAGTGTTCACGGTGACACATTATTATTAATGAAACTAATACAAACTGTTAATAAACTTTGAGTTTTGAGTTTGAAAACGCGATTGAATCTACCGCGATCGCGATAGGAATAATAAATGTAAACTCACTGCGTATAGACATCCGGCGTCTCTAGCAATGCTGGGAGGATTAGTCGAATGACCAAGTACTGGTTACACACGCCACCCCCAGATACAAGAGTGTCATGCATACGCCAGCCTTCTGATCAGTAACATCACCCCTGCCTACCTTAATCCCATTCCTCGAAATGTCGCACTACAATGTCAATGCAACATTTCGCAGGAGAATCCATCGTTGATTTGGGAAAGTTTGGTGTCGAGAGTCGGGGCCTATTGGTCCATCCTTCCTTCATTGGTCCCTTTGTCACACATCGGTTTATTCCTTAACCATTGGTCCTTTTCTCGGTTGTCGATCTATTCCATGTTTTCCATTACTTGGTCTCATTTGATTGTTGTTTCCTAAAGTAAACAAAATATATTTGTATTTAATTATTAATATCGCATGCAAAGACAGAAAAGTGAAAAACTTATAAAATTATAGAAAATTTACCGAAGTCACTGGGAATGGATTTGTTTTCTCACACTAAGCGGTAAGTACGTAAGTTTCAATCAGCAAAATTGCTTTAGTTTCTTTATGCTCACTTCTTTTGTTCGGTTGTCTGTTGTTAATAATAACTCCTAAAAAAATTAATTAATTTAGAATATTTTAATGTATTATTGTTTATTTTTTTTAATACTCACCAATTTCACACTGAGTTGTTAGAAAATATTCACTGTTCACAATAGGTTGTTAGGTATTCTTGTTCATAGCTCTAAAAAATATTTAAAAAAAATTGATTTAAAATATTTTAATGATATTGATATTTATTTTCGTTAATAATACTTACCAATTAACCAGTGGGCTGTTAGAAATTATTCGTTTTTTTCTTCACAATAAGCTTGTTTTTATTATTTTCGTTCATAGTAGGTAACACTAAAATAAAAATAAAAATTAAATTTTTTTAATTAAATTATCGTATCTTCCGTTTTAATACTCACCAATTGATTTCAGGTTACACTAGTAGTTTAAATGTGTTACTCTTTGTTCCTTTGTTCAAGTTGGGTTAATCGCCATGTTTAAAACTTACGGACGAATTCTATTGGCTGCTGCCAACTGACAAAAACTAACCCGGGCGAGGTTGCCAAAAATTCAAGGCAAATTTTTGCGCAGAGCGACCGTGACGATGTGCACCCGAAAAAGTATGAAATTGAAGTGATCGAGCCGATCTAAAATTGCCGCCTTATATAGTTTCCGAGGTGGTGGAGGAAAATTTGCAAAAACAAAAATTTTAACTTTTTATTTAGAAAGTATGTGATAATTCTAACTTTATGAAAACAATCTAGGATTAATATCATGAATTTTGATACATTTTTTTCGCTTCAAGATGGTCTAAATCCGCTGAAATAAATTTTTAAAAATTCGTACTTTTTTACCCGGGCTCTTATGGAAGAAAAATTATTTCACGAAAAAATTAACGAATTAGATCGGGAATGACACAAAATGTGCAGAATTTTGCGCCCTTTTCAATGATGTATCACACTTCAGGATTTATAGTGAGGTTTGGTTTTAAATCGCGAGAGAAGTTTTGACCGTTGACGTGTCAATTTCAAGAAGAAAAATCGTTGACAGCAAAAATGCTTTTGCGAATTTCTCTTCAATCTTACGTTAAGAGTTAAATCCAAGTGCGGCATCGTGATCCTCGCAGTCGAATACACCCCGGAGAGTGTTATTTTCACGAATCTCACTTTAATTCAAAAGATACGCCAAGTGTTAATTTTAAGTGCACCAGGTGTGTTTGCAGGAGTCTCACAGCTTTCCTGCGGTGCTACCCGCAAATCCGAGGCTGGCAATCGCTAGATCAACTCATAAACTATCGATATCAACCTTTGTATGGTGCTGAAACGTTCTGTGGATGATGTGATCGAATTGGAAACACGTGGTGTGCCTGAACCTCAACTTGCAACATTGTTATGGGCCCCCAAGAGTTAATTACAACTCAGAAGCAGGAAAATCAGCCTTGGAGACATCAATTAGGACCTTAGCTAAATGCTCAATGCATTTGTTGCAGTTATGAAGGTGTGTAGAGCTTTTTATGTGGGTGTGAGTTTTGTGCATATACATGAGAAGGGCTGGGGGCTGATTTTTCAGTTGTTTAATCCTAACGAGTGATTGTTTTGCATGTGTGTTGGTGTAGAAAGCTTGGCGCTTAGTTAAACTACAAAATTCTTTTTGAAAAACACAAAATGGTATTATATATGCAAAGATATAACTCAAAATAACTTCACAACCTTAAAATCACATTTTATTTGTTTAAAACAATAGTTTAATACCGATTTGATTCAAGAAAACATATTCTGAACGTGAAATAATGTCTAATGAATGTTTTTAGCGAAGATTCTGTGTTTTTAAATCATATTTTTCTGTTACAGACTCAGTGTGACATCTGATATCTCCTGTACTCTTATTGGTGCTGATAACAGTGAAAGGAGAGAGACATTCGCAATTCTGACTGCACGTGGTTCTTAAACAAGTTTGGATACCCCTATAAACGTTTTGTTTGCATTTATGGAGCATTGAATTTAGTTTAAACTTCATGGGTTGGACAGGAATTAGTGCTCGAAGTGACTATTTTGGTGTATTCTTGATGATAACTCTGGATGTGATAAGAATATTGAAATTCTGATTGCGGAATCTGATTCAGCGGGTCCAAATACAGGTGTAAGCATATAAACAAGTTTCTAGTTGGTTTCTAATTGTGTTTGTTTTAGGTTTGTAAGAGCAGCACAAGGGGTGGTCATTCGCCATGCTTCAAGTTGGAACGTCTTCAGGTATTCCTACCTGACGGCAAGGCCACGCCTTTCATGTAAATACACAACTGTTGAAGCAGCCAACATAGATGGGAGGTCAGACTTAATCTTATCAATAGAAGTTGGGTTTGAGATACCTGACTGAGCGAGTTGACTACGGTCAACGGATTAACAATGCATTCGCTCTACCTGTATATGTTTCATTTCGTTATTCTATTTAGTTATGTTTAGAATTATTATATAGTGTGTACTATGTACTTAAAGAGGTAGATTTTATTTTTTAATTGTTAAAGATGAAGTTAAAATGACCTGTAAATGTATAGTTTGCTTGCTTGTAATTAATTTTAGAAGTTAAGTGTAAAAATGATTTATTTTTCATCTAATTAGACGGTTTTGTATAAACACTGTTATAATAACGATTATTAAATAGCAATAGTTAAGATAATATGTCACTTGGATTATTTATGTTACGTTGCAAATTGTAAATGTGGTAATTGCACCAATGAACAATATCAAGACATTAATCATATGGGGAGGAAGAAAAGATAAAACCAGTTCTGTAAATTCTTCCCCTAAGCCTAAGCATGTATAATAATGCAAATGACCAAAGAATATCAACCATAACATAAGAACGTAATGTAACAGAATATAAAGAAAAACATTATATATCTGTAAGTTTTTCTGAAAATTTTTATACAATGTGGCTCGCAAACTATAAGAGATAGAAATGTACGCGTTGAAAATTGTTAAGCTACGGGAAATTCTCAATAAGATAAGCTAATTCTATTGGGAATCGAAGAGATGAAAATATAATTTATAGAGAAGAATAAGAGGCATTGAAAATAGATCATAACGAAAAATTGGCAAAGATTTTGATTGCGATTATCTCACTTACCTTTGCGCTGACAATATTAATGTAACAGGAATGAACAATAAATCCAATAGGAATTACTAGCCTCCAGAAGACATCTAACACTTGGCAATCACAACACATAGGAGCACAGGATACATCTATTCACTTCCATTATTAAACTAGTTGAATTCTCAAGAATATTAAGTCACTATGAAGATCGACTGATGAACAAAACACGTGCATGTCACACCACAGCGCACGACCGACTAAATAAGATAAACAATTGATATCAAAGGTGATACTATCGTAAACAAGTCGTAAACTAGCGGTGCAAAATTGCCCCTCTCTAGATCTTGTACATATAAAACAACACAAACATTGAATTCTATAAAATGTATTTATATAGTTATAACATATTTTTATCTGAAATACAATAAAATACATTAGTTATGCACTAAACATGAGAATACAATAATGATAACTTACACTATCTTATACTTTTAAACTTCTATAAGTTCTTCTAAAAGTTAACAATAAACTCGATGGCCTGGGTGAAAACTGACCACTCGAGGAACGACTCTGTTGTTTCTTCTTTTCCACTTCTGATCGCAGGGGTCTTTTGGGAGTCAGCTTAACAAATAAAATATTTCAATAAGAAAAGTAGGAAAATGTGATACATTTTCACAAACTTCTTGCAACGCAACGCAAAGCCCTGATGGTATTCTCCATACCCAAAGTATACCATTGTGTTGTCACCAAATGCGCTGATGATGCGCTGTTCATCTTCGGCTCTAATTACTTGCGCGTCATTACTCTTTATTTTTTTCTTCTTGAGCGTACTTGGAGTTCCTACAAGACTGGGAGCTGGCGACAACAGAAAACTCTTCAATCAATCATCATCACACTCAAAAAAAATCAATCAATCTGGAAAAAGTCATAAATATTAAAAAGTTGTTAATTTCTGGTGCAAAATCATCGAAACCTACACAAAAAGAAAATAAAACACGCATGGCACATTTCATCATTTATTATGCCAGTATGCCAGAACTGGGGATCGAACCACCAACCCAAAGCACCACAGCACACCCTACGTACCACTGAGCTACAACTCTCTTTTATCAAACCTTACTTGTTTCAACTTTATATAATTACAAATACGAAATCTTATTACAGATTTATAAAACTATACCTATACTGATACTCGTGTTAAACATGCCTTAAAACTTAACCTGAAACAATACGTTAACACAAGGCTTAAATGTGTACGAGTAATTAAAATTAACAAGTGTAACGCAACATTATTTACTGAATAATATTCATTTATTTAAAAAAAAAACAACACGAATAGGTATAAATTAAAAAATTTAATTTAATTATTATCAGCATTTTCAAACATTATTTTTAAATTTCATCGATTCTATTCTGCAATTTAGGTAGATACATCGGAAAATGAGGATTGTCATGATCATGCGCCGTATTTGCTCTTGATGATCCAGCCTCAGTAGTTCAGTCCGCTGCACACAAAGTTTGAAACAGTTCTCAAAGTCGCGCGGTGCAAAAATGTTAATCTAACTGCAAATACAATTCAAATATTTAAAAATGAATAAATTAATAATAATTTCCATGTGCTATTTTGTGATATTCATTAATAATAAACAAATATTTGTACAAAGTGAGTTAATAGACATTACAATTGATGAAAACGCAGAAGTTGCCAATATTTCCGCTTAGTAAGTATAAAAAATATTTCACAATCAATATAATTTTTTAAAATTTAATTATTATATTTAGTTTTTAATCTTCTGGGACAAATACAAAAAAATATTATCATACTATCACTTAAAATCCAAATTTCAAATATTTTTCTCATTAAAATATACAATTAAAGTTTCAAAATATTAAATAATCAACAATTATATAAACAATCCACGGTTAAATAAAAGATACAACTCGTATCTTTGGCGCCAAGTTGTCTACAATCTATTGATCCTGAACTTGTCTACATCTCTCTGAAAGAGAGTAGTTCCGCGCGCCCCCAATTTTCCTGTCCTCCTGCGTTTCTCCCAACTTTCTTAAATCACGCTGGTATAACATTAACATCTATCTACCATTAACATGCTTATTGCTCATTATCGTCACATTTCCTTCTAATTACATAACATCATTCTTTTAGCATGCGACAATGGGCATCCAGTTTAAGTCAAGAACTCGCAACACTTTCAAAATTAGCGCGACGAGAAAAAGTTGAAAAAAGCTTTGAAAATTACGCAATTTACGACGAAAAATGGGACAACATCGTCGAGGAAGTTGCAACCAATATCCGCGTGATGATGGCTGAAAAATCAAAGCAGTACAAGCAATCAAACAACATGCTGAACTTTTATCATTGTATCGCAAAGAAAACATCACCAGACATTCATCCTACGATTATTATGATGCAAATAATTTAACAAAAACCGAAGATGTAGAAGATCGCAGTGAAGATATTGAAGAAGTAATAAATTCAATTTTAATTTCATCACAAAAATAATTGTTTATTTTTTATAATGTTTCAGGCGGAGAAAATTTGGAAATGTTCAATTCCTACCACATTGAATTACAGCACGGCAGACTTGTGTTTTGATAACAGTTACACCTATCAAAGTGATGCTCCATATGCTTATGCATCAACAGAATACGACGCATTTAATTACCGCAAAACTAGTCAATCAAACAGTTTTCTTGGACGGTGCGACAAAATCGCATTTCTATATCGTCCGAAAGATTATTATCGCGATATGAACTTAAAGGATCACCCACAATTTGAAACTGCAGTTAATTTAAACTATAGCATTGTCCGGGTAACACCCAGTGTGTACAACAGAGGTAAACAATCATAATAAAACTTAAATTTCTTAAAAATCGCATTTTTGTTATTTTTTATTGTTTCAGATGATGAATTGTTAAACGAAATCCGTTGGTCCGAGGCACTAGATCTAACATTCAAATGTAACTTTCGTAGGGATCCAACACTTACCTATCAATATTTCGGCAGCCCCAAAGGATTCATGCGATTTTACCCAGCGACTCAATGGTCATCTGAAACATACGATGATTCAATAGATTTCCGCATACGTTCATGGTACATAGAAGCAATGTCATCTGCAAAAGATATTATCATCTTATTAGATCGTTCTGGATCTATGCTGAGCAATTCCAGACGTAGCACAGCTAATGAAATAGTTAACTCAATCTTGGACACTCTTACAGATAATGATTACGTTAATATTTACACGTTTACTAATTCAACAGAGTCTTTAGTCGATTGTTTTAATGATACATTGGTTCAGGTAATACTTTATATATTTTTGCTTATAGTTAATAGTTAAAATTATTGTGAATTAATTTTTAAGGCTAATGAAGAAAATCTCCGATTGCTCCGTGAGCAACTGCATAAAATCAAAGACGAGTTTTACAGTGATATTTCTCTAGGTCTTGAGAAAGCGTTTCCTATTTTATGGAAATACAGATCAGCAAGACGCGGTGGCATAGTGTGCAATCAAGCAATAATGTTAATTACAGAAGGATTGGATTATGATTACAGAGATGTGCTCTTTAAGATATACAATCATATTCCCAATCAAGATTACTATCGACCTATACGTGTTTTCACATATTTATTGGGAACGGAAGCTAGGGATGCTCAGAGAATGAAGTGGATTGCATGTGCAAACATGGGTAAAACACACGTATTTGTTAATTTATTATTTTTTAAAACTTTTTTTAAATTTAAGGATACTATGTAAATATCAGCGTAGTTGAAGAAGTGAGAGAAAAAGTAATCAAGTATCTAGAAGTACTCTCCCGGCCCATTAATCTAAGTCCACATATACAACCAAAACCAGCATGGACAGCACTCTATGTTCATTTAGCTGATCGCCGGCTTTCGAATTGGTTGTGGAAAAAGTACGAAGGTAATAAGCAGAGAGACAAATACATTGATTACGAAAAACAATACATAAAGAAGCATGGGCTGCTGCTCAATGAGAACCACACACATTTTGCAAGTCAAACCTCACACGTGAGCACAATTTATACTTTAATATATAAATACAAATTTGCACGCACACACTATACAATTACTATTATTAAATAAATTAACTAAATCCACTAAAAATTCGTACTTATGAGATTATTTTGCAGCCGTATGAAAAATATCTCAAGTTTCCTGACTATCAGTATTTGACGTCTGTGTCTCTGCCGGTTTTTGATCTAAGAGCAAATCAAACTACATTACTAGGCGTTGCCGGAGTGGATGTTCCTCTGGATTTTTTAAAGCAGCTTGCAGAACCCCACAGAGTAAGAAAACTCACATGAAAACCCTAAATAATGATTAATTCTTAAATATTTTTTAGATTGGTGTTAATGGTTATTCATTTGTCATTACAAATAATGGATATGTTTTGCATCATCCTGATCACCTAACAGAGGTAGGAATATGATATAAACAGATAAAAATTAATTTTAAAATAATTTTCTTTGATTTAAGTTTGCTGATCACGTTTTAAAACCAACATTTAATCGGGTAGACCTCACTGAAGTAGAAATATCCGACGACACTCAAGAACCCCGCAATTTTGATCAGAATATCATTGATCTCCGCCATAATATTGTTTTGCAAAAGAAAGGCAAACGTACTTTAAGAATACGCGCTCCTATTGATAATATGGTCAGTATAAAATTCACCAATATGTAATTTATATTTATTATAATTTATTTTTAATTATTTTTTATATATCAAGAAACGTGTGATGCTCAGTCGTCGCCATTACTACTACACCAAAATAGAACCCTTCAGTATGGCAATTGCCCTTCCAGATGGTTACGGCTTTCTCGTCTCACGTATGGAAGTGAGCGCTGATAAAATGGAGCGCATCCAACGTGACCTACGCAAAAGTTTAAAAACAATGATAACTGGCGCGTGCATCCAAAATGGCTTTACACTTGTAATACTACAAGAGCAGAAAAGTCACCTGAGAAAGAATTACGTCACTTTTTAAATACTAATACCACTAATTGTAAAGAACATGATGTTGTGAATGATCTGCTTAAAGATGTCTATGTGACTGAATGGTGGAACAACAATACCGAACCCATCTTTCAACATGTTAAACGAAAATCAAATTACTACGAAGGAGTGATTTTAACGTTTATGGCAACACATACAGGCCTAACAAGATGGAAAGATTTCCCATCGAAGAAGTTAAGAGGCGTGAAGCACTTTTCTGATAAACACAACAAGGCGACTGATGAGATTTATTACCGGCGAGGTGCAGAAATGAATTATAATCTTGAACACAAAGATATGTTTATATTTTCTGTTCCTTTTGAAGGTACTTTTAACATCAAAATTCTTTTATTTTAAAATTTTTAGTAAATTTTTAAAATTTTAAAATTATTACAGATTATAATGAGAAGCAAACTTTGATTACGGCGAGTCACGTCGTTTTTCGTGAGAGAAAAGGTAAAAGAGCACCGATTGCCGCCGTGGGTTATCAAATATTACACAAAACCCTCAATAGGATCCTTCAAACTTTCACTGTAAGCTTAGTACTCGTAGACGAGACATAATCTGTCTCAAATAAATAATATAATCTAAATCATTTCCAGTGTGAACAACCACCGTGTAAAATCACCTGCGCGGGCCCTGATGCCTGGATTTGCTACGTTATAGACAATGACGGATACATAATCCTAGCAAATAACACCGATAACGTTGGGAAATCTATCGCTGACGTTGACTACGCCCTGATGAAAACTCTCGTGCGCGATGATGTGTTTAAAGAGATTACAATGTATGACTACCAAGGTACTTGCTTTCCGGTTACAAGATCTGATAAACCTTTCTACGGTCCAACTTGGGAGGAAGTACAAAACAACGATTTTCCTGGAATAGACTGCTCCAAACCAATCTGGGCGATTAAATGCAAAACTATTGAGTTTTTACGCATGCAATTGAATAAAACCACACCAACGCCGTGCGATATGGAGCACAAAATGTATAATTATATGTTTCGTAATTTATCACATTTGCATCAACGGCAGAACCATCGTGATTGTCCATGTCCGTATATTACCGAACCTATTAAGGGTACAAATCTATTGTTACTGGCTTTGCACGATAAATGCTGCGATCAAGAGTCTGCAGTACCTAAAAATGAATATCCGAAGGAAATCACCTATAATCTCACGCTGCCTTGTCATATAGCTGTTAAAAATAATTTCACAAAGAGGCATTACACTAACTGCATCACTAATCATCGTGCTGAATATATGCTCAATGAAGATACGAAATATTGTGGCAGCGAGGGTATTGTACCGATTGCACCTTTGGAGTAAACAGGCGACGGATGCATAGCATTTCCTGTTTTTAAGATACGCTTTTTCCATTGTTATAACAAATTCAATTTATGTATGATAATGCTATGATTGATCTAAATATACGTTACTACTAAGTATTTGTTAAAAAACAATCTAACAATCTAGATAAATAGGATTAAGTAACGTGAATTACCTTATTTATCAAAACAGAAACCAATGAAAGTATTAGGAGGTAAGTAGGTACACTTTGGAATCACGTATATTCCTAGTAATGATTTGAACTATAAGTTAATAATTTCACAATGAATCAAACTGATTACGTCAAATAATATCATGTACATTAATCAATATTATGATAATTTGTAAGATATTAAACCACTTGACTTTACAAAAAATTAATATGCGTCGCAGATAGAAACACGTGAAGTAAATAATTATAGAAATTCAAATAATTAATGAGATAACCAAGTATAGCAAATATTGCACATCTATAACAAAGGTTATATTTGCAGAGAAAGGACTAGCAAATATTCATTACTATACAATATAAATATAATAACGAAACACGAAAAGAAATGAATGAACGTTTAATTATCCTCGAAATTTCTATCACAATACTCGACATAATCTTATCGGCTGTAGATCTAATCATCAATCAAACGTATATGCATTTATCACCGAATTTAGGTAGAGCTATGTAGTAGCGCGGATTTAATAATCTTCCAGTCGTGATTTCGTTCGTAAGCCTTAAAATGGCTCTAGAAAAGCTTCAGGTTTTTGTGTTCCTAGCAATTTTTGCTTTATGTAAAAGTGATGTAGACACTTCCTTGTATTTAACACCAACAGAAGTTGTGCACTATGAAAATTTGGCGGTTCGAGCTGTTGGTGAAGCTTTGCAGTGCGAAGGCTTGGTGGGTGACCAATTTCAGGACTTTCTGAATGAGAAGGATATTAATTTGGAGGAGATTTCTGATTGGGCCGTGCCAAGTAAGTATATTTATTACTATAATGAGATAAATATAAACTACATTGAGTTTTGTTTTAGTGTTTGATTCTTGGGGCAAAATTCCAAGTGGAATTTTCACGGGAAATGTTATAGATTATGGGCAGTTTGATGAATGTATTAGTATTGGGCATGAAAAACTAAATGCTGCTGATATAAAAGGCAAATATTGCGCATATGCAGTGACTGGTATCATAGGTAACTTGTCTCTTACTTGGGCAATTTGCATTCCTGAAGCCTGCGAAATAAGTGAAACATTTATTCCGGTCGCACCAAATATCAACTTTCGTGTCGCTGGTGACAGATGCCAAACGAACGGTTCATTCAATAAGTTGGAATGGGATGATGGGTTAGCACTGTATGTATTTTCAAAACAAAAATCTAAAAAAGCTAAATATTTAATTTTAATACTTTCAGTGGTATTTTTGGTTTTATTCTGGTTATAATTCTCTTCAGCACTATTTATGATGGCTTATTACACTACCGAGATCAAAGTAAATTAAAATCGACTTATTTAGTTGATATTTTAACCAATTAAATCAATTTTATTACGTTTCAGAGACTTCCAATCCACTGTTCATTGCTTTTTCACTAGTGACCAACAGCAAGAAACTGTTTTCTGTGAGTAACGCGCCTGGTCAAGTCGGATGTCTGCATGGTATCCGCGCCGTAAGTTTGATGTGGATCATCGCTGGCCATCGTTTCGTTTCGGCTAGCGCACTACCAAGCATTAATTTAGTGCAAGCAATAGAAGTAAGCAAAAAATATTTCTCAATCAATCAAACTTATTTAGATTTAAATGTCTAAAAGTTAATTTTTATAAAGTCACGGTGAGAGTTTCCGGTTGATAACATAACCGTGAACTTTACCCCGTTATGAGTAGGTACTTAACTGCTATGAATTGTTTATCCCGATATAAATCTCTGTTGTTTTTTGTTAATAGGAAATATGCACTCTGATTGTTGATCTGTTTTTGTTTTTGCAGTTTAAAAACGATATTGCATCGTCGTATATTTCCAGCGCACGTGCCGCAGTTGATACATTTTTTATGTTTTCTGCTTTTCTGGTATCTTTCATTTACTTCAAAGGTGTTCGCTCCGCCATTGCTAAAGCAGAAGCCAAAGGGTCTTCTCATGTCGAGAATCCGCTTACATTGGCAAAAATTCCTATGTATTACGTTCATAGAATTCTAAGGTACGACAAATATCGCGAATGTTAAAAATGTAAATTATTTATTTTTATTTTTATTGTAATTTCAGAATAACTCCTGCTCTGGCAGCTACATTCTTCATACAAATCACGCTATTCCGTCGTATAGGCGAAGGACCATTATGGCCACTGATTATCGATATGAGTGTTTCAGTGTGTACAGAATGGTGGTGGTCTTTGTTCCTCTATGTCCAAAACTACGTCAACTACAAAGAAATGGTAAATATTTACTTTTAATTTGAATTGATTTAAAAAATATATTTTTCAGTGCATCGTCCCTACGTGGTATCTATCTGCTGACATGCAATTGTATCTATTGTCACCATTTCTTATCATTCCACTGGGAAATCTCGTAATCAAAGGCAAAAAGAAATTGGCTTATATTTTAATGTGTATTGTCATTGCTATTTCCATAATAGTTCCAATGACGATTGAATTTTTCAGGGAGTTTGATCCGTTAAAGTAAGTTTTTAATTTTTTTTGGTTGTTTTTTTAGTATTTGATAAACATTTTCAGTATTTACGAGACTCATCATCGTGCGTCAGTATATACCATCGGTATACTCTTCGGAATGATTATGATTGATTGCACCGATAAAAAGATTAAAATTAATCCCTTCCTAAACCTAATTCTGTGGGGAGTATCACTTGGTGTTATGTTAGCCATTGTTATTACAATGCACGACACGGAAGTGAATCCTGAACTGGAAAAGAACAATCTTTACTTTTCCCTCACACGACCTGTATGGTCAGCGGCACTCTGCTGGATTGTTTTTGCCTGCCAGTTTGGATATGGCGGACCTGTCAATTGGTTCCTCTCCAAATCAATTTTCCAAATTATGACAAAACTCTCCTTCAGCATGTACCTTCTGCACAATTTAGTTATCACACTATCGATTGGAACTGGTAAAATTTCTGGGCATTTTTCCGAGTACGAAACGGTAAGTATTTATTATTTAATTGTAAGTAAAATCTTAATAAATTGTGATAATGATTATTTTAGATCTATAAATGGTGTGGTGATTACATTTTCACGATCGTGATATCAATCATATGGGTGTTGTGCTTTGAATCTCCTGTCGTCGGCATTGAGAAAGTCATTTTCGGCACAGGTAATGAAATTTATTTATATTTAAATGATGTAAAGAGTATTAATTGAATATTTTAGGAAAACGCCCTGCACGCCCTGCAGCTGCTCAACCGGAGGTTAAAATTGAAGAAGGAGTTCCATCGACCAGTAAATCTGTTTAATATGCAATCATCATCCATCACAATCATCGGGAATCATATCATGCATTCTTTGTACAAATATAAAATACTATTATTTATGCCGGAAATATAAGTTGAATTTTTATCGAACTATAATTTTAGTTCTTCCTGTTATGTGATTTATTATCTCAAATTCACCTGAGCGAAAAAATGCGGTGACTCATCAAATTTATTAGCACCCCTTGCAACTTCGTACGTTACGGCATAAGAGCAGGAAAGGTGAACCTTCCCCTTCCCCTAGAGACCTGCGACTGGACTGCTGGACGACTCAGGCACGACTGAGTACCTAATCATCGTAGCGCGCATCACATAGCATCGACTCACCCCCCACCACTTTTTGCGGGTCACCCGCAGGTATAAAAGGGCAGCGCGCAGCGACTACCGGCTCAGTCGTGCCTAAGTCGTCCAGCAGTCCAGTCGCCGGTCCCTAGGGTCTCCTCTCCTCTCTTAGGCTTATTCGTAATTCGGCGGATCTCAAGTGATAGTTCGTTATCCCGAAAAATATTAAGGGCCTATTTTAATTTTTTAATATGATTTGTCAATCAAAACTAGCGGTTATGTATTACAATTTTTATTAATTATATATGATAAAACGTCTAAATATTGTATAACAAGTAACCTATCACATTTGATTGCTACTTTAAAACAATGATTTGTAAACTCTCAAGAACCGAACAATGTGCACTTCTGATTTTTACGATGAATAGATACTCATTTTTATAAGATAACAAAAGCAAAGTTTTCTTATTATCTCGACATGATTGATTATTTAATTATAATCAATTATCAAATCTCATAAAATCGTAAACAAAGTCCCATGATTCATATTTATAATAAATTTGCAGCTGTAATTTGAAATAGTAGTTTATCTAATCTCGTAGAATAATTTCATCAGAACCTAATCAATGCTCAAGCATATCGCATTATTATAAATGCGATTTTACATTAGTCAAATCCCTTACTCTAGACTAATCCACGTAAAACCTAACTTGTTAAACGATATTAAACAATTAAAATGTGTTTAACACTAAAGATATGTTTAGTTCTGCATGTAATTCTAAGTGCATCGGCGATAAGTGTTAAAGACCTGAATAAATTACAACAGTATGATGTGAGGCATTCACAAAAACATATGCAATTGTTTCATAAAACTATACGTGAACAAATAAGTGGTGAAGCGAAAGTATGTAAAATATTTAAAGATTTCCTGGCTAATCAAACAGATCCTGAAACATTTGAAAATCATGCTGACTGGCTCATTGGAAGTTCGTAATTATAATATATTTATTTATATTTTGGAGAATAACATATTATTTCTAGTGGTTGATTCCTGGGGAAAAATCCCGAGTGGAATTTTGGAAGGTAATGTCAATGATATGGGTCAATACGATGAATGTATGGCCATTGAAGGAAAAAACATAGATGTCTCCGGACAATATTGCGAAAAGGGAATAATATTATTTCAAAAAATTTATATTGCACTTTGCATTCCCAGCGATTGTGAACTGGTGCCTTTGGAAGGAGTATCAGACATTCAAATTAATCCAGGTTATTGCCAAACTATTGATTATGGTTCAGAGTTCACCACTGGCGACATAATTGTTGCGTAGGTATTTAATGATTGTTTCACTTACCGGTTTCTTGTGTGTAGAACAATTTTCGGCATAATTTTGGCATTAATGGTATTAAGCACGTGTTATGATTGCTTTTTACATTACACCGAACAACGTGAGTAGCTTTTTCTAAGTTCTTCTTAATAAATTGATAAATAATATCTACTGTAAATTTAGAAACACGTTCACAACTCCTGATTGCTTTTTCTGCCTGGACAAACACAAAGAAATTATTCGCGACAAATTCACAAGCCAGCGGACAAGTTACATGTCTGAATGGAATTCGAACGATTAGTTTGATGTGGATTATTTCCGGACACTCGTTTGCATTGCAGGCGGCCTATCCAACTGTTAACATGGTATCGGCTCTTCAAGTATGTTGATTATTTCTATTGGTTGTTTATTTATGAAATCTGTTTTGGTTTGGCGCATTAAGTATCTGATTAGATCACTTACTCAAATCTCAATTTGGAATATCATTCTGATAAAGTTTTCACTTTCTCATTGTTGACTGTCTACTCAATCTAATTACAATTTCATTCACTAATTTGTATTTTTCACCATTTTCAGTTTCAATTCGGTAAAAAATCGCAATATATTCAAGCAGGACATTTTTCTGTAGACACGTTCTTCTTCTTGTCGGCATTTTTACTTTCTTACAATTATATCAAGAATGTTCATCGTGCAATTACAACAGCCGAGAAAAAATCAGAAAGGCCACAAAATCCTTTAACTTTGAGCAAAGTACCAATGTTTTACGTTCATCGCATACTAAGGTAATATCCAAAAACTTATTACAATCTTATTACAATTAATATATAATTGGATTGTTTTAGAATACTGCCACCTCTTGCGGCATTTTATGGATTAGGGAATACACTTATTGCTCATATAGCACAGGGCCCATTGGATCCATTCCTAAAAACTATAATGCCAAATGCATGCTATGATCATTGGTGGAGCTTTTTCCTGTTTATTCAGAATTACGTTCATTATGAAAACATGGTGCGTAAATTTAGCATAAAATATTATAGAAAATATTTTTAATTATAAATATTTTTTAGTGTTTATTGACGACTTGGTATCTATCTGCTGACATGCAAATGTTCTTGGCGTCACCATTAATTATCATTCCAATTGGTGAACTTATTCTGAGAGGAAAGAAACGAATTGCGTATATTTTTGCTGGTGTTGTTGTAATTGCTTGTATAGTTATTCCAATGATTCCCGATATTCTTCAAGAAGATGATCCAACTATCCTCCTAAAGTATATTTTACTAATTTAAGAATTTAACATTTTGGAGATTATGATAATGTTTTATTTGTAGTGAATATGCAACACATCCACGATTATCTATCTACACTTTGGGTATTTTATTCGGCATGATTGTCATAGACTGTCTGAACAAAAAGATTAGAATAAATCATGTAAGTTTAATTAAAATCTAAATTTGCATGAACGTGTTAATAAATACGATTATATTTATATTACAGGTTTTAAATGTCTTATTATGGGCAGTTTCTCTTGGAGTACTCCTAACTATAGTCCTGACAAATATGGACGCCACAATCATTGATCGTACTATAGTCAAAATGACACTGTTTTTCACGTTTGCACGGCCAGCATGGGCACTTGCACTCTGCTGGATTGTCTTCTCTTGTCATTTTGGTTATGGTGGACCAATAAACTGGTTGCTATCAAAATCAATTCATCAGATAATGACTCGGCTCTCTTTCAGCATGTATCTATTACATATGTTGGTTCAAGGAAGAATTTTAAGCTATACCAGAACAGCGATGCATTTTTCCGAATACGAAATAGTGAGTAATGCAAATGTTGCTAGAGATATTAAATTATAAGCTATAATTTTTATTTTAGATTTACCGCTGGTGTGGTGATTATATCTTTACGATTGTTTTCTCTATAATTTGGGTATTGGCTTTTGAGTCGCCTGTGATGATTTTGGAAAAATTAATTTTTGGCGGTGGTGAGTATTATTTCTCCTTTAAAAATTATATTCAATAGTATTTTAAAATATTTTAAAATAATATATGCAGGAAAGAAGAGTGAATCCAGCGAAAAGACCCAAGGTGTGGAAAATAAAACTGTGGCTCAACAAGCCTAAATTATTACTTTTGTCATGTATGACGAGCTAATGGACTACATACTTTTGCGAAATGGATTCAACTTATTGAAGCTTATATTGAAGCAATAAAATTGATATTTATTCTCTTATTATTATGATAATTGTATATAATATTATTGTATTTATATAAAAAATGAATTGATATCTAATTTTTGATTGCGTAATTAGTCGTGCATGGTTAACAAAAGTACATCACGTGTGCGCTTATCTCAATCGCTTGCCGCACTCAGTTGTCTAGTTATTCGCCCATGTACTCGATATTTTTGATAATGTCTTTGTTGATACGTTTTCTAATAAGTTAGTGGTCAGTTATACAACGGTAAAACATTCAACCCGAATTAAAATTGCAACTTTTTCTACAATCTTTGACTTTGCAATCAATTTAAGAAATATGTTGAAAACATAACAATTAAATTTTAATTCTGTATGTTGTGGATAAGAATTTTCAAGTTTATTTAAAAATAAACTAAAAATATATCGTAAAACAATTGATTTTTATTGCTGACGCAAAACAATATTTTAAAGTATTGTTATTTTAAGATATCCGTTTCTATGAGAAATAAGAATCAAACCAAGAATCTCAAGTAGTTGGAATTGCACAAACTTGATTGTTTATTCAATCATTATCAGTTCCATAATCCCAAAAATATGGAAAAAGTTATCTAATCTGCAGGGAAAAGGGCATTATTAATAGCAGAGAATACTAGTATAAAATGATTATACATGCGGTGTTATGTTATTAAATGTTTTACTTTTAACTACTCCACATTAAAATGTTTTTTCTACTGAAGATATGTTCAGTTCTATATGTAATTTTAAGTGCATCGTCGATAAGTGCTAAAAACCTTAATAAATTACCACAGTATGATGTGAGGCAGTCTCAAAAACAATTGTTTAATGGAACTATACTCGTACGTGAACAACTAAGAGGCGAAGGAGAAGTATGTAAAATATTTAAAGATTTCCTTGCTAATCAAACAGATCCTGAAACATTGGAGAATCATTCTGATTGGCTTATAAAAAGTAAGTTATAATTATATATTGATTTACTTTTTGAAGAATAATAAATAATATGTACACATGAATTGATTTCTAGTGATTGATTCTTGGGGAAAAATTCCGAGTGGAATTACGGAAGGCAATGTCAATGATTTGGGTCAGTTCGACGAATGCATGGCCATTGAAGGAAAAAACATAGATGTCTCCGGAAAATATTGCGAGGAGGGGTTAACATTATTTAATAAAATTAGCATTGCAGTTTGCATTCCCACCGATTGCGAACTGTTCCCTATAGAAGGATCATCGTACATTCAAGTTAATTCAGGTTTTTGCCAAACTAATGATACGGGTTCTGAATTTACCACTGGCGACATAATTGTTGCGTAAGTATTTATTACATTTTAATAATATTTTTATAAAATCATAACTTTTTTCCGTTTATTTTTGTTTAGGGCCATTTTCGGCATAATTTTGGCATTGATGGTGTTAAGCACATGTTATGACTGTTGTTTGCATTATACTCAAAACGTAATAGAAGCATTTCTTAAATTGATAAGAAAAAACGCTAATACAATGATTTTAGAAATAAATTCGCCGCTCTTGATTGCTTTTTCCGTTTTGACAAACACAAAGAAATTATTCGCGACTAATTCACAATCGTCAGGACAAGTTTCTTGTTTGAATGGAATTCGAACGATTAGTATGATGTGGATTATCGCCGGGCACTCGTTTGTGATGCAAGCATCATACCCAAATGTCAATCTTCGCTCAGCGTATGAAGTAAGTTATTCACATAATTAATAAAATTTATTATGGATGTGTTTCTCTTGAATTTATCAAATATCCACAAATTCGAGTAGCTACTAAATGATTTTTACATACATATGTTTTCGAAAATAAATTTAATTGTATATGTATGATTTTATTTACAGTTTGTAATGGATGACAGATCAAGCTATGTTCGAGTAGCGCACTTTTCCGTCGACACGTTTTTCTTCCTCTCCGCATTTTTGCTCTCCTATAATTACATAAAAAATATTCAACGTGCAAAAGCATCAGCTGAAAAGAAATCAGAACAACCACAAAATCCTTTAACTTTGAGCAAAGTACCAATGTTTACGTGCATCGCATTTTAAGGTAACAGTCAAGATTGCAATAATAGATAATAACTACAATTGTTCAATTTTTTAGAATAATGCCACCTATGGCTGCTTTCTATGCACTGGCAAATACACTTGCATTCCATACTACAAAAGGACCTCTAAGTGTCAGTGTGAATCCAAATATATCTGATGCATGCTTTGACCATTGGTGGAGTTTCTTTTTGTTTATTCAGAATTATACGCATCCTGAAAATATGGTGCGTAAACCCACTTAAATATGTTTTAATTTAAATTGCAATTTAAAATTATTTTCAAGTGTTTGCTGACGACTTGGTATCTATCTGCTGACATGCAAATGTTCTTAGCGTCGCCGTTAATAATCATTCCAATTGGAGAATTAATTTTACGAGGAAAAAAGCGATTGGCGTACATTTTTGTTAGTTTTGTCATAATTGCATGTATAGCTTTTCCAATAATACCTGATATTCTTCAGGAAGAGGATGCCTTCCAAAAGTATATGAAATAATCGCTAATTCAACACTTTTATAATAAAACTTAAACTTTCAGTGAATACTCTACACATCCAAGATTATCTATCTATGCATTAGGTATTTTATTTGGTATGATCGTCATCGATTGCTCGAACAAAAAGATTAAAATTCATAATGTAAGTTTAAATAAACATTTAAAAATGCGTTTACAATTAAAAAAATATTTTAGGCTTTGAATGTGTTACTATGGGTGGCTTCTCTTGGAGTTTTGGTAACCGTAGTTTGTACAAATTTGGATGCCGCCGTGGTCAATCCAACAATAGTTAAAAAGACATTGTATTACGCCTTTGCCCGGCCGGCATGGGGACTTGCTCTCTGTTGGATTTTATTTGCTTGCCATTTCGGTTATGGCGGGCCAGTCAACTGGTTACTTTCAGCATCAATTCATCAAGTTACGACAAGACTTTCTTTCAGCATGTATCTTTTACACATGTTGGTTCAGACCAGATATTTGGCTTACGCCAGGACTGCGCTCCACTTTTCTGAGTATGAAATTGTAAGTGATGTTATTCTTATTCTGAGAAGAATAAAAATCTATGTTTTATTAAATTACATTTTAGATTTATCGTTGGTGCGGTGATTTCATCTTTACGATTGTCTTTTCTATCATTTGGGTGTTGGCCTTTGAGTCACCTGTTGTGATATTGGAAAAACTTATTTTCGGAGGCGGTAAATATCATTTGTTTATAAATAAATTATTATTTCAATGCTTATTTTTTATGAATATAGGAAAAAAGCTAAATCAAGGGAAAATACCAGGGAGATCAAAACCGACGCTCAACAAGTCTAAAAATTAATTTTTAGAATAAATCTTACTGTTTGTAACTTGTTATGAGACTTTTGTACAATTTATCAATTCAATTACTGAAAAATATATTTTTTGATGAAATATTCTGTAGTTGTTCTTTAACCTCATTACCTCAGTGTAAATATGCAACGTAATATGGAAAATATTTTAAAAGCAAGTCAAATTCCATTTATTCAATTTTTCAAATACCAAATGTAATCACGATACTTTCCTCATGATTCACGATCCATTTTAATAACGTACTACAAAAACTTGACAATTATCTTATCTAACATCATCATTTTTTTCATTAACGTTCAGTAAAGCAACATTACTATAAATGCGGCTTTCTTAAACACCGGTTTACTCCAAACATATTCTCCGTTGATCAAGTTTAGAGAAAAGCGTAAATCGGTCAAAATGATTTTAAATACGAGCATATGTATATTACTATCGGTAATTCTAAGTGCATCGGCATTACCCAGCAATGATTTAAAAAATCTAATAAATGTTAACTTGGTGCATCCAGAACAAAGCTTTGAATTAATTCGCGAAACAGTACGAAAACAACTCAGAGGCGAAGACGATGTTTGCCAAATCTTTAACGAGTTTCTACAAAATCCTCTAGAAATTGAAAAGTTTGAAAATCATACAGACTGGCTCTTGTCAAGTAAGTAGTTATTTAATAAAAATTATATGTTTAATTTTTAATTAACTTATTTTAATTCTTGTGTTTATTAAAAGTGTTTGATGCATGGGGTAAAATTCCAAGTGGACTTTTAGAAGGAAACTTTAACCATCTAGGACAATTTGATGAATGTTTATCGGTCGAAGGAGAATTCCAAGAAGTGTCGGGGAAATACTGCGAACGAGGATTAATACTATTCGGGAAATTATCAATTGCAGTGTGCATTCCGAGTGTTTGCACATTGGCGCCTTTAGAAGAATCATCGGAACTTATTCAAGTAAATCCCAGTTTTTGTCAAACCAACGATACTTATTCAGAGTTTACCAGTGCAGATGTATATGTCACGTAAGTATATAACATATATAATTATTAAAACAATCTAATATAAATTTTTGTCCTGATTAGGGCAATTTTTGGGGTAGTTTTGGTATTGATGATCCTAAGCACGTGTTACGACTGTTTTTTATATTACACCCAAAGAAGTAAGTATTTTTTTGCGTAAATTGTAAAAAACATAGATTAAACTTCTATTTTGTTAATTTTAGAAACACAATCGCAATTATATATTGCCTTCTCTGTTTTAACCAACGCCAAAAAATTATTTGCAACTAATTCCAAATCGTCTGGGCAAGTTGCTTGTCTAAATGGAATTCGAACCATAAGTTTGATGTGGATTATCTCAGGACATTCATTTGGTATTCAAATGATGTTCCCTACGGTTAACATCAAATCGGCCTTGGAAGTAAGCAAAATTTTATTTATTTTTAAATCAATTAAAATTAGAATTCCCAAAGTCACGTTTCTGTAGTCGCTTGGTACACCTGTGTTTCAAGTATCCGATAAAATCACAAGTAGTTGGAAAGTATTATTGACTCATCTTAAACTTGATGTAAACATTGATTAGAAATCAAAAATAGTTGTTGCATGATATCTAAAATATTAAAACAAGATTATGACACCTTTTTGTATTTCATTTTTGTTTGTTTTTAGTTTGCGGGTGATAGAAAATCAACTTATGTGCAAGCAGGACGATTTGCAGTCGACACGTTCTTCTTCCTCTCAGCATTTTTACTTTCATATAACTATATGAAAAATGTTCATCGTGCACAAGCTCAGGCTGAGAATAACTCTAAAAAAGCAGAAAATCCTTTAACGCTGAGTAAAGTACCAATGTTTTACGTACATCGCATACTTAGGTAATAATTTTTATAATTATTAATTAATACCAAATTTTCATAATGAATTTCTATTATTTTATAATAGAATTTTGCCTCCGCTAGCTGCTTTCTACGGTATTGGAAATTCACTTATTAATCACATGGTTCAAGGGCCTATTATTCCATACACGTATGCAGTAAGACCCAATTCGTGTTTTGAGAATTGGTGGAGTTTCTTCTTGTTTATTCAGAACTACGTGCATTACGAGAATATGGTACAATTTTAATGTTTAATTAAATACCTATTTTAATTTTTATTATTTTAAATTTAATTTTAGTGTTTGTTGACGACTTGGTATCTGTCTGCGGATATGCAAATGTTTTTAGCGTCGCCATTGATTATAATTCCAATTGGGGAACTTATTCTAAAGGGAAAGAAAAGATTGGCTTATATTTTTGCATGTGCTGTGGTACTGGCATGTATCGTCATTCCTCCGATTCCAGATTTAGTAAATAGGGATGATCCAACATATGTTCCAAAGTAATTATTAGCATAATTTTTTTCATACTTAATTTTACATTGAATTTAAAAACTATTTGTTTACTTTCAGTGAATACGCTACACATCCACGTCTATCTGTCTACACCATGGGTATTTTATTCGGTATGATTGTAATTGATTGTATGAATAAGAAAATTCAAATCCAGCATGTAAGTTTTCCTCATTTTATGTTTTCATTTAGTGTTTTTAATTATAAAATAAATTTCAGGGTGTAAACATGGTCCTGTGGGCTATTTCCCTTGGTATTATGTTAACGATAGTGTTAACATACATGGACGCAACCGTTTTCGACGCGACAATTCTCAAAAATACACTGTTTTTCATGTTTGCGCGACCCGCTTGGTCCCTTGCACTAAGTTGGATCATTTTTTCTTGCCATTTCGGTTATGGTGGACCTATCAACTGGTTGCTTTCCAAATCCATTCATCAAGTGATGACCCGGCTTTCTTTCAGCATGTATCTACTTCACATGTTAATTGAGGGTGTTTATTTGTCGTATGCTAGGACAGGGATGCACTTTTCTGAATATGAAATAGTAAGTCATACCAATGATAATCAAAATAAGTATTAATATTAATTTCAATTTTAGATTTATCGTTGGTGTGGTGACTACATCTTTACGATTGTCTTTTCTATAATTTGGGTCTTGGCATTTGAGTCCCCCGTGATGATCATAGAAAAAATTATTTTCGGCGGTGGTGAGTTTTAGCTTATCAAAATTATAAGCAGCTTTAATTTAATAGTAATATTATTAAAATTAATTTATATATTCGTAGGTAAGAAAACGGAATCAAGTGAAAAGCCACAACAACCATTGGAAAACAAGACTGAAGCTCAGCAAGCATAAATAACCTGCTAAGCAACGACATTCTGTGTTTTGATACTCTATTATCAACTTATATTAAGCAAATTTCTTTAGTTTTTCAATAAATACTTTTATGTAATGTTAATTCGTATATTATTTAATAAACACGTAATTTTCAAACCTACAACTAACTAAAACAAAAATAATTTGAATCTTTCCGCTTATGAAAATCCTGTTCTTTAGCGTCAAACAATAAAATATTAAATATTTTAACTACAAAACTGCATTTTTAACTACAACTGTACCTTTACCTGTACCTGTACACCAGTTGTTGTATTATACAGAGTCAATTAGTGAAATAAATTCTATGTTATCGAGAGAGCTATATTATAAAGCGTTCCTTTCTAAAATGTTTCTATTGTAGATAGCTACCCAAAATGCTTGAATGTAATAGTTAATTATATTTATGTCAGACAAATCACCAATGACATTGTAAGTGCTTTATTATTATGCAATTTTTTGAAATTAGAAGAAAGTTAGATTTTTGTCAAAACCTATTAAGAGAACCAAAACAAAACTACCCTGATTTTTACTCTAATTTAATATTAAGCTCAATCATTCATGATTCATTTCCAATGATTCATATTCAAATTTTGTTAATGTACAATAGAAATTTCAAGTGTTTATCTAATCTTACATCATAAGTCCAACAAAAATGTTTCATGGCTCGCGTTCATGGGCAGTTAAGAGTGATATAAATACTGAAAGCTGGAGACCAGTTTACTGTGACTCCAGTCCTTGCAAACGAAGTTATTCAAAACGTGTAAACCATATAAAATGACGTTGACGCTAAAAGTTGCTTTGGCGCTGGCCATAATATTAAGTGCATCCGCGACTCGTGTTAAAGACTTAGAAAACCTATCCAAAGTTAATGTCGGGAATGCTGAGAAAACTGCGGAGTTATTTCCTGCAACTGTTCGAAAACAATTAAGAGGCGACGCTGATGCCTGTCAAATATTTCGGGCTTTCTTGGAAAACCCTTTTGATCAAGAAATATTCGAAAATCACTCTGATTGGCTGATTCCAAGTAAGAATAAAAAAAAAAACAATTTATAATAGTTTAATTAAAATTATTATAAAATTATTAAAAATGTTTAAAATCAAAATGTTTAAATTTTTTGCTTTTATTTAAAGTGATGGATTCCTGGGGTAAAATCCCAAGTGGCATTATGGAAGGCAATGTCAACCATTTGGGCCAATTCGACGAATGTTTAGCCATTGAAGGAAAATCCGTAGAAGTCTCAGGAAAATATTGCGAAAAGGGATTAAAAGTATTCGACAAATTGACTCTAGCTCTATGCATTCCTAGCGAATGTGAACTGGAACCTTTAGAAGGATCATCGGAACTTATTCAAATCAATCCCAATTATTGCCAAACTAGTGATACTTTCTCTGAAGTTACCACTGCTGATATAGTTGTGGGGTAAATATCTAATATTTTCTAACAATTGAATTAATTAAATTATACTATAAACATTTTTTCGTATCGTTTAGGACCATTTTTAGTATCGTTCTGGCATTGATGATATTAAGTACCTGTTATGACTGCTATTTATATTATACCCAAACAAGTAAGTAAACTATTACCTAATTTTTTAGAGGTAAAATTAATATCATTCTTCCGTTAATTCTAGAAACCAAATCACAACTGTACATTGCTTTTTCCCTTCTAACCAACACCAAAAAATTATTCGCAACTAATTCGAAAGCGTCCGGTCAAGTAGCCTGCCTCAATGGTATTCGCACAATTAGTTTAATGTGGGTTATCTCGGGACATTCCTTTTCCATTCAAATGCTGTATCCCACAATGAATTTGTTGGCGGCTTATCAAGTAAGTTACTATTAATAATTTTATAATTTATATATTTTTTTTAATATAAGGAATCTCCAAACACCTGCGTGGGCAGCTGTATAGTTGCACGTGTGTTTCAAGTGAGCGATAAAATCACATTGACTCATACGAAAACGATGTAAACATTGATTAGTAATTAAGTCGCAATAGTTTTTTTTTGTATCTCTCGGCCCATCAAACAGTTCAGACACTGATTGTAATCTTTCAATGTTATTTATGTATACCTAAACACATATACAATAATGGTAATCTTGTAACTTTCCTATTTCCAGTTTGTAACCGATAAAAAATCGAGTTATGTTCAGGCTGGAAATTATGCAGTCGACACGTTCTTCTTCCTCTCAGCATTTTTACTTTCTTATAACTATATGAAAAATGTTCAACGCGCGCAAGCCACAGCTGAAAAGCACTCGCAACGGCCTGAAAATCCGTTAACTTTCTTAATTTGCATATTGAAATTTAATTAATTATATTAAAATTTATATTTTAGAATTTTGCCACCACTTGCTGCTTTCTACGCCATTGGAAATGCATTGTTAATTCATGTGACAACAGGTCCCATTGTGCCTTATACGCGCGTCATAAGACCCAATCCCTGTTTTGAGCATTGGTGGAGTGTCTTTCTGTTTATTCAGAACTACGTTCATTACGAAAACATGGTCCGTCACTTTACAGTTAAAGAAAGCAGTTAAATTAATTTAAAATTATTTTTCAGTGCTTACCAATCACGTGGTATTTGTCTGCGAACATGCAGATGTTCCTAGCGTCGCCATTGGTAATAATTCCAATCGGTGAACTTATTTTACGAGGAAAGAAACGCGTTGCTTATATTTTCACTGGCACTGTCGTTCTAGGATGTATAGTCATTCCGATGATACCTGATATACTTCGGGATGATGATCCGACAATTACTCTAAAGTATGTTAAGTCTTATAAATAGCATTTTAGTCACGAGAGTTCACGAAATCAAATGTTTGACAACGTTTAGCAACGTGATGCTTGCACTATTTTACAACTTATATTTATGTTTACTTATGTTATGTTGAATTATGTTTGACTTTCAGTGAATATGCAACACATCCACGCTTATCTGTTTACACCTTGGGTATTCTATTCGGTATGATTGTTGTCGATTGCTTGAATAGAAAAATCCGAATCAACCATGTAAATATTAAAATTATTCAGGTTATTTCTTAATATTCATACACTTTTCCTTATATTTCAGGCGTTAAACTTTGTATTATGGGCAATTTCACTTGGAACACTCTTAACTATTGTGTTGACGTACATGGATGCACTCGTTCTCGACACTACTATTGTTAAGAGAACCTTGTTTCACACGTTTACCCGGCCCGCGTGGTCGCTTGCGCTCTGCTGGATTATCTTTGCTTGCCATTTCGGTTATGGCGGGCCAATAAACTGGTTACTATCGAAATCAATTCATCAGATCATGACCCGGTGTCATTCAGCATGTATCTACTGCATATACTGATACAAGGAATCTATTTGTCATACAGCCGGACATCAATGCACTTTTCTGAATATGAAATTGTAAGTAGTGTCAATATTAAAATTGTGATCATATTAGCTTACATTTAAATTATAGATTTATCGTGCGTGCGGTGACTACATCTTTACAATTGTCTTCGCTATAATTTGGGTTTTGGCATTTGAATCACCCATTGTTATCATAGAGAAAATTATATTCGGCCGTGGTGAGTATAATTAACGTAAAATGAGCTCAATAAAACATAACACTTTGTTAAATAATTGCAGGAAAAAAGAATGAAGCAAACGACAAACCCACGCCAGAGCCAGAGATCAAAACGGACGCTCAGCAAGCATAGATTTATTTATCAACATTTCTTGAAGGATAAAAATCCTTCAACTCTCCATATACTACTCAATTTAACCAATGTTTGTACAATAGTTTGAGTTTCTTCCATTTTCTATGTGTTATTAAAGCTTTTGTACATTATAATATCGTGTATTACTTAAGTATTCTATATTTGGTGGATAAATGGACTTTATAAGAATGTTCAATGATGATACTAACGGCGACACCTCGTGGACGTTCCATAAGTCGCGGCAATGTAACAAAGTCGTTAACGCATGCGCCATGAATTGCGCGCGATAATCACCTGAGTCTTATTCGAATATCAGCGGCAACACACATATGCGAGTTGCACGCGAGTTCTAGTTTCTTGCCGCTCGTCCCCCGCACGCTCCTCGTGGCTGAGAGCAGACTGCGCACATGCCTCACGTTTTTACAGTTGCCTCCAATCCATCTTCCTGCGACATCTTACTCAGCATCATTCATCATTCGCCAGTGTGTATCGTGTTCAATTTTAAATCGTAAATTGTAAGTAACCGTTGATTTATTATTTCTTACTGGGTGTTTTCTGTTTGTCTGCGAAACTGTTTTAACTAGTTATCTATTCTGTACAACTAGCGCTTGATTCCGCGAAACCAAACAAAGTATAAATCATAAAAATATATTAACAAAATGAACTAAATGTAAGTTCAGTTGTACGTAATCAGTGTACGTTCAATTGGAATCTCGTGTACGTAGTATTAGCATTACGACCGATTTGACGCTTCCAGCTCCTGCATGTTGTCGTAGCAGGGGCGGCATACAGGCACCGGCTTTTTCGTCGAGTGCCCCGGCAGAACAATTTGTTTATCGATACAACGCGTGCAGAATACGTCGCCGCATTTACGACAATGGTACTGAAATCAAAAAACAAGCACATGCTGCATTATCAGCGAAACAAAGTTTATATGTCGACTTACTTTACGACTGAATTGATCAAACGGCGTGGAACATCCGCACTCTTTGATGTTCCGAAGCGTTTTCCAATCGAGCGCAACACTTTCGAGATCTTTGCTAATCGTATTAACATTCACGTCACTCGTTTCAAAGTCACCGCTGGTTACCACTTTCAGTGGATGATCATCGTCAGCGTTCTGTAGCTCTCTGAGTGTGGTCTTCTCATAATAGAGTTTATTGTCGACTAGATTCGAATTATCCGGCTTGAAATGTGACCCATTGACTTTGTTTAGTAGTGATTTAAATGATGAAATGCGCTGCAAACCCAATCGGTAATGAATTCGTATTGTAACATCAAAATAAAACTTACTTTTGCCAAATAATTGACATGATCCTCCAATGATGAACTGTGATCACATGTGGCTAGTAACAGATCACCGAGTGGTTCACGCGGATGGATACCGCTCTCAAACCGACAATACATCCCCCGCCAGAATTTAATATTCTGCGGAAATAGATTCGGTCGCAGCAGGCCGGGCGTTTCTGCTTCTTCGTAGAGCGGATTCAAATATTCGTTTTCATGCGTTGCCATGTGTCCCCAAATCGAAAATGTACGTTCAGCGAGGCGTAAATCCACACGATCTTTTTCGCAATTTCCTACGAAGGTACCAAACTGACAGGAGTGCACATGATCGTGCAGCGTTAGAAGAAATCGCTCGTTGAACTGGAATGTGAGAGGAAACTGTTGCATCAACTGCCATGTTGCATCTAGAAGTTGTGAGAAAACCGGCGAGACTTCTTTGTTATCACCCTGAATATGCCCGCAACGTTCAGTAAACTTATGTCCGAACGCGAGCCAATCTTTCTCAATAAGCGCTTGATAACCTGATATCGTACGATAGTACGGGTCCAAGAGTATCGAGGCCAAGGAACAAACTTGCGCCGTGCGGTCCCAGCCGTCTGAACAATGCACCACGACGCTTACACCTTCATCCACCGCCTGGGCGATGAACCAAGAAGTGTCTAAAATCGATTTTATGTGGCGTAACCAGCCGCTCGAGTCCAATCCACTCAAAAGTGTATTCACGGTTGGATTTTTCTGCTCGCATGTCTCCATTATCTTTGCGAGACTGTTACGCATCACGTGGATGTTCTCCACGCCGAGGAAGTGAAATTTGATATTCTCATAAAACGCCTCATTTTCATAACCTTTGCCAGCGGCTTTGTTTGCGAGAGCATTGATTTTCGGTCGCGTATCTACAACGTACATATAACTGGCATTCGGATTCGTCCTGAGAATGTGATTGAGCATCTTCTCGTCCTCAACGCAGCGTGCGCTGAAGCCCGAAAGTGGCTGGCTGCATCTACATATGCTTGCTTTGTTGTTGTGCAGGTAGGAAAGGACGGGTAGGCGACCTTTTGACCGGAAACGCGACGAACCCATAAGGATTGTCGTGTTGGCCGATTGTGGGACGTAGAGGTAACGTGGGTATGTGTCACACAGCTAGAAAGAGTAATAAATTTGATTATGTTGAGAGCTTTGCCATTTCGCACGAATCAATTATGAAGGATTAGAAAATAACAATGTAATTACTTAACCACACCTTTGATGTGATTAGGAAAATCGATTTGTTGCCTACCTCGTATTCTTTATTCAATGTGGTCAAATTCCATTGTTCATTAGGAACACCCATGCGTTTATACTCGCTCTGCAAGTCGAAGGACTCCCAGCCGCTGGAACGACTACTATCCTCCGATGTCGAGGTGTAGTGGAAACAATAGAGATCCTCGACGTTGCTCGGCTGAGAGAGTTGCTGAAGGGTTTGGTAGATATCGTGACAATCTCGTTCGCGCGGTATTACGAACGTGACTGATAGAAATGTCTTGCAGCGTATCAATAATGGCGAACCGGTAGTTGTGAGAGGTAGTTTTTCTAAATTTGCGATGTGCATGTGCAAAATCTAGAAAAAAAATCGTAAATTGGTATTTCAGAGGAAAACGGAAAAGTATAAAATCAATAAAATATCATTTTATGAGTTTTGGCGTTTTCAGAAAGCGAGTATAGTTATTATAAAGTTGGAAAATGTAATAGGATAAAGATTCTTGAAATGTCCCAATTTCCGCCGGCCGGGAAACATTCCCTACGAAGCAAATCATTTGAAAGCATCTTAAAATGTATAAGACGTCGAAGCAATAAATAACAAGATGTTCAAAATGAAAGTTTTACAACTGCGGAAAACAAAATAAAATAAACAAAATCCTTACACTAGAAAAATTAGACTTTTAACCTTCCAACCGTTACAAACAAATTTCTTATTCGAACATAAAAGTAAAACTTTTTGATGTTTACATCCGAAAAGTTCACTTTACACGACGCGTTAGAGCAGTTGGCCGACCATGAAATATGTAAATTTCTCTCGGATAACCCTATAAAATGAGCTCCCGAGAGTCGAGTGGGATGTTAGGCTAACCCGAGATGCAAAAACAGGATGAATAGACAGAGACAACAGCGCACACATACCCATGTCTCCTTTTTATCATCCGGATCGACGAAGATCAGATGCGTGGCGGTTACGTAGAGCGTGCCCTGCGATGGCGTTTTCGAATAACGATCCAGCATGCGGACATTCTCGACCTGCAACTCATAAATAACATTACGCACAAACGATTTTAGCAGTGGAATGTATACACGTATTGTGTGTTTATTGATCTCTCTCTTTGGAATCCCAGTCATAGCAGGGGTGCACCACTAGGATGACCTTCAACTTGACTTATTTTGCAATTCGCTGATTTGCTTGAAAGTGGGTCAATGTCGCTCACACCGCAAGTAACAATTGAATACGCAACACCTTAATGTAATTTAAATTGACGCGTTTGAATTAAATCCGCTGTAATAAGTTTCCGAATGATCGAATATTGTGGTTTTTGTGGTTTTGGCATACCTTAACATCAACCGTTATGCCGTTAATATTCTCCGGCTCGATGGATTGCGCATCCGAGTGCAGCAGCCACGACTTGAACTTGACGTACATCGAGGGCGAGTTGGTGATCTTGCACGCGGGTGTCAGCGACGGCTCCTCGTAGTCTTGTTCCTGCATCCTGTCGGAATCGCGCGCGCGTGTTTTTTTTTTGTTTGTGAATCCGCGAATGCGTGGGTTGTTGGGGCGCGCGCTGCTCGGCTATCGACGCGACGCCACCAGGATCGTGACTGTCGACGACCGCCCCCGCGACGCGGCTGTCTACTCTCGTCTGCCACCCGAGAGGCGAGAGCACCCTCTAGCGCTGTTTGGTGACTACCGCGAACGAATACTGATAAGCTCAATCAACGGGCGCAAATACGAACACCGCATTTTAAATTCATGAAATTTCTGCTGAAACTGAAGCTGAAGTTTATGTTGAAAAGCTAATCAAATATTTTGATGCGTAGGCGACTGATAAAAAACTCAATTATCTCATATTAAATATGTGCACTTAATATCGTAATCAAACAAATACATTTATCGGTGTTTTGGACACTCAATTCAAGATAAAGTTGCATATCATGCCGCTATGTTAAAATAATTAAAAACAAACAGTTTCAAATTAAAAATGTAATTTTTTGATCACAAAAATGTGCGAAATGTCAATATCACGATAAAATCACCTTTGAAATATCAATTCTCTACCTATTTTCATGAACGTGTAATTTTCAACTTGAATTTCATCATAATGTTAACAACAACAAAAAGAAGTGAATAATGTGTCTTTGTTGTCTTTTTTCACTACACATTTGCAATAAACATCTAGATTATTGTCTTCCATTCGAATATAATCTAATTTTTGCTTTCTATAAATCTCGTCTTAAATTTTCTCTTTTTTGTTCAAAAGTTTCTCTTCTTGCAAGTCACAATAATCTGTACATTTTGTTATACCTTGCCACGTTATTCTCACAATATTAATATCAAACATCAACAAAACACAATGCCCTCATGCGCTCAATGTTTGTTTTCGTTGCCGGGCATTTTTACAACTTGATAATAACAAACATGAAATATTACGCTATCGGCGCGTAGTGCATTGAAGATGAGCAGATAACGATTTCTAATATGTGTAATAATGAAACATATTGCGTTTCAGGCGATTATTACTAATCCACGCACTTCTAAACGTCAACTTTCAGCAGTTTACATCTATAACTACAGTTGCTAAACATCATTCACAATATTTGTACACATTCTAATCGCTTATTATGAATTACTCACCTTTGGTGTTTTAATATGCTCCATCTAAACGAGTGTGTGCGTTTGCAGTTGCAGTGCTGTCTCGTGTGCGAGTTTTAATTAATTAATGCACACCGAATGACTAGGTGCTTTTATGCAAATGAATTACGTATTTCGCGGTGTGTTGCAGGCGTACCGCCGCCGACGCTCTGCGCGACGTGCACAACGTTTATTAACAATATACAGTTACAATAATAAACAATGCGATCGGGAAAGAAGCGAAGCAACGGCGATAGCGTTTACATGCAGCCGCTACAACTAGGTACTGGGCGATCGACCCGTCGCCGCCGTCGCTGCGGTCGCTCTCCCCGTTTCACGGTTTTGAGTGTGAGCGTTGAAGGCGAATAAATCGCCGTAAACACGTAAACGCGGTGAATGTTCACAGACACATTCACACCAGCTATGCTAATCATTCAATTGCATATGAGTTCGTGAGTGAATGGAAGTCAGCTGTTTGTGTCAGATGACAGTGTTGCAAACCTAGTTATTTAGGGATATCAGTAAACTCAGCAAGTCACTGCGGCAAGTCATGTAAAAGTTCAGAAAAGTTAAAGTTAAACAAAGAAAAAGCGAAATAACGGATGAATTTAAATAAAATTTAAAGATAAATTAAATTTTGAGAGAAACATTGTGTTTTCAAGTGCTGAAAATGGCTAGAAAAACTTTTATAAGTTCTAGAAAAGTCTAGAATTTTGTATCTGGGAAAATTTAGTTCTGACATGTATTTTTGATGACTCATGTCAAACTATATAACCTTTATGTTTGTCGATTTTGCGTCATTCTGGTTTCGACCACAGTTTCAACTTTCTTCATCAAAAATCATCAAATTCTTGTTGTAATTGTTATCATGGAGTTGCCCCACATCGGGAAACAATGCACAGCAAAATTCTGCAATAAATTAGGTAAGTTTAAACACTTATAAAGTAACTTTAAAAGTTTAATAAAATAATAACAATTTGAACTTGTTAATTCAAATAGATTTCTTGCCAATCACCTGTGATGCCTGCAAAAATATTTTCTGCGACGAACACTACACATACTCCGGGCACAATTGTCCTAACTCTTATCTAAAGAACAATCAAGTGCCTGTATGTCCACTGTGCAACAAGCCTATTCCAGTTGCACTTGGTCAACAACCAGATGCTGTAGTTGGTGCTCACATTGACAATGACTGCCAGTCCGATCCAGCCGTGTCACGCCGGAAAGTATTCACCAATCGTTGTACGAAAAAAGGCTGCAAGAACAAAGAAGTCATACCTGTAGTTTGTGTTGATTGCAAGTTAAATTACTGCCTGAAACACAGACATCCACAAGATCATGCCTGCACTGGCAAAGCTACCAAAACACCAACAAATAGTAACCCTCCCATGAGTTTAAGAGACAGAGCATTACAAGCTGCAATGGGTAGACAACAACAACAACAAACACAAACCCAAACAAATGATAGTACAATGAGTGAAGATGAACAATTAGCAAGAGCATTAGCAATGTCAATGCAAGAAAGCCATAATAAGATGACTCAAGAGGAGCTAGACCTGCAGTTAGCCAGACAATTGCAAGCGATGGAAGGCACTAATGCAGGCACAGCCACAACTGCCAGTGGTACCAGAAATAGTCAGGGGAGCAATCAAAGGTGTGATGTTCAATGATTGATGAGTTTTGTATCTCAGAATATTGAACTGATTCTTTGGGCATAGCACAAATTTTAATAAATCAACACTTCATCTCATTATATACTATTTAAATGTTAATTATGTTGTAAACTATGGTTCAGATGTTTATTATGTTTACTCTGAACTAATTTTACTAGTATTAAGTTGTTAATTGCATTTATGTGTAACATTTTATAAAAAGACACTTAAGTCATACGAATTTAATAAAACAAATATTTATCTATCCAATTGATCAACACTTTCTTTGCCTTTGCCTTGGTGTTTAACTTATAATAAAAATCTTTTTTTGATAATTATTTTTATCCTTTTACTAACCAGAAACAAAAAACGGGGAAATTTTGATTGCTAATCGCGCTACAAGCAAATCTTGGTATAGTAACTTATTATTTTACTCCTACAACAAATGAATTTATACCAAATCTACAAGAATCGCAAACTACGAGAAATTAATTTGTAAATTCCCCTAAAACCCGACAGATGGCGCTACTAATACGATTGCAACATTATTTTAAGTTTAAAATTCACAGATTAAAACATAATATATTCTTGTTAATAATTATTGTAAAACTCCAGCAATTGCCTTATTCACGCATGCGTGTAAGCCCCACACTTGTGCATTTCTGAGTTCAAATAAAATTTATTCGATTGTAGAATTGCGCAAGTCGCCGTGACCAATTAATTATAAATTAAGGTGAATGTTAAATATTGCTGCATATTTGCACATTAATTCATATCATTGTATGTATTAACACTGTTTAACACTGCAACTACTACTCACAGCATTTTGATGTATACAATTAAATTCAGATTGCCGCTAATTAGACATTTTATTCTTTTCTGTAATTTGATACTAGCGATGTGGAGATTCATAATGAGATCGCAACAGTGACGTCAAATTTGTTTGTTAAAACTTGACGATCGCATGAGAGTGATGTAAACTCAACTTCGGATTGACAGGGCGTATTTGTTACAAGTTGTGGCAGTACGCAAGCAATTTATTATGCATTCGCAAGAAAATTCCCATAGTAACACAAAGTGATAGGAGAATTACTCTATGTTTCTTTATTTTTATATGTAAAAATGAATTGTTTTTTACACTCCCGGTGTGTAATATTCCATCCCAGCATCGTTTTATGAGGCAACAATTACATAATCTTGTTATTGCGCCTTCGTTGTTAGTGCGTTGGTCAATTGATACACTGATAACACTGATAACCCTTCTGTATAATGTTACTACGTTGCTGCTAACACGCGATCCGCTCAAGTTTCAGTTAGCACCGTAACGTCGCCGAGGCCGCCCCAAAGAAATGGAGTCCGCCATTTACCGTCTGTACCGTACGCCGGGTTACACCACCGCCAAAAGCCAGGAAATCCTTCTGAAACTACGTGCAGAGGTTCCCGAGATCACTTCTATTGATACAGAGCTGTGTTTTCATGTTGAGTACACCGGCGGCAAGTTGAACGTCAGCCCGCTGAAATGGGTCCTCCAAGATCCTTTCAACCCTCACAAACTCACCGAGAAGTCAGTGCTCAAAACAGACGGGCTTTTGATAGAAGCCGGGCCGAGGTTCAACTTCTCCACTTCAAATTCCACCAACGCGGTGTCTATCTGCCATTCGTTGGGATTGACGAATGTCACCCGCTTGGAGGTCAGTAAGAGATACGCCCTTAATGGCAAGATTCCTGCTTCGAAAGAATCGAAATTGGTGGCGTTGTTACATGACCGCATGACAGAATGTCGTTACACAGCGGAGAACATGCCCAAGAGGTCCTTCAACGAAAAACTAAAGAAAGTCGAAAACATCAAAGAAGTTGATGTTATGGGGCAAGGCAAGAATGCATTGATTGAAATCGATAAGGAATTGGGTTTGGCGTTCGACGAAGCTGACCTTGATTATTACACCAATATGTTTAAGAATGTCCTGAAGAGGAATCCGACCACTGTGGAGTGCTTTGATTTAGCGCAGAGTAACAGCGAACACAGTCGTCATTGGTTCTTCAAGGGAAAGATGGTTGTAGATGGGGTTGAACACGAAGAATCGCTAATTGATATGATCATTGAGACCCAGAAACACACAAACCAGAACAATGTTATCAAATTCAGTGATAACAGTAGTGCCATCACAGGGTACAAACATAAGAGTTTGAGACCTAGTTCTCCTGGAAAACCTTCTGAGCTACGAACAGAGAATGCGGAATCTCATTTGATTTTCACCGCCGAAACTCACAATTTCCCGACGGGAGTTGCTCCCTTCAGTGGAGCAACTACAGGACCAGGTGGTAGGATCAGAGATGTCCAATCTGTTGGTCGTGGTGGTTATTGTATTGCTGGTACCGCTGGATATTCGGTTGGCAACTTATACATTCCAGGTATGCTCCTCTAGTAAATCCCGATTATCAGGAGTTTACTGATTTACCTATTTTTACAGATTATCCTTTTGAATGGGAGGAACCAAACTTCGTCTACCCTGACAACTTTGCGAGTCCTCTTGAAATCCTTGTTGAAGCTTCAAATGGTGCATCAGATTACGGCAACAAATTCGGCGAACCAATGATCTCTGGCTTCGTCCGCTCTTTTGGTCTTGTCGATGGTAACCAAGAACGTCGTGAATGGATCAAACCAATTATGTTCTCCGGCGGTATCGGCAGCATGGAAGCAGCCATGACTGAAAAACTTAAACCTGAAGTGGGAAACCAAATCGTCAAAGTAGGTGGTCCCGTATACCGCATTGGTGTTGGTGGAGGCGCCGCAAGTTCAGTCGAGGTCCAAGGCGATAATAAAGCAGAACTAGATTTTAACGCAGTGCAAAGAGGAGATGCCGAAATGGAAAACAAACTAAACAGGGTTGTACGAGCTTGTCTTGAATCAGGGGCCAAGAACCCTATTTTGAGTATTCACGATCAAGGTGCTGGTGGTAACGGTAATGTCCTGAAAGAACTAGTGGAACCAGTTGGTGGAATAATCTATGCATCAAGGTTTGATCTAGGAGATCCCACAATCAATGCTTTGGAACTCTGGGGTGCTGAATACCAAGAAAGCAACGCTCTCCTCTGCAGTAAGGAAGACATGGAAACATTAAGGGCTGTCTGTAGAAGGGAGCGATGCCCTGTCAACTTTGTAGGTGATGTGACCAATACTGGTCGCGTAGTGCTCACTCTTGATGATGAACAGAAGGTGGTTCCATTCAACTTGGATTTGGAGATGGTTTTGGGTAAAATGCCGCGTAAAGTGTTCAAACTTGACAGGAATCAGAATATTTTGAAGGAGTTGGTCCTCCCCGATGACATTTCCATTTATAAAGCTTTGGAGCGCGTGTTGCGACTACCATCAGTTGCCAGTAAGCGTTATCTGACCAACAAAGTAGATCGTTGTGTCACAGGTTTAATTGCCCAGCAGCAGTGTGTAGGACCTTTGCATACTCCACTTGCCGACGTTGCCGTTACGGCAATAACACACTTTGGATACGAAGGTATCGCATCATCAATTGGCGAACAGCCAATCAAAGGTTTAGTCAATGTCGCCGCTGGTGCCCGCATGACAGTAGCAGAATCACTTAGTAACTTGGTGTTTGCTGCGATATCTGACCTCAAGGATGTAAAGTGCAGTGGAAATTGGATGTGGGCTGCTAAGTTACCAGGCGAAGGAGCCGGTCTGTATGACGCTTGCGTTGCAATGACTGATATCATGTCCAAATTGGGTATTGCCATTGATGGAGGTAAAGATTCCTTGAGTATGGCAGCCAGAGTTGGTAAAGACACCGTCAAAGCACCTGGAACTTTAGTGGTCAGCAACTACGCGCCTTGTCCAGATGTTAGGAAAATTATCACACCTGACCTCAAAGCACCAGCCATGAACCAGGAAGGTACCCTGATTTTCGTGGATCTCTCTAATGGCAAGAACCGTCTTGGAGGTTCTGCACTCGCGCAGTGTTACAAACAACTTGGCAAGGAAAGCCCCGATGTAGAGAATGTCACGGATTTGATTAATGCATTCAACGCAACTCAACAACTCATCAAAGAGGGCGCGCTCCTTTCTGGTCACGATATCAGCGATGGTGGCTTGATCACCTGTCTGTTGGAGATGTGTTTCGCGGGTATTTCGGGTATCAACGTCAATCTTACGCACAGGAAGGGTAAAGCTGTGGAAGTTTTGTTTGCTGAGGAAGTGGGTTGGGTTCTTGAGGTTGCTCCAAAGGATGTCAAACATTGTTTGGAAGTCTTCCAGGTACATATACCTATACATTTCGCTATTTATTTGCAAATGTTAATAATTCTCCTTTCTGCAGAAATTCAAAGTACCAGTATATAAAATTGGTAACAGCGTTGGTCATGGAATCAAATCCAAAATAGCCATAACCGTAAACAACGCCTGCATTGAATCAACGGTACTTCCTTTGATGAAACTCTGGGAAGAGACCAGCTATCGTTTAGAATTGCGTCAAACAATCAAAGAATGTGCTGATTCAGAATTTAAATCTCTAGAATCACGCACCGGACCAAAATATTCCCTAACATTCAACCCTGATGAGAAGTTCAAGGTGGACAAAGAAGTTAAGGTAGCTGTTATCCGCGAGGAAGGTATCAACGGAGATCGCGAAATGGCGGCCGCTCTAGTACGTGCTGGTTTCAAAGTCTGGGATGTCACCATGCAAGATCTTATCTCCGGGGATGTCACCTTAGATTCTTTCCGAGGTGTCATCTTCCCCGGAGGTTTCAGTTACGCTGATGTCCTTGGTTCTGCTAAAGGATGGGCAGCAAGTATCCTCTTCCACGAAAAGGTTCAAGATCAATTTAAGAAATTCGTCGCACGACCAGACACCTTCTCTTTGGGTGTATGCAATGGTTGTCAACTGATGGCCCTAATTGGTTGGGTAGGAGAAACCACCTGCACTGACAAACCCGCCATTGTCCTTGAACACAACAAATCCGAACGCTTTGAATGTCGTTGGTCTACGGTGAAGATCCAAAAGTCCAAAGCAATGATGCTTGAAGGAATGGAAGAGTCTGTGATGGGTGTATGGGTTGCCCACGGGGAAGGTCGCTTTACCTTCAGTAACGATAAAATCTATAAGGACCTTGTCGCTAGTGGTTGTGTTGCATTGAGATACGTCGATGATAATTCGCAGGCTACTGAAATCTACCCGATGAACCCGAATGGCAGTGTTGAAGGTTTAGCTGCGGTTTGCTCCAAGGATGGACGCCATTTGGCGATGATGCCGCATCCGGAGCGTTGCGATCAGATGCATCTGTGCGCATACGCGCCGCAGGAATGGTGCGCGTACGAAACGAGTCCATGGGCGCGTATGTTTAGCAACGCGTACCAATGGTGTCGCAAGAACTAAAACTTTACACGCTGCTGCTCGCGATATTTTTGATTATTAATAATTGTTTTGTAATTGCATACTACAGGTGAAGTAGTAAAACTACTCAAATTGGTTTAATGTAATGAAATAAATTCCTATTTCATTTAAAATAAATTTAAAAAATTAAATAAAAATTTGTCCTGTTTCCTAGAATATCATAGGTATCATATTGCGAGTGTCCTTGTTATGTAAACAAACCCTGCTGCCGGTAGATGTCGCTAGCGATTTCCATGCAGCAGGATTTCGAGTAATCGAGCTCGATGAACGGCAGGAGAACGAATGGTCGCGTGTGGGAGCGAGACCGCGACTCGAGGAGACATACGCGACGCAGTCTCGCCGCCAGCAGCAGTCGCAGGTTGGGTCTCTCGCAGGTCGCAGTGCGCGCTCACGACGTCGACGCACGGCCAGCCCGCACACCAAACACACGGGGTCGCGTCGCTCATTCCGCAGGAGGGCAGACACTCCGCCGCACAAAAGCACAACGCACACCCGCCCGCAAAACCCGTCGCCCCGGTCCGAGCAGCAGCGAAGAACGCCCGCATCGTCTCTTGCATCAACCGCTTCTCCGGTTGCCGCAGCAGCAGCAGCACACAGCAGACCAGTGCGTGCGCGTGTGCGTGACTCGTGTTGTGTCTCCGACTTCTCTTGTCCACCAGTGGATAGGAAGTGGCCCTTCGATTTCGGTGGGCTCGGTTTTCGTACGCGAACAGGCGCCTGCAGCGAGTACTTATAACCCAAACAGAAAATCCTGCTATATGGGACTTAATTATTGGGACGTTTTTCTCTGTGCGCGCACATTATTAGTGGTGCTCTTGGTGCAATAAATTTTTGCAGCTGCAGCAGGACAGGAGATTTTTTTCAGTGTCGACTGCGGCGATGAGAAGGCATCGCCTTTCGAGAGCGAAGACTCACAGGTAAACCAAACATGCTTGAACCTACCAGTTTCGCTGACATTTCGAGCCGTTCAGCCAAAGGACGTAAAGTTGAAAATTTACAATCACAACACAGCTGTGTATATGAACCGCAACGCGCTGTGTTTATATTTAACGCCCGTCGTTCTTTGTTTCGGTCGCTCGTTACTGCAGGAATGAGAGGAGCTTGCAACAAAAGCCGCGATGCAAATATAGGTCCTTGCAAAATAGGTCAACACCTCGAAATTCCTCCTGGTTCACTAACTAGCAAAAAAACTCTCACATGAAAACTCTTAAGACTTAAGTCTTGTTTCTTTTGTAAATCTTGTCCTTCAAACAAACAAAACACGCCGCCTTTTATTTATTCACAAGTTTCGACCACACGACCAGTATCTAGCCGTGCGTCCTTTAACGTTGTTTCATTCGATAAGTAAGCCTGCCTTTCGATTCGAAAGTGGAAATCTTATTGTTGCCTGCATGCGCACACACGTTTCCTCATCGTGTTTTCTTTTTTTCGCCGCACGCACGCACACGAATCGCACGCACGACGCATACGTGCATGAGCGTGAAAATAACGCCGGATTGATTATAACAAACAAAAACACACAACAGTCGATATATGCTCAATGCTCAAGTCCACCGCTAGTGCAGTTTTTACGCGTGTTTCGTACGAGGTGATAACGTTCGGTTTACGCAGAAAATCTAATTAAAAGTTTACCGAATGGAAAGTTCTCGAGCGAGCGCCATTCGAAGATGAAGTTAGAGTTAAACTTTAATGCTGTTAAAGAGGCGGGTTAATTTGTGCGTTTTCATCGCGGAATGTGATGTTTTCAGATAGAGGAAATGGTTTAATCAGAGCACTACACTGTTTAATTGCGTTAAAGCATATTTTTTCCTCCAATGAAAAGTTTTCAGGTGCGCAAAAGTTGAAATTAAACTTTGCGCAGTGATTTTTTTCTCTCGCACGCATTTCAAGGGGGTAATTAATTTATCCCCGGATCGGATTTGTGTGTTCGTCAATCAAGTAGTCGTAATTGCCATTGTGCGGCGTTGCATTGTTCCGTTCGTGTTTACACTCCTCGCGCGTTTTTATTATAGATTTCCGATACTAATCCGCCGCCGACTAGTGCATGACGTTTCACAGCCAACTGCCCTCTTGAATGTCCATTGCACAAACCAAACAAAATGCTCACGGAGTGCTTGAATTATCCACGTTACCTGCGGATTATTTAATTTTTATAACGCGTGTTAACGCGCGGTGTTTAATGCTGTTTAGCAGCGTTGCGGAGCGTAACAGGGCTTCGAAATAATTAACCAAAGCTTTGAAGAGGCTCGAAAGCAGAATACGAAACATCAAATTTATTATTTAAGACGCGTAAAGTTACTAATGCTGCTTTTGCTTCTGGTGAGGTGTTTTCGGCACGTACTACTAAATACGTGATGAAATGTTGAAATCTACTACTTAATCAATGTTTAACCAATTTTTCTTTTTCTTTCGCAGATTAGAACAATGGTAGACATAACTCTAAGACGAAGAACAAGATGGACGTTTCCGGGCTGGATAGTCCTGCTGGGTACACTAACGATGGATTATTTGGAGGTGTGTGCCGGTGAAGATTTGGCAGTGAGCGCACCGTACAATTACCCAGCGATCATGTCGGAGGAACCGGGCGCCGAAACGATCACAGCGGCTAATATAAATGTCACGTGGGAGGAGGACGGTGTGTGGAAGACGAACAAAAGCGTGACGGGCCGTTACGGGAGCGGCTACATAGGCTCGGCGTCCGGCCTCCTCGTGCACGTATCTGGCCCGCATCGCGTCGACGATCATTCCGGTTGCACGCTGCCCTTCAGGAATTTCGGCCGGCCCGATGGCGCGCTGCCCAGGGAGCCATGGATTGCACTGGTGCGGAGGGGCGGCTGCAACTTCGAGGACAAGGTTGCCAACGCGCATCACAGTCGCGCCGTCGGCGTGATCGTTTACAATGATCGCGATGCCAAAGGTTTGGATAAGATGAAACTCTCCACGGGCAATGGACGTAAGTGGATAGTTATTTTAAAAGTTAATTTAATTCTACTTCCGGCTGGAAATAAAACTTGAAGGCATCAAGTTCTTTCTCATTTCATTTTTACACCTACACACACATACACACACGTATATATTGTGCGCCAACGACCTCCAGAAAAATCTTCGCAACCTTGCACAGCTTCCTGCTCTGGCGTCGCGCGAATATTTCACGTCGTGCGTCGAAAACACGACAAAACCAATAAACACGTTTTATAATCACTGCATAAATCAATGAATCAAATAGTGCGCTTCGATAAATCAATAGCATGCGAATCGAGAGCGCATTGCGGAAGCGATGCATCGACATTTATATAAATATCAATTTCAACGCAATAACAAGTTGAAGTTTAAGTTGTCTGGCGTGAATTATTTTTAAAATATTTTTAAAGCAAACCGCGAAGCGTAACAATGCGTCAACCTTTGAGGTTAGCCTAGGAAATGAACCGCCACCTGATAAAAAATGTAAATACGGCGTTGACTGACTTCCTTGTGTTTTTTCTTGCGCTTACAATGCGCTTATTTAATTAGCACTGCAAGAGTGTACACATTAAACAATCATTGCACACATATAATGTGCAAGGCGATTAAGACGACCGCAGTATGCAGGCGTGTTGCTAAGATGTGCAAACATCTTAATTAATTTGCCATTGTACTCATTGTTGTCGTGTTTTACTACAAATAGAGTATGTGCAAATAACGTTTCAAAATCGAGAAAAATTGAATGTGAAAAATGTCAACTTGTGTGTATTCTGTGGTGAAACGCAGGCGTGCAAAACGAGACGAGACGCGAGGAGAGCCTTGAAATGAATTTTATAAATGGAAATCGTACGCATGAAGAGTATCTGTTGATTGTCAACGTACCAATGCATCCGATGCGATGCGCATAGTGACGTTGTGACGTAGAGTTGTAGACAATGAACGTTTTGTATTTCACATTTTGTGCGCGTATTATTAGCGTGACAGGATGATAGTATTCTACACATGGCGAGCGCATACAGTGCATCATCGACAACTTCAAACTCGTGTGTGTTGTCGACGGGAGGGCCGACCACATGTGCGTTTTCTTCGCGATGAGGACTAAATTTAGATTTTGAGAATGAGGCATACGACAAGATGCCTAACTATGAATTATCAACTCATGTTGAATAGTAAATCATCAGTAATATTTTAAATGCGAATATTAGTTTGTTTGTTCCGCGATTATGTAAAAACTATTGAATTAATTTTGATAAATTTTAAAATTGAGATATTTTTGACTAAGGAAAAGCAAATAGGCTACTTTTTGATGCGAAAATATAACTTAAAGGGTGTAAAATTAGAGTTGAAAGATTAATTTCTTTAAAACAAAATTAAAAATTGATTTTGATGTATAATACTTCAAAAAAAAAAAATTAAATTTAGTTTAAAATAATTTTAGTAGAACATTAATTTAAATTATACTCTCTAATAACTCAATTGTATTCATATGCACCATGAAAAATAACGATTAAACGCTCGTCGCAGAAAAAAGTTAATAAACTCTAGCCAGGTCCACCCATCCGCGAATTTTACGCGCGCACCGTTAATGTGACTCATAATTAAGCAGTTAATCAGCGCGCGCGTTCGCAAAAAGTACATGGCGACGAAACATAACGATACAATTGAAGTTTATACGGTATTCGCTACTGTACCCTTCTAGATGATGCGTCTACCTCATATATCGAGTCATCCACCTCACACTCTGCATGCAATAATCTGCAAACACGCGACAGACGACAACGACATTTTTGTTTATATCTGTTTAAGCATCACAACTATGCGAACTATAAAATTCAACGACTGCTGCTTTACATTTCGCTTTACTACGCTCATCATGTGAATGTACCTACAAAATTTACATCATCGTACACTGCTCCTGCTCCTCTACCTGTGTTGTTTGTGTGTTTTGTTTGCTTTGGTGTGCTTTTGATTTCTGGCTGCATGCTCTCTCAATTATACACTGCCGAGTTGCGTTTATTCTGGTGCGTGTTTTGCATTTGCATCCATCCACATTTGCTGCTGTTCGTACCTTCGCGGAAAGGACGCACGGATGTGAAAATGTGTTTTCGTCGGGGCGGTGGGTTTGATGAACTTTGGCAAGGCGCCAGACCCGCCGGTTGATGCGCCCAACGGCGGCATGTGCATATTTGACGCCTGCCTCGGTTTGCTGTTTTTTTTTTGTATCAATTTATCTCGCATGCATGCTGCACATATCATGCAGCGTGGTGCATCAAGGGTAAACTGTGAGTCCACGAGCAAATATTTTCACGCGGCTTATTTTTTCGAAGTTTATCGCAAACATCATATTTTTTTTTAAATCATGATTATAACGCGTATAAAATATAATTTCATTGTTTATGTGCATGGCAATGATCTGGAATTATAAACTGCGTTGAAAACAAAAATATTATGTTCAAATATTTGGCATAAACATTTGCTAATTTGAGAAGTTTTACGATTAAAAACAAACAGCAAATCCAATTGGTTTATCTTTAATTGTGAATACCGGAAGTGAATGTTTTATAACGCCAGAAATCTTCTCACCAAATTTTATTAAACATTTTTTAAGTTGATATGCGTATTGAGGTCTTGATATTTGGCACATTTTTTAAAGTTTAATTTAACGATCACGATGACATTTTATTCGACAAAAACCACGCTCGTTTGCATGTTAAACACACGAATTTGTTCGGCGCTGATAATTCAACCACCCTGGGTTACCTACAAACACACGAATACTTAATTTCCTGAATCGTTAACGGCACATTGAGGAGGTTTGCGAAATACTAGTTCTGAAATCAGTCGCTTTCGACTCGAAATTATTGATAATAACATGGCAACGATATTTGCATAGTTTACGCATGTTTTAAAAACTTAAAATAATTTGCTTGTTATCACGCAACGTAATAATTGTGTTTACTTGATATTTCTACTCATTAGACGTAAACAACTGATAGTTTAGATATAATTCATAATGCTATAAATGTTTGACAACTTAAGTGCGCATTTATCACTTTAAAGTTTCAAAACTCGTACTTGCACGTACATACAACAATTAAAAGTATGTTTTAGCTCTAAAGACAAAACTGACCCAGACATTTAGAGTAAACACATAATTTAACTGCACAGCCAGATGGTGGCTGTATATTGTATATTATAGTATCACTCGTGTTAATCAAAGAATAAAATGTCATCAAACCACAGAAGATTAATAAACGAGTTAAAAATAGAACATCGAGCGCTGGCAGCCACACCTAACGCTCGTTAAGTGGACTGAGACATAAATTGCACAATTACGTTTTTTTTCGCGGCGAAAAAAGTTCAAAAGTTTAGAAGTTCATGACGTGACATCAAAACGAAAACAAAATGAAAGCTGGCCGATCATAAAGTGTTTGGAATATTTTCGAATGCCAAGAAGAATAATTTCGAATATTAATAGGTTGATTGGCTTATCGATTTTCAATCAAGTCCAAAGTAAATCGGAAATATATCGTGGTGTAAACGTCAACATTATCAACAATAATAATTTCTAATCGTCGGAAATAAATTGCACGCGTGCTAAGGAAATCGATACGAGTCGTCATAAATTGTTGGTGTGACAGGAAAATGGGTATTTGTATGATTGTCGAAAAAGAAAAAAATGCAAGGGTTTTAAAATGTGACCTCGGATACACAGTAAGTACCGGACTTTCAAGGTTAGACGACATCGCTTGCCAGATAAGCCAGGAAATGCAGACATGCTGCAAAATAATGCGTTTGGCAACAAAATATTCACGATTCTTTAATTTAATTCTTACGCTTCGGTTCTTTCATGATATCATTCTAATATCGACGTTGTAGATCGGCGATTGATTGACATTATTAAGCCTTTACTTTAATTAATAAATAATTGGCAATAATTAAATTATGCGCGCGTTATACCCGTTGATGTAATGCGAGCAAATTAACTTTTAACATTTGTTGCAACATTATATTAATATAAACTTTGTGTACGAGTTTTCGACTTTATAGCTTTATTTATTTATTTACGTAGTATTACGACGTTCGGTTCATGCGAGTGCGCATTGTTGCATTACGTGAGTGGGTAATTGTTATTAACGGCAGATTTTTTCGGAGTTGTACATCGTTAACGTAATGATTTGCACGATCAGCTGGCATGATACATTCAGCATATGTTCAGGTTTAATTGCTGGTACTGTGTAGGTAAATTTTACCTGGTCAACATTTGTTGTTTGTGAATAACAGAAACAAATTGTAGGTTTTTATGAATTGAGTCCAAAAAAAGTCACTAGAACAATCAGAGTTCTTTAATTTAACGAAAAAAGAAAAATTCGGAAGGACATTAAGTGCAGATAACGCTAGATAGACTCAGACACGACTGAGCACCGTACTAGCGTCGAGCGGTCTTTTGTACCTGCGCCCGACCCGCAAAAAGTGGTGGGGTGTAGAGTTACTTAAGTAAAAGAGGAGTGAAATTTAAGTCACCAGAACAGGCATGTTTAGAGGATGATAAAAGACATTTTTACACTCTGAAAAGCAAAAATGAATTCTGACATCTACAATTCAACTGTAAAATAAAATTAAACTTAATATTTTTCCGGGAAAATGTTTCCATTGTTAAATTTACAGTAATTCATGCCATTTAATAAATTTTTTGCCTCTCGAGATGGGTTGTTGTACTGTTGATTTTTATTTATTCAGGGATTTGTTTGAGTTAAAAAATCATAAATCACGCCCGAATAACTTTGACCGTTTCCCGCTTTTCAGCTGGGCTGTTGTTCGCGCGCGGAATCTCTCACACGTCAAAAGCCGGCGAGCGGGCGACAAAGACGCGGAATCTTGCGCGCCGCACCCGCGCGCCCACCGAATGCTAATTAAATTTATTCCGATTTGCGCGCAATAAAAATAAAATAAAAGCAGCGCGACGCGTTCGGCATATTAAACATATCTTTGTCTCTCGGTGCAAAACACGTTTGTTTACCGCGTATCTACTACACTCTACTATATTCAAAACAAATGAATATAAATATAAATCATCAACTCACTCAGCTCATCTAATAAAACTCGAGTCATATTTTTATTTTATTTCGGTGAGAGAATAATGCTTTCGCATGTTGCTGTTTTCATATCAAAAATATCACTTGACAGCGCGATCCACATGCACATTGTGAATTATTGAAACGAATATTCACCCAACGTAAAGAGCATTTCACCGCAGAGCAGAAATCACAATTCAGCCAACAAGTCACAGCGCCGTCGTCTGTTGAGCGCTGCGCGAGCTTCATGGTTCATATTTCATATTCAATGCAATGCTCGTCCGCGTCCCGTCTGTTTCGGGCGGCGAATGAATAAATGTATGCGCATGCATTAATTTGCACTTTCGCATTGTGTGCGAGAGCGCATTATGTGAACATTGTTTACGCTACAAGCGCGCGCGCTCCGTCGTTAAATTCGGCGCTACGTTTACCATATTGCGATTATTTTTCGCATCAAGACTCTGATCGCATCGAATCGACGCTTGTTGTGATTTATCTGTTGCGAACAGACGCAACAGTTAGACCAGCTAATTATCGCAATTAACATGCCGGCAGAAATCAATGTTTGAAGCACTTTACTCTAGTTTTAATTAAAACTTGTGCTCATATCTACAAATGTATTTATATTTACATTGCATTTACATTTAATGAGTTTTTCATTTAACGCCCGTTGAATACTCACTATGCTTTTGCTCTAGCAATTAAAAATGGTAAAACTATTCAAGGCAAATATACCTACGTTATTTTTTAGTCACCAACGCGAAAATTAATGTTTAATGCGCGCAAAACAAGAAAATTAATTAAATTTGCTTTTGTTGCAGGTAATATAAGCGGAGTTTTCACCTATAAGTCGATGGGTGAAGAAATGGCAAAACTTATCGATAACAACTCGAAAGTTCTGGTCCACATCACGATTGCCAGTCACACGTTAACCCGGACGACTATCAACAAGTAAGCTAAGAAAATCGATTTTTCATTGACTTAATCGCCTAAAAACGCTTACCTCAATACAGCCCTACGTAAACTGTCCACTTAACTTATTTGATGGAATTTCATTGACGCGCTTTGCGTCACAAAACAATAATTCCTAATCTTATCACGCGCCTATAAATATCCATTGTACACCAGTCCATTACGCACAACAAGACACCAGACAATTCTTCGCCTGTACGACGCTTACCAATATATCAACATCTTGTGCTAATATTTGTCCAACGCGAAAGAACGGAAGTATGTGTATAAAGCGCGCGCATGCGCAATAACTTAGTATTATTCTTTGGTTTAGTAGCGCGTCATTTGCCTTTGGTGCATGTCAGTTATAAGTAAGCCAACTTTTACTCGCACTTCGAGCAGTCGCGCTGCAATCAAGGAACTAATTAAAATTTAAAGACCAGCGTTTCCTTGCTAATTTGTCAAGCAACAAATAAGTGAAATAAACAAAATAAAACTACGTAAATGTGCGGACACGTTCTATTCTTGATCGCCAGCGCTGTGTTCAGTTTGCTTCCGTGGTGTTTTCCGGTGTTTCTACTGTTCGTGTATGTATTTTACGTATGGGAATTTGCATGAAATATGTGTGCGATTATGAGAATTTTATAGTTTTTAAAAAATGTCAAAAATATTAGAAAATAACCTTAATTGAGATTAATTTGCGAGGACGACAACTCACAACTAAATAATTTTTATCCGTAATTATAAAAAGCAAATTTTCGTTGCGAGATAAAATATTATATTCTTTATTTAATCAAATAAAATTTTATTTGTTATAGGAGTAAATAAACTTAAGCTTTCCGCATGTTTTATTCAAGTTTTAAGCATGCCAAGTATTCGACAAAGTTTAGTTAGTCGCCAAGTTTGGTTTGCTCTTCCGGGGTATCCTCACACAACGCGATAAATATTAATCTCGTGGATTCGTCATAAATCGTCGCGCGCGTAATAAATTCGTGCGCTGCTCGCGCGCTAACAAGTTTTCAAGTGCGAAATCGCTCGTGCCAGTGAACGAAAAAAGCGCAACGACCACGCGAAACAACTCAACGCACCGGAAGCTACATCAACTGCACATTAAAATAAACAAGTACTTTCAATCAAATTTCCTACGAAATTAAATTCCAAATAATTTAATTAAAACGCCAATGACGCATTTATTTCGATTTTTGTATTTTCAAAACGCGTCCCAAATGTCCCAACCGAAACAAATGACCCGATATATGCGCGATTCGTTGTTTAAAAACAGTTAAATTTTAATTAAAATAAAACTCCGCGTCCTGACAAACAATAAATTTGCCAGTTCAAAGGCTTTACGCGCAAGGCCCTAGCGCAATTTGCATACTAAACGTTTTTTACAAAACATATCTTAATGATTGTACCCATATACGAGCGTATAACTTGTTTCGTTGTACGCATAACGTTAATATATTAGTTTTGATTGCAATCAAAGTGGTTATAATGACACATCTGTGTAATAATTTACTAAATTGTTTCGTGTGCCAACCACTCGATGATATTTAATTAACGACTAATATGTTTAAATTGTTATTTATTTAATCTACAGGGCAATGTGATCTGAAATTATTTTGCAATTTGTGTTTTTACAGGACGTCGGTGCTCTTCGTGTCAATTACGTTCATCGTGCTGATGATAATTTCCATCGCGTGGCTCGTCTTCTACTACGTCCAGCGCTTCAGATACATTCACGCCAAGGACAGGCTGGAGGTGAGTCCCGCGTGAATTTGCATTTTTGTGTTTTAATATTTAATTATGAAGAGTGCGATGCGGCCGCATTGCACAAGCACTCAACCAATGAACTACCTACGACTACTGGTTTTTTTTAACGTAGAAATTAGAGAAATTTTCAAATCCATCTTAATCAAAATGCAAATATTGATGTTATTCCACACTGATCGATAAAAATCATCATTTAGTCTACGTCTACGGTTTTTCATCACTTTGCATCAATGAAAATATGATTATCATATTTATTTGCGCATCGTCTAAGTTTATTCAATCGTGTGTGCGTTGCGCGTCTCGATGTTGATTGCATGATGTTAGTTAGATGACGTTTTACAAACATTTCGACGAGTTTAAAAGTCGATTGTTCATAGCAGTAATATTGCGCAGTGCCATGTCGCCATGTGCAATGCAATAATTAATAGATTGCATGCGTCGTCGACGTGTAGACTAATTGTTTATGTTTATTCTTTTGTTTATGTTGTTTTTTCTTGCAGAAACGGCTGTTTAACGCGGCGAAAAAGGCATTGTCGAAGATTCCCACGAAAAACATCAAAGCTGGTGATAAGGTAAGCCTCGCAACGGCAATAATAACGGTTATTAGGTTGGTATGTCGAATATGTAGGTATTACGAAAACGGCCTTGTCAAACGTTTGCTAGTAAAAATTTGATTGAAATAGCGTTAATATTTATTATTTGTTATATTTTATTATACTTGTTTGTAAATTTTGTGTAATTTTGCTTTTATTTTGTCTTTGATATCAATTTTTAGACAAATGAAATGAGATTAGTTTCCACTTTATCAAACTTTCGAAAGTTAAAGTCTCGATAATATAAAGTTGGATTAAAGTTTATAAATTCTATGAAAAGTGACAACGAAAATTTTAGGAGATTAAAGTTGTAATCTAATACTATTTGCAAAAATAATTTTCTGCTAATCATAGATAATACTCACAAAATTCTATTCATAAGTTTTTTTATGTGGATTCTATTATTAAAAAACCAGACACTCATAACTTTTGTACTTAAAACATAGTGTTCCTCGAAGCAAAAAAACAAACATTTCATAACGACACCAGCCTGTCGTCAAAAGTGATTGAAACCATTCAAGCTGATTGAAATTATTGACATTATGGAAAAACAATGTTAATCAACCTGTTTGGCTTGTTTTTCCGTTTTCAAACCATTCAATTTCGACACTTTGATACGATTCACTTGCAAATAATGCGTACGCGTCGACACACGTTCGTTCATAGGCGAAATCGAAAGTCAAGCAATTGCACAATTGACCATACGCCCTTGAAACACTCAACAAAACGGCGAAAATACAAAATAGAATCATAATTAAAACCGAACTCGCATTGGAAAACATTGGTGGCGAATCAAAGCGCTGTTCCGTTCGCAATTTATAGACTCATTAAGACGCGTAATTGAATTGTTAAGCTGAACACTTCGCACGCTCAAAAATAAACAAAAACTACGCATTAACGCATTAGGTAATTAAATTATCTTGGCGCAATTGACTCAAGTTACTGTAATTGACCTGGCATAATTGAGTTAAACGAATGACACGTTAATTTGGGCGTGTTGATTCAAATCACCGCTCGTTATATTTTTTCAAAGTTAAAGTTATTAGGCCGACACCGAATGTTTCGTCATGTTTTGACATTCGGCGTTATTTAATTTCAATTTCACGGTTTGAAAATATTGTGCAAACTCGAGTGAATAATTTTCAAATGTGTGTTACACGAAATTGTTACGCAAAACCAGACTTGAAATTGAGGTTTTCGTATTCACGTTCAAGTTTACACCTGAATGGAATGCCAGCAGCATTTCGTAAAACGTCGCACAATACATTTTATTATTATGAAAGCGCACATGGTTTTATTCTGTGCGCTTACATCCGGTTCGTTTACGTATAGAGTGGCTATCTAAATAATAAATTTAATTACGTTTGAAGTGATACGGTTGTCTATAAATAGATTTTATCGACTGTTCCAGGAATTGCAGGGAGATGGGGAGTGTTGTGCAATCTGCATCGAGCCCTATCGCGTCCCGGAAGTCCTACGGATGTTACCCTGCAGGCAAGCATAAACAACCACTTTTCTCTTTTTTGTTTTTTCAATTGAAATTTTTGTTGTTTTAATAATGTCACGGTTGAAATGAATGTTTGCAGCCACGAATTCCACAAGAACTGCATCGATCCGTGGCTGCTGGAGCATCGCACGTGCCCGATGTGCAAGATGGACATCCTGAAGCACTACGGGTTCGCAGTGAGTCCGAACGTAGGTGGCGCGGCGCGCGCGCGCCTCCAACACGCGGCCGCCGCCGGAGCGCGATTATGATCTCTTGTGTTGCATTTTGCTTGCAGTTGACCGGCAGTCAGGAGAGTATATTGCACTTGGACGCGGAGGAGGCGGTGGCGCTGGACGGCGGCGCCGAGCACGACCACGACGGCGCTGGTGGCGGCGGCGGGCCGGCGCGACGCAACGCCGGCGGCGGCGGTATCAGTCCGCTGCCGCAGATACGCGCCGGCATCGACGATAATCAGGTAATCGATATGCAAACGCGCCCGGAACTTGACCCACGCGAATTTAATTTACAACGGAATTTACGTTGACATTACATTACAGATAAAGTAAATAAGAAATTATCAACGATTAATTACCTAATTTGTATTAATAATACATTTTTATCTTCACGGAATAATCTAATACTTTAAAAGCTTGCGCATGCGCATAATTACTTAACCTCAATTAACCTAATTTTTATATTTCAGAGATTCGATTCGGATCAACATAGTAGCCGATCATCGAGCCCTAATGAAATGACACCATCCCTACCAAATCAACGGATGCTCCCCGTGCGGCAGGACCTGTGCGTGACGTGCATCGCCGCAGCAACGAAGGTAAAAGTGAAGCGCGACGTGACCCACCCGCCGCACACAACAACCACCACCACCACCGCCGCCGCCGTTAATGACGCCATCTCAACGGGAGCGGCGGCGGCCACGACGACGTCAACAGTGTGTCACATCGACTACGATGAAGATGACGACTCCGAACCCACCCCAGGCGTGGTGCATCGTGCAACGCAATGAACTCTCGCCCGCATCACCGCCGTGTGATGGCGCATCCATGAAATGCTCGACAGTTTCAGAGTGTGCGAAGGTACTCTACTTAACAAAAAAATCTCACACACCCACGCGAACGCGCAGAACATTCCTTATTGCATTTTCGTTTCTCTCGACTGCCACGCGCCCCTACAACTAACACTAGATAAAAGAAAAGGTACTAGTTTGTAAAAGTGCCTAGTCTAAATGAGGTTAAGCTATGAGGAAGAATAGATATTCTCATTTACGCATCGCGTTGCGCTGAGGGCGTTTGCAGAAACGATTAATTTATAAAATCGACGCAGCTGCGCGCGCACGATGCAACCAAGTTCGACGTAACTTACATAAGAATGCGCATATTTATTTTTGTGATATTACCGATACTGATCTAATGTTAAGTAACGCTAAGTGATAACATGAAATATGTGAGAATACGTGACGACTAGTTTTAAGGCAAACACACACACACACCCACACACACAACTAACGCGGTATTTTTATCATCACATTGTACTCTATCGACTCTATCAACTATCGTATTCGACTGTTTCGTGCCGTACGCAAAGTGCATAATTATCGTAGTGATAAACGTGCTCTGTGCTCGCGCTCGAAGCGGTGATTTATTTTCGCGTCGGTTTTATATTTATGACTTAATCTTTGTATGATTTTTATTGTTGTTTTTTTTTTCATTTACAAGAGTTGCGGCGACATCGCACAAAAAATATGACGACTGATTGCAGAAGGCAGCTTTTATTGAACGCAATTGTTCATTATTACGATTATCAGCCCGGTAAAACACAATTAATCGCGTGTTACATGATATTATCCGATTTTTTATGTCTCGATCGAAATAAATGTTGAAATTATGAATTTAAATTTATTCGCGGTGCGATGAAGCTGATAATTCTCGATAATCAAATGGTGCTTAACGACAGCTAGTTTTTATTGTAATTTGTGTTCTCGAAATTATCTCTCAACACTCAAATATTATATTTCTACGGCCAACAAAAACACTGTAAAATATTGTATAATATCCCAATGATTTCCGAATGAATTCTCTATATTTTGGTCGAGAATCTAACAAAAAAAAAGCTCTAAAATGAAAAGAAATTAAATAAAGAGATACTTAATGCATCTTAATAGATTTAAACACTAACTAACGATGATATTATTCAAATGAGAAACGTGTGACACGTTGTATTTTTAATGATAACGATAAATCAAGTTGCGATAATGTTTAAAACTTCACGAAACTTGTAGGTAGCTATAAAAACGAAATTCGAACGGAATAAAATGATAAAAGAGATGATTGACTAAGAATGTGTCGGGAGTTTTGTCGAATTGTTAATTTAATTGACAGACGAACGACAAACAGCCATATTATACATAGTGAATAAATAATTTGAATACAAGTTGTGTCCTGTGCTGTTTTCTACCTTTGATTTAGAGCATTTTTACGCAAATTTTTATTGACTTTTAGTCTCGTCGTCTTGTTTCTCATATTTATCTATATCTCCTTATTAAAGTGATAATAAGGCGATTTGTGGTGTCGATATCAGCGCAAAACGTGTCCGACTAGCAGCTGAATGTTATTTTTTTGCTGTTTACACGTAAAACATTCATAAAACAAATTAGATATTTATGATTAAGATATTGATTGAATGATTTCCAATACGCACACAAATATTTAATTTAATTGTAATTTATTGTGTACACAAATGTATTGTGTGCATGTGATCACAATATTTCTGTTTCTTCGCATAACGAATCTTCTCCATATAGAGCATTTAAAAACGCAAATTAAGTGCTTTTCGACTCTGTTACAGTTACGACCTTCCATTCCATCAATTCAGCACATTCTTTACTTGAAACTGTTGTCGCAATAAATAAAACCGTGTTCGTGCGAAATCTACATATCTCAAATTGTGAGACGATGAGAATTTCGCAGCTCAAAACGCAATTCTTTGTCCCATGCGCACGGTAAACGCAGTGTTTATTTATAAACTAAAATCTGGTGCACGCGGGTGTTTCGTTTGCTGTGTCGCACAGCAAACGCGATAATCATTAAATGATTGTCGGAGGTCAGTGCCGCTTTAATTTCGAAATCGTCGCCGAGTGTTCTAAACGCAGCTCGGTACGCACACGCTCGCATTGAATTTGTTTCATACAAACACACGCATCACGCTGTGAGTAATTAACCAGCGAAAACACCAAATCATTCGTCACTTGCTTCATGCACGTGGGCGACTAATGGCGGCGTGGTGCATTTATCTTCACGCCTGTTATACGTTTACGCATACTAAGTAATCTTAAATTACCTTAAATTGCTTTTGTTCGTCTGCGACGCGTTGGAGTGAGTCGGCGTTGATTGTTGAGGTTCGAGGTTCTCTAGGGCAAGTGTGACACACGTTTTTTCGTTTTCTAGCGGAAAAACAACGACCACGATACAATTCACGATTAGTAAACAACTTTAATTTTTGATTTGCCGTAGTGGCAGCATTGTAATCAGTTTGGCGCATGCGCATATTAGCAAAAATTCAAAAATGTGCGAAACGCGTCATTGCTTATAATATAGAATGAAATTTATGAGTTAATTAATACTTTGTTGGTAAATGTAATTATATACCTTGGTGTATATGATATTAGTTATGACATATCTGATATTTTTAATGTTTCAAGCGAATTTTTGCAAATTTTCATCCAAAACACGGAATTCCCGCTGCAATTCTAATTACACTATGCCGTGCCCTCAACCGCGACAACCACATAGCTATAACTATCAGGCTAATCAGACGAGTGCTTCAATTATAATAACATTCCATGTAAAAAATCGATGTTTTTACTTTATCAAATCGCTGTGCAGTCAAAACAAAATCTAATATTACTCTGTAAACAGTTTATGCCTTATTCGACACGATATCTGCGTCTGTCCGGTGCTAATTAGTGTTCATCGTCGTTTGCGATTAACATACCGATACTAAGCAGCGAATTTGCTCACTTGCGACATTTTCACGCTTCTCACGTTGCGCATAACTTACGAACTAAATTCGTAGCGTGTTTCGCCGCAGAGAAACAACACAAACAACATTAGCATTTGGTCACATTAGGATAATATCGTACGTGCGAAAATAAATGCTGAAAATGAACAGCTACACGCCTAGAAAACGACGTAGAACCTTTCATTATGCATTGTAATTACACAAAAACGTCGTCACGACCAGTCACGTAGCGTCATACGTCATAAACGCAATGAAAACGTAAAAACTCGCGGAAATGGGGCACGAGGACATGGATCCGCAGAAACAGCGCTATCTTCGCTGGATGTACCGTTTAATGTTGTTAACTGCCGTGATGCACATTACCGTTTATGCCTTGACGCCAGGGATGCTTCAGAGGAAAGCCGAGTTGAGAAAACAGGCGGAAAAGCGTCACAAGTCTGATTCATCTGAGAAATAGCGATGTCACACGATGAATTTATTAAGCACCGTGTCACGATGTGTCATTTTCGTTTAAATTTACTTGCTTTCATGACATTTCAATGGCAAAATTAGAAAAATGTGGAGAAACAATGACATGAACCCGAAAAGCCGTAGATTATTCAGGTTCATGTTCGGTTTGCTTATTCTCACGGCCATGATTACCATTACAGTGGATATGTTGACGCCAGGATTGTTGGGACGCAAATTGCGGCTGGAAAAACAGCGCGAAATCGATATGGAAGCTGCGAGACGTCGAAATGATGATTCAACAAAAAAATAATCACTCACGGGGATTTTCTGAACGTCAAATTCATCAAAATTAAATCAATTGCGGGATATTTACCATTGGGATACGAAATTTCAAGTTATGGTACAAATCTAAATATTCTGCTTTTAACGTGTAATCTATGAGAAATTATTCCAAGCATCCTCAAGGGATCACCATGGTTTACTGGGGGACATTCGCCGCGGTCGTGTTTTACATCGGATCCAGTTATTACGGAAGGTATCGAGATAACCAAGCCATCAAGCCGCGAGATGCCGGAGACGACAAGTTTCCAAAATGAAATATTTCCTTGTCACATTACTTAGATGAATAAAACTGCCTATTCCGATTAAGCTTTGACTCGCAGCATTTTTTAAAATGCCATTTATTTCCACAATCAGTAAACAGAAACCAATATGTTGTAATAATAATAATATACATCGAAAATATTAAATTTTGCGAGTTGAGAAGGGAATTGAGAGAAAAAAGATAAACAAAACGATAGGTAATAGGAAGATGCTAAAATAAGTTTTAAGATATCGAAACTGGTAGAGAAGTAGGTGAGAAAATCGATTAAGTTTAAGTTTCGGTGCTGGGCAGAGTGGTTAAAATGCTTAAAGAACCTGGGTTAATCATAATCGATATATAAACGAATAAAGTGAAATAAAATCCGGGCGGGATAACGAACGAAAGCGCGGCAAGAAGCATTTAACTTATTACCCTGTATACAATCAGAACGCCTGTACCATGCATGGGAAATCTGTAAGCCTGCCGCCGGTTGGTCGCGAGCTCCGCGCTACTCTATATGGCATCGATGTCAAAGTCTTCGCCCTCTTCGTCCACCTTCTTCGGCGGCTGCTTCACCTGCACCATGGGTTTGATAGGCGCACGGTCGTTGTACTCAATCTCGACATCGCTCTCCTCCTCCTCGCTTTCGGATTCTTCCTCTTCGGCCTCCTGCAGCCACTTGATGAAGGGTGCTGCGTGCTTATGAATCTCGGTGGAAGTCTCCTTGGAGACGTACTTCTTCGATACCTTTTCAGCCCATTCCAAGATGGCAGATTCGGATAAAATATCCAGATCGTAGAGCAGTTTCAAGATGACAGGGACCTTGGTCATGAGCGACTCCTTGTTCAAATCGATGATCTGCTCGAGGCCGCCAATGAAGTACTTCTGCGCCTTCTTATCCTGCAATGTAAAACGTAACAAGAGCATACGGTGCTTTTTCATCTGTTGGAGGATGTTCTGATCGAAGAGCAACTCGGCGAGGACCAGCGGTGCCTTCTGTTTAATCTCGAGACGCTCGGCCTCGTTGAGGATCTCTTTCTGCACTTGGGCGGAGTCCAGCTCACCACCGTCGCGCTTCTTCTTCACCAGGTCATAGAGAATGTCCATGCGCTCTTTCTCGGGCCTCTCTAGATCGTCGTTGACGGTCATGTTCTTGGCACCGTCGGTTAGATCTTGCATACGTGCTCGGACAGCCTCCTCGGATACATCTACAGCCCATTCGGTCTCATCTTCATCACCATTATCCTTTTGATATAATAAATTTTTTAATATAAAATAAGTATGAATTTAAATAAATGTAAACTAATCTTACAGTAGCTGAAATATCGACAGTGTTGTCACACTCTTCGTTCTCGCCATTGGTAGCATCACCGTTGGTGCGCTTGCTGCGCTTAGAGCGTTTACCCTCGGTGAGGGAAGACCCCTGGGATGCGGGGTTCAAGTTCGGCGGATTTTTCAGAATGTACGTGATCAGCTTATGAGTGGAGTCAATCATGCCGTGATAACCACATGCCTTACAACCTTGCGAGATGGTACCGCGCTTCGCCGAAACGATCAGATCAGTTTCGGGATTGTCGCATTCCGGACACAATACAAACCTATTGAATTAAACCAAAAATACCTAGAATATGGAAGTTATATTAAAAAGTAGTAATGGGCCATACTTCCGTATGAATCCATCCAATAAATCCTGCAACTTGACGGCGTCATGACTGCCATTGACGATGAAACGCTCGTTCTTGAAGTCAAACTGCGTCTGGGCGCCCAATTCGCAGCCAAAGTACTTGGTTGGGTAAGTTGGTGGTCTACCCAGTGCCTTTGCCACTTCGGCCATGTTTACAATCACCTTGAATTTAATAAATACATAGAATTGACACATTTTTGATGTTTTAAGATTGAAACATACAGTTTTGATGCCATTGCCTTTACCCTCAACCTTGGCCATAATTCTGGGCATCTTATAGCGATAGAAGACATCGCTGACGTTGCGATTTACGTTGACGCTCCCCATTTTGTCGCGTTGTTATTGCTGCGTTCGTTCTAGATGTTCTTACTGACTGCTGGTGGTGGCCCGGGAGCCGTCCCTCTAGCTTATCGCCCGCGGCGATGATGATGATGGTAATGAGCGCGGGATGTTGGTCCGGGAATGGTGATGGCCTTCTATTTCGATATCTTTACGTAGGTCAATCGTTCTCGCCAGCGCCAGTCACGTTTCTCTAAAAGGCTGCAGTTTCCGATGCCTATTGGATGAAAATTTTGTTTTCCTAAAGACACAACCACTTTGTTCATAAATATAACTCCAACGTAGTCTTTTTAAGGTGAGAAATAAATCAAATCTTCAATTACCTATAACAGGTGGTGGGCTGTCGCAGCGAAGTCATGCACCCCGCCTGCGCAGTACCTGTACTCCCAACTATGCCTTTGTTTAATAATGTCTCTGAAATCAAAGAATAACGATTGTAAAAGTCGAATCAAGTCGAAGGTGTTGATCATTCGTGGTAAAAATTCTATGTAAATTGACACTGACGTCAAACAAAAATATAAATAAGCAGAGCAGTGGTACCCCAGATCAAACACGCCGCCAGCCGAAATTAGCTTACCAATTCCGATGTCCGTGGAAAGAAGCAATCGCAAATTCATTCCACACTCGCTTAACGAAACTTAATACATCCGCTGTACATCAAAAATTACTGATTGCGGAATTGCAAGAACACCATCACAACAACGAATCGCTGGCGTGGTCATAGCACACCGGCGGGCACCTTGTGCCACCCCCCAGCTCTCGCCCCGTCGCTCAATTATCGTCGGCTGCAAAGACTCTTAGGCGCATCATCCGATAAGGATTCAACAGCTTAGCACGGTGGTGCTCTTGCGGTGGCCGGCGGACGATGAATCGCATCACCCGCTGCTACATCTGCTCGTCTTCCTGCAGACAAACTCACGCCGTTTGCACTGACTGACTGTGCAGTTACTACACCCACGACTGACAACCTGTACCGCTCGACGGCGGTTGAAGCAGGCAAACTGCGATCGTTTGGAGGCGTTGAGTGCGTTCGCATTCGGGACACCATCGGAGAACAAACGCGGAGGCGGACGCGTATGTGCACAATGGCGGCTCGAACGGTCTCTCTGCGCCGCCGAGTGCCGCAGTGAAGGCGGCGGGGGCGCAAGTGCGTCAGCTGGTGTCGTGGCGGGAGTATCGATCATTCGCGGACGTGCGCACTTACGCAGGCAGTGCGGAAATATTACCGGAGGAAAATCACGTTTTCTGATACGAGTAGTTACCGAACCTAGGTCAATTACCATTGATAATATATACATGTAGATATAAAATAAATTCGAATATTTTATTTTAACCTGTTTGTTCTATATGCATAATTAATAAACAAGTTTTACGTCAATAAAAATGCCGGGCAAAAATAATGTTTTCTTTCTAGAAGCTCGCAATGTTAAAACTTTAAACATTTACTTTATGTTAACGCTTCGCCGATTTCACCGGATTCAAGTGCGTCACAATGCGTGTAAAAAATCAATAAAAATATAGCGCAAATTCCGCCCGCGTAACGAATATTGTGCGCACATACAGAAGTAAATTTGCAACAAATCACAAATCGAAATAAATAGACTGCTATCAAAATCAATGCTTATCTAATGCACGCATTTGCGTTATCTACTTTAAGTACTTAAATTATCTAGTTTCCAAAGCTGTATATCACAACATTACATAAAACCACAAATATCAACAGATTAGACCAAAAATCATATCAACAATCATAATCACTCAGTCAATGCACTCAAGCTTTGATTAATTATAACCATAATGAAACATATTTACCTTTGTGTTTTGCTAAAGTCATATAAGAAGTTTGCGTCCCACTTGGACGGTGTGCCGGTGACCAGAAAAGAAACTAAAAAGATCCAGCTGAGTGTGTCACAAACACCACTCTCAACCTGCTGGGTATGGAACTATCCACAATCCTGAAACAATAATTGAAGTTGAATTTATACATGAAGCATATGTTGGAGGGCAACTTGTATTGTAATGCGAAATATAGTTAGAAGGCGATCCTGTATATTAAATTATTGCAAGTTCAGATTGTGGCAGTCGCCATTGGATGCAACGTGCGCAGTGCGAAATGGTGACTTACCCTATGGTTGTACTTAGCAACAAGGTAGACGTTTCGCACGGTGGCAATGATGGTGCACGACTGTGCCTGCGTTTCACTTATCACCAGCAACGCAGCAGATAGCAGGCGTGCGAAAAAAAACTGTATCGCAGAGGACGCGCAGGTGAGCCGGTTGATCGGTGTCGGCGGCGGTGAGCGTGTGTGCGGCTTTGATGGGGCCCTTCCGGATCGTGCGGCGGCAGAATGTCCACGATGCAATTCAACACCGCATTGACGAAATCGCCATATGTAGTAGCAGTGCACACTGCGCAGCAATCGAAAGCACTGGAAAGTTACTAAAGTCTTTGAGCTTCCAATGTTCGCACCTAAGTGGCGCCACCAACTAACATTTAAAACAAATATTAACTGAATCCTGGAAGAAATAATAAAATATTACAAATATTATTAATTCACAAATTTTTAAATTATTATTTTCCATTATTTACTAATTTGTTTAGTTCATAATGAGTTTATATACCAATTAGTAAACGATAAGTTTGTTTTCAAGTAACAATCATTCACCACAGATGGCGCTACGAGGACGATTTGCGTTGTACAGTTCTCTTACAAATCTCTTAGATGACACTGTAAGTCTGAATTTTACACAAAATATTGCAGGAAATAGTTGAATTCATCACCAACAAAGTGTTTATTCTTAAGGAAAACAGCTTTTACACACTTAATATAATAAATCCAGGGGTATTGGAAAATAAAAAATAATTATACGTAAGTTTTAAAAGTGATTTATATAATTTATTTGATAATGTAACAAGTTGTAGATGGAAAAATGAACATTTTTTGATCTACAATAATAAAACACAATAAAATAATAATAAAAGATGGGTAAGTCGATTAATAGAATACATGTACATTGTAAATAAGTGTTTACATAATCGCCTCACTGTCAATTTTCTACAGGCCTAATCATGATACAAATTCCTTAGTTTCCTTCGTTTGCCTTCGTGATTTTCTCTTTTTAAAGCTAATCGTGTGATGTCCCTCCGATCATCGCTTAAAATAAAAGTAAACGATTTAATTAAATAACTACGAATTAAAATGTCTCATATAGTCTAGTACAGTCGCAAACATTATGTGTTTCCATGCAAATACTTCCGGCCGAAATATTGACCAATAAACAAAAGGTACTTAAAGTATTCGTGCTTACACATTACGATATAGCGGGTATATATACAAGAAGAATGTGATTTCATTCGAACGTGTCGTTAAAAATAAATATTGCAGCTTCGTTCGTTGTAAAACATAAAGACAGACGCGTGCGGCGGCCATTTTGACGCGTGCAAAAGGACAGCCGGACGGGCGCGCGGCTTAAATATTAAATAATGAAATTCTGCAGCACCAGAGAGATCTTGAAGCACCAGAATTTACGTGTTTGTTTGTAGCGGGACACGTTAAAGTCGAGAAAAATCGTATACACCCCTTAAAATGCACCCGAATACCAAATTTTGATTGTGACAATCATCAATTACCAAAAAATAAATTTATTACTGCGTATTAAAATGAAAAGATGAATTTTCGAAATTCTAACGCTGTCCCGCTACTGTCATTTACATCTAGATAAATTAAATACAGCGTTTAAATATTACATTACAATATTACTTTAGCACTTACATAATTAACGATATTCGATATTTTAAAACAAAGTTTGATTCATTTTTGGAATAATACTATACACATTATGTCTTTCGCCTATGTTCATCATTTAAATTAGTTAATTACTATCATTAGCATTGCCTGCATTCGTCGCCATCGCTTAAATTCATGTTAGCGTCCCGTGAGACGCGTTAAACTAAAACACAATACGAATAAACCCCAAAACCAGTCACCGATTGCACAAATAACCCGATTTTAATGTTTATTAAAATATATTATTACGTCGTGTGCCCGCAATGGGCATGTCTTTCATCTTGAGTGTGTAAATGTGTGTATGTGGAGTGTGTGTGTATGTTTTCATTATCAGTTCGCTTCGCCGCCATCTTGCTTATTCTTGTGAAGTACATACATGTGAAGCACAAGTTAAACGACAAGGGTCCATCGACCAAAAATAAAAAATCGTCATCGATAAAAGTAAAATTAATATTATCACAGAAGTAACCAAAATAACAAAAAAGATGCATTAGATGGAAACGCAGCGGATTGTGCGCTAGCCGCCATCTTGTGATTTTGTTACAGCTAAAATGCACAAACCCTACATGAGTTTTCTTTCTTGATTTTTCCAATGTGTCATCTCACTGGAAACAATAGAAACACACGGTGTAATTTATGCTCTTCGGTTTGAATTTTTGGATGCACGGATCAGAGAGAGGATTTGAGGTCAGTTACTACGTACTTGTAAGAGCATATTAGCAAAATTCGAGTTGGTGAATTTGAAGTGTCGCTTGTCGTAGAACTTGAGCAGCGCTGGGCTGTAGGGGTGTTTTTCTTTTAGGTGAATGTAGTGCACTTCCGGTTCGCTGGTCGTGTGGCCGCACTCTTCGCAAACGTAGACTTTGGTTCGGCGTTCTTTATACGCGTACGCATGTTGCACTCCGTGGACTTTCAAGCAGTGAGATTCAAGTGAACATCGCTGCGTGAAGGACTTTTCGCATAAACTGCATTTGTAGGGTCTTACACCTTTAAAACAAAAATAAATTTGAGGTTAAAATGAGGTTATGTAAGGTTATGTAAACTTAAATGGTACCTGTATGTGTCCGCGTATGTCTCTTTAGGTCGAAAGTGTCATTGAATCCTTTTCCGCAAAATGTGCATAAATACCGCTTGACATCCGAATGACACTTCATATGTCGATTGAGTAAACGCTGGAGAGCAAATGATTTATTACAAATACGGCAGCAGAAATGCGATTGTCCGTCTTCGGTGGTGATTGCAGCGACTTTCGGTTTCTCCTCTGTGCGCGTCGTGGCCCTTGCTGGTTCCTGACTAGCCAGTGGGTTCTTGATACCATGACCACCATTAACAAACTCAAGCTGAACTTCTGATGATAACCCCAACTATTTCAAACAAACAAAAACACAAAATATTAATTTATATGTAACAATGACCAGGAAAGCAAATTTCATTTGATAGTCAACGCTTGGAGCTTGCAACACATCAAAATAGTTTGCTTACCCTCTGTTGCATAGCACGAGCAGGTACCTCGCTCGAAGACGAGTCCCTGCGCGCACCACCCCCACTCACGTTTGCTGGTGGGCTGAGACTGCCGTTTTCATTATGCGAGTTTCCATCAAGTGAACAAGAAGCAGCTCCCGGCGATGGTAAAGACATCGTTGTTGGAGAATCTAAGTCCAACGCAGATCCATTAAAACTCAAACTCGGAGATAGCATCGTTTGAGGTTGCATGTTCACTGAATTAATGTTATCATTCACAGCTGCTTGATACGACGGCAGATTATCTTGATACATTTTTGAGAATTGATGCTGCTGAGGTTGATTTGGGTACCGCTCTCCGTTCTGATAGTTCCGGTTTAGTAAATGATCCGAGAATTGATCCATGTTTTCAACGTTCTGTAACTGCGCAGTGTCGGGGGTCATCGATGGGGATGAATGGATAATCTCGTTCTCATCATTGTCATCATTCGGCAACCTTTGGAGGAATGTACTTAAATCAGCAGCATCTGATAAACTCTCTAGCAATGCATGTTCAGCTGAACTGGAGAAGGTTAAGGTTGCAGTAAACTGCAATGGATCCACTACGGTTCCAGTGACCATATCAACCATCATACTATCATCGTATCCGGTGTAGGAGCTAGGCAGCAAATTACTCATTTGATCCAGTTTAGTTTCGTAGATATCTAAGTCTACTTCGTCCTTCATCACAAGACCATAGGAAGCATTTTGCAGCGTGGAGTATTGCTTTGGTGGGCTTTGGCTTCCATTCATATTCAGTCCGAGATCCTGCCCGGTGTCCATCCCAGTATTCTGGTGACCATTTAGTAAACTATACCCAAAGTTCCCATTCGCGTTGTAGTTATTATTATTGTTACCACCTTTAAGAGATTCATAGAATGGTGGAAGACTACCAGTAGGTGGACTACTAGGTCCATAATTCTGACGCCCATCTCTGCCTGGGTTCATTCCACCTCCACCTGTCCCACCTCCAAGGGCACCACCTGCACCTCCAGAGGAAACAGATGAAAAACTTATTCCACCTCCACTTGAAGATCCATTTGATTGTTGTCCAGTTGATCCTCCTTGAGGAGCGGAACCTCCACTGCCACGACCATGCCCTGCTGCCGCCGACATCACCGATGGTAATTTACCAACAATAGACCGCACTGAGATTAAAGGTTTGCTGATCTTGTGGCAATTGCTTCTTCGTTGTTCACGATCTCGCCTCTCATCATTTTCATCCTCATTCTCACCACGCCGCTTGGGAATGTGATAATCAATAGGTTGATCCTGTTCGGGTTCCTGGTGGATAACCATAGGAGTGGTGGGTAATCGCGCGTCAGCGTCTTCATCTCGTTTGCTTGTTTTGGGCGTACGTTGAATGACAGAGCAGCGAACAGGGGCTAAATCTTGTGGGACTGAAGGGACATTTGTTTCAGTAGGTTTCTGTCCAGCGGGTAGGGTTATCTTATCCGGAGGGACAATGGGAGCGTATTCTTTTCTCTCTGCTCTGGTGAGGACATGTCCTCGGCTTCCATAAGGAACATCCCCACCGAGAATAGAAGATATGAAACGTCTCGGGGGGACGGATTCTTTTTTCGCTGGTGACGGTGGTGATTCCTCCGAAGACGATTTCGTGGGTTTCTCATGTTTTTCGGATTTTTCACGATCTGGAAAGCAAATGAATCGTGTAAATTTTTGGTCACCTTGAAAAAAAACAATGTGGTGTCTGTAGCGTGTATAATCTTTAAAATATATTTAATCGTGACTCTTAGTAAATTTATTTTGTTGGTTTTATGCTGTCCATGAAGCTGTCAAGCAGCTCAAGTACCCTATTTATTATTGTAACTTGCAAACTTGTACAAACAGTGCAAAACACTTCAAAACAACCTTGATTTTAATTTTAATATTTTGCTCACCTTTAAATGTTAAGCATCACTTTATTCCTACTCTAAAAAAACTATGTACTATTATCAGGTGTGAAAATTACTGTTAGATATATTAACTCCTAATCAATATGCTCGAATTTTTAATTTCTACTCCGAATTCGTTTTTTTTCTATTTTGAAATCGAAATTATCACCAAAAACGGTACCTTCATGTTTTGCTACTAGTCTGACGCATTAACATCGGTCTTATCGCTGGAACAACGGTAACCGAAAACGCTTTCGACAATTTGTGGGTTTTCGGTAGTGTTAGAATGTTAATAACAAATTCATAGACAAAGCACGCGCGCGCACAGCGAAAAAAAAAACACACGACAAAGCGCACGCAAGTTTCGTTGACCCTGATTAACATAAATTATAACATATCGATAATAGTCCGAAACGGTTTTCAAAGTGTGGGCATAAAATTTAGTCCAAATAAAAATTAAAACCCAGCAACAAGCAATATGCCAATCGTTGGCATACCAAGGTTGAAATTCGCGTCAATTTTTTAATATCTTAGGCAATTTTAGGGAATAGAATGACTGAATATTTAATATTTAACATTTCCTGTGACTATTACCACCGAAAATGTAACAATGAATATGACGCACACGCCACGTGTCCGAACTTTAACCCGCCAATTACGAAATGTGTGCGAAATGATCACAAAACCTCAAAAAACAAAAAACAAACTAAAAATACATCAATATTTATGTGTGTCGCGACTTGACCCAACTGTAAACGGACTTTTCTTCGGTGTTTTATTTTTTTCCGACTGAAAGTTGGGTGTTTTTTGCGCCGTCTTACATTTTACTGTTCGTAACGCCATCTTAAATACCGGTTTGTGGCGTGCACACAGTCCACACGCTCGGACTGTGGACGCCAATGAAGTTAATTCCATTTTATCGCGCGTTAACCACCCCGCAGGTGCATTCGGGGTTCGATTTATTCCTACACTGAATGTAGGAACTTGGAACTTCTTCGTTTGACTGCCGACGCGAGGCTGTAGCTGCGTCTTCGTCGAAAAACCTTCGGAGCGCTCAGACGCGTTTCTTCCTGTCCGTCGCGACCCGTTTTGTGCTTCTTTGTGTCGGCTTTTGTCGTACGTGTATGTATTTTTATTCGCGGCAAACCATCGGAGGCGCACAAAGCACGCAGCAGCGAAGAACCGAAGCGATTCCTGTTATGTTTATTTTTTTTAAGCTTATTTTTAGCTTAAGACGGTGTCTCAAGGTTCACAGTTATTCAAGCGAAAATAAAATTCAATCAAAGTACCTACATACAAAGAATTTATTTAAAAAAAATTTATTTTAAGTTTAATTTTGACAATTTTTTTATTTTAGGCGCGTTACACCTGTTTGCAACGCAATTACGAAAAAGTATAGCGAAGACCAAATGCAACTGCCACTGATGGCATCAACAGTAAGTTTTTTTTATTTGTCCACTGCGCGAAAGGTGCACCACTTTAGGCACTTTAGTTTAGCGACTTGTTTTGCATCTGCATCAGTTTGAAATGCACCACACTAGCCAAATTACGACCACCCAAAAAATTCTTCACCTGCTCCTTCATCTTCATCACAATCTTCGATAACCAACTTGCATGTGTCTACTCAAAACGCAATAAATTGGCTCAAATCATCAATTAACTAATCATCTTACATTCAGTGTAATTTTTGTTCATTATTTTCAATATTATTATTATTATTACCAAACAGAGAGGACAAGAACCACTTCAAGGATGCTTCAGTGTTTTTTTCTGTGCGAATTTGTAAACCTCACTTCGGAATCAGAATCCGCGCCGGGGTCAGTGGAACCGAAGCGACGCCGTCAAGGTTACACGATTTTAGACAATTTTTTTCTCATTCCATTCACAGCGCGGAATATTTTATTCAGCGTGCAAGAAATATGCACATAAAAATTAGATATCATTGACTCACAATTAATAAATAATTAATTCGTTCGCAGGCTACTCAGCGGTTAGCTGGAATGTGCGGGCAAAAAACCAACCGGCCTGTCGTTTATTAAGTGTCTCGTAATCTTGTACACGTTGGTAATTATATTCGTCCAAGTCGCCGAAGAACCGGCCGGCCGGCGACTAATTCTAATTACGCCGCCAGCCATGATTATGGTTATCTTTTTGGCTTCGCGGCAGGTCTCTCCGAATTTGGTGTCAACGACAACAACACCAAATGACACCCAACAAAAAACCGCGCTGAATTGATGATTGATTATTTCTTAATATGGTTTTCATTGCCATTTAAGGGCTGAAAAGTCTAGAAAAGGGTCGGCAATGTCATCTCAATGATAATTTAAGAGCATAAAAAGTTGCCTACATTAAAATTTTACTCTTACTAGTGTAGATCGTGATTGAGGTTAGTTTAACTTAAAAATACACATAATTAACGTGATATACTGGTGTCTGGCGGACTTATTCGGCATTGGAACGTACGCACGTTCTTCGATATAGATTCGTTGGTTGGTGGCGTCCATCCTTGACATCATTCCGAGCAATTCAAGCCCCGAACCGCGCGCTAGTTGGTAATGGCCGCGGCGAGTCGTGCGACAGCGTAACGTCTGGCCGATAGGATGTGATGCAAACGTCGGCAAGACTGCAATGTCAAGTTTGATACGAGTAGTGCCAAAATGGTATATTACCCAGAGACACAAGACTCGCCTGCAGAAAACGTTCCATTTTTAAATTCTTTTGTTCTTTCAATGCTAACAAGTATAGTGCTATAAAACAGCAGAACTTCATTTACAAACCGCAAGACACTGGAATTGTCTGCGTTAGTCGAAATTTATTGTGTTTAATGTTTTAATGTCCTTGTCTGCTTGCGAAACATTCGTACTACACGCAAGTGCGAAACTTTGCGAAATAGTGCGTTGTTTGAAATCCGTTACCACGCAGAATTTTGCAAGTAATTCGCACTTTAATTTCATTCAAATAGACATAGATGATTTTGTAAATTTTGTAAAAATTCGATGCGTTTGGTAATTTCAACTCGCCGCAATCGTTGTGTAACTTGTGTAACGACGACACTTTTGGCCCTAATTCGGCGCGCATTTACATATTTTCACTTTTGTTCGTGAATCCGCCGAAACAAAACCCAACACGCGGGCGTTAGTAGAGCGTGAAATTTGATTTCACCCTTTGTTACATATACTCTGCATAACAAAAGTGACAAAAGACAACAACTACATTAAATCACTATACGACCCAGATTAAACAAATTTGTGTTTTTTTAAATATTTTTAGGCTGTGATTGAGTAAGAACACACCAAATTTCGAATGCATGCAGGAGAAAGCTGTGACGAAAAGTTCAAGGCCTCAAATCAGAGAAAATTTCACTTCAACCGGCGGTCATCTCTATTTGAATGTCATAATATATGATAATACATCCGGCATACATCTTACGACATCAGCGCATCATCTTCACGTGTATTACTCAATACTTTCTTATTTGAACTTGATTTAGAAAGTTCGATGCGTTACAGCATACGAATTGGGAACGCGAGCATCGCACAACAACATCAGAAGAAGAAATGAAACTTTCTCCGAGGTAATAGAAGCAAGAATAGTAAAAGAAAGCTCGGTACGAGTTGGTAAACTAATACAATGTCACGTTATATAATCGCTCGGCGCTGCGGAAGAGTAGGTCACGATCAAGAGTGCATTCTCGCTTCTAATTGCCGGTAAACTAAGCAAAACCTTGCGCATTGCATTTTACATTCACATAACTAAATGTATGGGTTATTAATGAATGAAATTTTAATGTTGTGTGGACATCACATGTTGCAATATAATGAAATTTGATACTTTGTATAATTTTGGCGGCGTGACTAATAATAACACTAACAAAAGATAAAAATGCGTTGGTTGAGCAGAATATATGTCTGATATTGATACAGTTAAGTTGCACACGCAGGTAGAAATAATATCGACCGTTGTGTTGTTTCATCTGTCTTTTTGTTTTACTTATACTTAGTTTTACTTGTTGTTTTAAGTTTACTGCGCATGCGTAGAACCGCAAACCGATGTGAATTCTTGTCGGTACTTGCAGTTGTAAGTTGTAATGCGAGCGAGAAAAGCTGAAAAGTCTCGTGTACTCGCAAGCATTGAAATCACGTTGGCCTTGAGAGATCTCTCGCCACTCGGACCCCAAACGGTTCGAAACGGACGAAACGTCGAATGCTTCACACTTGCGCAAGTCTAGCAGTTGAGCTGCCTCTTGCCATGCACAGTAATAAAAGTGTTTTTTACTGCTACCATCGACCCGTGTTCCTCTGACATGCGTCAAAACTTTCAAAACATCATTCCGAAATGTACCTAATGATACTTTGGGCAAATATTCAAATTGTGCTCCGGACCAGATTTGCATGACAATCAATACGCCAGCTATTATATTATGCTTTGTTGCAGCAGGTAGAGACTCCAAAATGCGGGAGTTTAAACTCAAAAATTACGCAAATTTACGCAAATATGTATTGGTCGCAGACTTTTGTGGTGAGGTTTGAACGTGACGCAATTTTTCGTCGGGCTGGTAATAAAGCAATGAGGAGGAATTTGGGATGCGTCCGAGCGTAAAATTAGTGAAAGTATTTGACCAACAGACCATCCCATCCCAAAACCATCAATTTTTATGATACATGAGTCCAGCTTTTAAATCATAAAAACAACCATTTGCTTCAAGAATTCTTTAGAATTTAAAAGATAAAAATGCCTACAAATGTAATCCAATAAGATTTTGTGTTTGCTTTGTTGATTTTCTTTGAATTATTTTGGCAATTCTGGTAACCGCACAGTTTGAATAACAACTTCACTCAATGCTCCGTTATTCGATCTTTTTATTGACCAGCGGATGAAATCGGATGCTGGATTTTTGCTTGTTTTGTCCGCAAGTTATGCAAACCGGGCACAAAAACGGAGGAACAAAGATTCCTAGCTAACCACAGATCACACAAGATGTGAATACTTACGTAACTCTATATTGGGTGTTAGATTAAGCAATAACCAAAAATTACAACAAAAAATTGAATACCAGTCAAAAAATTACGATTTTTTCAAAGTTTTTGGCTAATAGCTCAAAAGTTTGATAAGATACGGTTATAAATCTTTCAGAATTTAAATTTATATTTAATTTTCCTTTAATTTTGATATAATTATTCCAGAATTCTTAAATAATTCGTGTATAAAAACAGTTTTAAAGAAAAAAACGTGTTTTCGGCATTTTAATATAAAAATTGCTATATTTATTAAACTATTGACAATATGACTCAATATTTCATCTCAACTTGATCAGTTAATATGTATTATGAGATAATATTGCATAATAATGCAATTTGAAAGAAAGAAACGCATTTTTTCCCAATTAAAACCAAAATTTACAATATTTTTGGTATTTCCCCTTAATACCAATTAAAACTAAAATAATTTGTAACACCTTGTGAATTTTCTCAAGTTCTGGTTGACCTCAGCTGGCTCACAACGCCGCGAACCGAATATAAATCGCTAAACAAAACGAAAAACAAAGCACCAACTTTACTTGTCTCACCGTAAGTAACTTGGTATTCGCTCTCCGTGCGCACCTTCGTTGCGTGCGCGTGTGCCATGAACAAAGTGTGTGCATAGATACATATATATTTTTTAAACAAACGCGTCGAAGAATGAAAGGTACTATTGTCTAGAAAAAAGCTAGTTCTTTTTATCAGCAGTGCCCACTGCAAGACAACAAGCCTATTGTAACGCAATCGAACGCACCTGATAGATAGCAACTTATCGCAGATACGTCTAAGTTTACTTTATTGTCATTCGTAGTGTAATAATGAGCACGGTTCTTTTTTTATAGGTTACCATTGATGATTATATTGGTAGCGTTGAGAATGTTTGGGTTCGTGTTCTATGCCGGCATTGGAATCATACTTATAAGACTTACCTTCTTTCTTCTGGACTATCAGCGACAACGGCTTCTGGTCATCACCCAGAAGGTCATTCTTGTTGTTGGCGGCGTTCTGTGACTCCAGCAGCCGTAACTGTTGCTGGTGGAGTCGATTTTTGATCAGAAATATCTTCGGCATGATTGCACTCAAATATGCCGGCTATGCGCTGGTAATATCCAAGCCGTTCTCGAGCACTCGAAGAGTCACTTCCTTAGACGCATATCCTCGCGATGCCACGCGCATCCACACTGATAATCCTTAAATTCACTGCTTTTTAAATGTTTTCCTGGTATTCCTGATGTCACAACGCCAAAAACTTCAAAAATCCTTTACACTTTGATTAAAAATATTTGTGGGGGTGTTTATGGATCGATGCCAAACGTCAAATGTTCACAGATTCGTTTGGTGGTGTACCATCAAACGCGTGCGTGCGCACGACGCGAGCTCGCAACCAAGACTGTTGACCGCTAGCCAAGGTATCGCGGTGAACCGTTGTGTCTCTCCGCAAACGCCGGTGTTACCGCTCTCCGGGGCCCCCCTACCACTCGCGCATTTTTTTACGTGCGCGGCATGCCCATCGATGGGTACCACCGATGGGTGTACCTGGCTCTCTGGCTTTACCTGCGTCGCGGTCGTGTGACGACCCGACCATACATATGATGCAGGTAGACCCACGTCTCTTACCTTCGTGCATGTGTGGCGCATTTCTTTAGTTCTTCATTTCTTTAGTTTTATGCTTCTGCATGAAACTTCTGCATGAGTCTTGTTGATCATGTTGGTACTACCTACCTAGTTCCAACAACCTACCTGTTGCTCGATTTATACACTTTTGAAGAAAAGGGCTTTTGTTGCAACTTGTTACACTAACAAACTGATCGTGTATTGTCTGGTTTTGATAAGCATAAACACATTAAACATTGCAGGAGTTCTATTTTAGCACTACTGTTATATTATATTTTAAAAACTGTTTTTCAACATTAAAATTGACTTAAGTCCTTAAAATTTTGCTTTAATTATGCTAAAAATACTTACATGATGTCAATTATATTTACAAAATTGCCTTAGTGTAATAATAATAATAATAATAATATAATAGCGTAATGTCTAAGTACTCGTGTTACGTAATGGCGCTTCCTTTCTTCTTTCGGGCGTTGACTAAAATCCGTGCGCGTGAATGTGAACACGCTAGAATGAAACACCGTTTTCGCATTAGTTGGCTTCGACAAGAAGAGAAGATGCGCGGCTGTGTGTTTGCGTTGTGCGTTTAATTACATTATAATTAAGACCAGATACAGCTAGGATTCCGCGCCGCGCGGTAATCCATAATAATGAAGCGCGAGCGCCGCACGCTCGCCATTATGATATCAACGTCTTTGAATCTCTTAATTTCTAATTGCTATAATCTTGATCGAGTCGATGATTTGGAGTGCGCGATTATTATGCGTACGGAATTATGCATTGTCGAAAATTCACGGCGTATAATTTTGATTGTGGTTAGGCAAATATTGCAAATGAATGATTTTTAATTGATAATAACAAGTTGGGATTTTATTATAAGAGTAACAGTAATAAAATGAAAGGAATCATTTTTTGAAAATTTTATTCAAGAAAAAATTCAATTTTTTTTTACAAAAAACAAAATGTTACTAATTTATTTATATTTTATATTTATTTACTGCTTTTATTTTACATTTGAGCGGTGTTTTTCTTTCAATGAAACGTGCTGAAAAGTCCTAAAATATTTATGAGCGCAATTGTCCCGAACGGAAAATATTGTGAAAGCACGAAATGTAAACATGGGCGTCTCCGGACAAATCACCCCCAATGTACTGTTAAATATTTACGATTGGACACAGCCTGAGATTATATAACTTTACAACTTTTATTGTGTGTATTGCATACTTGCTTTATGACAATTGCGTTGCCCAAAAGTACCTAACATTTAAGGGATGTTTTATGACAGCTCGAAAAGCAAAGAAAAAACCATTCAAATTTGAATTTTTACGAGTGTCGGCATCTTGCCCAATATTCCGTAATTTTAAAAATATTTTATTTCGAAATTTTGTAGTAAATTAGATAAAAAGTAAAGTCAAAGAACTTTCCGTGTGTTTGCGAGGCGTTCGTTGACAGATCGAGTGCCGCCGAGCACGTCGGCCGCACACCGCGGTCGTGGCAATGCGCAATTATCATGATTATTAGGAATAATTAAACCAAGCGCGCGCACACCGCTTGAAACGCTAGAAGATCGCGCAGGTCGAAGCACCTGTTGCGATGCGAAACGAGAGCCCAACGCGCGCACAAGCGACTAACCCACCAAAAAGTCAAAAAGCATTCAAAACAAACAAGAAAAACATTATTAATTAATTGAGGATTACCATAACATAAATATATTTAAATTTTAGGTTAAGAGCAAAGAGGGAGATTTTAAAATGAAATTTTTTGAGGTTAATTCAACATCAAATAAGTTTTGACAGCGATTTGACACATTTATACATAAAATTCAAAGAAAAAAACATAAAAATCAACAATTGCAATTGTTTTTTTAAGTACTAGTGTTTAAAAATAACATTTTACGTACTCAAATGTCAAAAAATGAAAATTTTCATATTTTTATACAAAAACTATGAAAATTTTAAAATTTCAAGACATTTATATACGTCATAGTTATAATACCAACATATGAATCATAAAAACACGGAAAGCTTCACCTACGCTGACTGAAATGTCCCTGATCCTGCATGTCTCGCCAGTAGATAACATTTGTCGCGACTCTCTGCCCGTTGCAGTACCGCAGCGAACGGTTCTCACATGCAATGCACACTGTCTACGCTTGCACTGCCATTAAACGTTGTTACTCCTTCCATTTGTTGTTTCTCTATCCTAACTCGATTCGCGTGTAATGTAAACTTCACCTAGAGCTCCGTGCGAGACCATGATCTTAGCCCGGTGATCTTGGTGTGTGCATGCGCCGCCATGCATGATGCATACTTTCACGGTATATCTACTCTACTAGTGTTGGTGAATGTCTGCATAAAATTGCACAAAACTTGCCCAGCTCGCACCCAGCGCACACTGCACGTTGCATAACGTGAGAGTCATGTCTTGAATACGTTCAGACTCTAATTGTAATATCGCCGCCGGCTTGAAATGACTATGGACTGTGGAACAATAAGAAGCAGAAAGGAACAACAAGGTGCAGCATATATTCAAACGTATACACATTTAACACTTGCTGTGTACGTTATAATAGTCTCTCTCTGGATGTGGATGTGGATGAGGTGGGCAAGTGCAAAGCGTGCACCTTCTTGGTCAGAGTGCTGGACGATCGCTTCCACGTCGTTCTTCCGTCAATTGCGCACCTGTTACGTGTCTTCCTACCTATACTTTGGTGTTGTTTGCGTGCCGACGCTCACAAAAGAGCTAAAGACCAAGAGGAAACGCGGAAAAAAGCCGCAGAAGGCGATGAAAAGGCAGACGGCGTTCAAAGGTGGAAAGAAAGGTGTTTGCCGTTTTGTGATCAACGAGCTTTGGTCGGATTGATGGTGTTGCATGTGTGGAGCAAGAATTACAAGCTGAAAAACACACCGAGAACAATGTTATAGAGAAAAAGACTCTTTGGGAGGTATTATTTTATAAAAGCAATGGAAACCTTAATTATATTCCATATTTTTGCGAAAAATTAGTAAAAATATTGAAAATAAAAGCTAAAAAGACAAAAATTGATTTTTGCATTTTATAATCAAACGTAAAGTTTGATCAAAAAATAGTTAAGTTAAAAATTGTAGGTTGTGCAATTTTCTATAAGAAATATCTTGAAATTTCTTTCTAAAAATTGCCAATTTTGATATACAGCAGTTTTTTAATATTTTTCTTCATAAAATTTTGCGGCATCTTTACATTTGACAACTTTCAACCCTTTAAAAATATAAAATAAATATTTAAAACCCTTTTTTATTACTTCTACTTTTACTACTGTAAAAAAATAAATTTTTCTTTGCATCCAACATAAAAGTAAAATTTTTAAAAATGTTTTATACTGTTTTTTATAACTTTCAATTTTTACCCCTTTAAAATTTTTACTTTTTACATTTTTATCCATAAAACTCATAACCCTAACGTTTTATTATCATATCCTCTGGCGATGACAACTATAACAGTCATAAACCGTTTTTCTTCGACTCATACACCGTTTGAAAATGCTGAAAATCCCAAAAATGCCCACCGTGATACCCGCATCACAACACACTGATTGAATTTTAATTATCTAGTTGTATTTAATAGTGTTTTGATGTTTTTCCCACATGCGCTTATACTTTTCATCTGGCTGTCATGCGAACAGTTCTATCGTTAGCTGCTTGTTGTTAGTGTTAATACGCAATCGCTTTTCGATCAATCGTTTTTCTTACGCGCATTTGCTTACACTTACAGTTTGTCCTCAACGCCGCTTCTTATTTGCGTCCACAGTGCGCGCATCACTCCACTATCGGTAACTGTAAAAGCTAACCGTCAAACATATGTCGCTGCCGATTTGTCGGATTGCATATGCGGTGTAATCAGCAATGATTGCAGTTTTGCACTCTTAGTTTTTCATTAGGTTTAGGAATAGAATAGAGAATAGAAAACGCGTTTTGTAGGTTTTCGTAATTTTGTTTCAGTTTTCTTCAGTTTATTCTACGATGTAGGTATTTACATTAATTTTTTGTGTTGCATAAAATATAACATTCATAAAGTTTTAAATCTGTTTGATGTACGCCGCATGTGGCGGTGACTTCAACGCGCGCAGATGTCAATGCTATTGAAATAGAAAATTGCAGTTTATTTCACGGTTAACTTCCTTATCATAACATGTGTGCAAGTTCAAAATAAACTAACATAACTCTTTTTTATATAGGTGGAGATTTTAATAAAATGCAGCCGAAGTCATTATTTTCTTGTTTCTTGAAGTTTTATGTTCCAATTTCAATAATAAAATTCGGAAATTATTAGAATTTATAATGAAAAATGATAAAAATTCACTTTATTGCAATTTTCACTGATATAACAACAAATAACAAAGATTTAGTCTTCATATCAACCTTCATACCTTATTTTACACCTTTTAAATTATATTTTTACAACAAAAAGTAACAAAAAGTAAAAAATGAATTTGAAAATTTTCTTTAAAAAATCGTTGTTTTAACTGTTTTCTAGGCAATTTCTTTATAATTTCTCACTTTCGAAACTTTCCTTACACTTCTACAATAAATTTAAAACCAAATTTAGCCAAATCGGCCAAGCCATTCTCAAGTTTTACTGAATTTAAGAAATTTTAATTTTTACCTTCTTTTTAAAAACGTATAAAGCATATATTTATGTATTTTATAATTCCCACACTCACACATATTCATTTCCAACTTGATTTCCGTTGTTTTGATGCAGCCGTATGCATCTCATTAAAATTCCTGAGGTTTTTGTCCGGCCGCATGTTACATAACATTC